CCGTAAGGACGTGTCTAGGGCGACGACGGTGACTTGCTCCTGCGTGATCAGGATTCGGGGAGTAATCAGCGGCGGCAACGATAAGGCGATTATCATGACGCATAGCCTTATCGAAGTAACGTTCCGACACTGACTTCATGTGTTTGCGGATCGATTCGAGGCCCAGGTCGTCGTGTAGGTCGACGTTCCTCACGAACCACGGAGCCCCGACGGCTAACCTGCAAAAGCGGGATTGTAGGGATTGGAGGGTGTCTATGTGTGTGCGGGCCGCGTGAGCGAACACCACACTCGCGTAAGTCATGACGGGCCTTATGCAAGTTTTGTAAAGTGTCACCTTGTTCCGAAGGGACATTTTACTCCGCTTACAGATCATGGGGTAGAGTCTACCGAGAATAAACGCGGCACGGTCACGGACTGATTTTATATGCGGGCGGAATGTCATCGATGCATCCAGGGTAACGCCCAGGTACTTGACCTTCCTGGCCCAGGGTATGGGTTGTCTAAAGAGAGTAATCGGGGGTGTGAGATTCCTCCTCCTAATCCGGGAGGAAATCCGTGTGGAGCTTCCCCTCTGAAATAGCACCGCAGTACTTTTCGCTGGGTTGATGTCTATGCGCCATTTTCGGAACCACTGTCCTAGGGCTAGGGCTGCGCTCTGAAGCTTCTTCGCGATTAGGGACTTATTTCTACTAGAATAGTAAACAGTCGTGTCGTCGGCGAATAAAGCTAAATGGGTCGGCGGCGACCGGGGAATATCGTTGACGAATAAGCTAAATAGGAGGGGTGAGAGGACAGAGCCTTGCGGGACTCCAGCTGTGAGAGGTCGTGGGGAGGAGCGGGTTCCCTCGACTCGATATCGAAAAGAGCGGTTCGACAAGAAGTCCCGTATGATGAGCACGAGACTATCCGGCACGCCCATGTTGAATAGTTTGAAAATCAAACCATTGTGCCAGACTTTGTCGAACGCTTTTGCGACGTCGAAGAAGAGAGCTCCCGTGTATAACGGTTTTGGTCGATTAAGCCCCACAAGAATGTGCTCCGTGAGGCGGTGCACCTGTTGAACGCATGAGTGATTTGTACGGAATCCGAATTGTTCATCGATGAGAATGCCCTTGGATGAGACGAAGTCTCTGAGGCGTTTGTAGAGCAGACGCTCATACAGTTTGCCTAGAGACATGAGGAGGCTAATCGGGCGGTAGCTCGTCGGATGATTTTTTGGTTTACCGGGTTTATGTATGCCGATAACGTCCGCTTCTTTCCACACCGCGGGAAAGATACAGTTCGCCATAGCGGCATTGAAAATAGATGCCAACATCACGATGAGTTGGACGGGTAGAAGTTTAATAACGCGGTTGGATATACCGTCGGAACCGGGAGCCTTGCGAGGACGTAGGTCTTTGATCAAGTCTTTAACTTCCATCGGGGTGACGGGTGGTAACGCATCAGAGGGTGGCAAGGAGGCTCTGCGTTCTACCTCACTGTCTACTAATTCTACATGAACAGGGTCCACGGATTGAGTGCTGGGCGTGCACTGGGTTTGCAATGTATCGGCCAGCAGCTCTGCTTTTTCGTCATCATCGAACGCCGCGAGTCGGCCTGAGGGGCCTACGAGGGGGGGCATAGTTACTACCGTATCCGATTTGAGAGTACGAGCTAAGCGGTAGTAAGACCTTTGGGAGGGCGCGAGTCCTTCTAAGAAATCAGACCATCTGGCATCTCGGACTTCGGCGATGCGAGACTTTACGTCGCGTTGTAGGGCACGCATTCGAATACGATTTTCCGCGGTAGGATACCTGTCGTAGGCGCGTATCGAGGCGTTCTTAGCTCTAAGGAGTTCCCTAATATCGTCGGACAATTTGAAGCGGTGAAGGAAGTCCTCCGCTACAACTTGTTTCGATGACCTATCTAATGTCGAGGTGATGTGTGACGTTAAGATGTCTATGGCTTCAGCGGTATCCTGAGGAGACGGGATAGAGTCCGGGTTAAACGGGAGCGATGGTGGATCAGATTCAGCCAGGCTGATGCCCAGCGTGTGCCAATCCACCACAGTCCTCGTGACGGGAACGGAATCGGGAGCGCGACCGAGCTTCATAACGACGGGACGGTGGTCTGAATCTAACTCTGAAACTACTTCGATCGAGTGTAAGCGCAGAGTTACGTTTTTTAATAACGCTATGTCGAGTATATCCGGGCGATGCGCGATATTTAGCGGGTAGTGAGTCGGGGTTAGCGGAGCGATGATATCGAAGGCGAGATCATCGACTAACGCGTCGAGCCGCCTGCCATTAGGGGTTGTGGTATGTGAGTTCCACCTGATGTGTTTACAATTTAGGTCGCCCGCCAGAATGACAGAGCTTCCCATGCTAAGTAGCGCCTCGATATCACTGCTTAGAACGATCTTATCCGGAGGAAGATAAACGGACGCGATAACGATCGGCGCGTGACCCGTCAGTGAGATTCGGCACACTGATGCTTCGATGTTAGCGAGCGCGGGAGGATCGAGCGGGACGCAATGCAGGGCTCTTCTATAGTAAATGAGTGTTGACTAGTGTTGAGTGCGAGCTACATGGTAGGCGAAGTGGGGTATGTGTTAGGTTTTATTTTTATTACGGAATTTCTTGATTCGGTCGCCGCGCTCAAAGCCCGCGATAAAAACTATGCAATAGTTTAAAAAAATTATAAAAAATTGATTTAAGTTTTATTATGGTTGGTATATATTTAATGCAATCCATTACTTCTTCCAATTCAGGGTATTCCCTGACGTAATTATCGATTTACAGATTTCTGGAATTCTAGTTATCGTGTATATAAATATGTACTAAAATGCCTACGCTACGGGAAATAATTTTAACCGAGTTACAAAGTTTAGATACTTAAAAATACTAGACTAATTGGAACAATTAAATACATTTTCATATAGTTTATTAATTACCTATTCAGGTATATTACGGACAGTACAAGACAAAAGAACAATTAATATGCAATAACTTTTTCTTAAATCCATTCAATTTTACTTGTAAAGATATACATAGTACTAATGTTGCACAATACATCTCCTCTATATAGCTACAAATATGTAGGGACCATAAATGTCCCCATAGCAACTGATAATTATATGTATGTGTTAGCGGTAATTATATTGCAACTAGAGGTCCCGCAATAGTCGAATTCCGACTATAATTCATTGGAATTGTAAGTTTGTACACTATTATGATTGTATTTTATACTTCTATAATCACAAATTTCGCCAAGACTACACTATAAAAAATATTAATAAAGACAAACAATATTTAATCTATTCTCAATTTGACCGCAGACATCAAGTACAAAAGTTTGACAATAAATAGTATGCATGCGTGTGTGCGTCAAATACATGGTATGTAGTGTGTGTAATGTTTTCTTTATTGATTTAATGTATATTATATGCATTATTTAAAAAAAATATTGGCATTGTGCACTTCTTCTCTATATTCTCTATAAGTGTGGGAAATTTCATACTCCTCCGTCCGCGCAATTTACGTAAAAAGGGATACAAAGTTTTTGCTTCACGTATTAATATATAGATGATGCTACGTCAGTCTCGGGATTGTCGGGCTGTCGATAGCACGTTAGGTTAGGTAATCCCAATATACGTTAGTCACTTAACTGAACACGTGTCTTATTAATCCTTGCCCGATATAGAGACTCAACAAATATACTGCTATTACGCATGTCGGTGACGCGAACTCAGAAGATTTCAGCCATCCAAAAAGCGTCTAACGCGCACAGCACACTACGTACGTGTATACGTAACATTAGCATGTCGGTGACGCGAAGCCATAAGTTTTTTTTCCACCAAAAAGTACTCAACGCGGCTAAAGAAGTTTTAAATTCAAAAAATGCGAGATTAAAAACGTATAGTAACAGTTATAGTTTCCTTTTGTTTTTATGTTATGCATATAATATAATTAAACTAATCTAAAGTTCATGTAGAATCTTACCTGATAGTTCGTCTGTGTTATCAGAGAGGTCTCTAAGAAAGAAAATTATATTTGAAAAGTATAATCGCTAATACCGCTCAACGTGGCTCGATTAAGGCTAAACGATTTATACCACTACCACTACCAAGTTAAGAATCGTCGTGGCCTAAACGATAAGACGTCCGGTGCATTCGTGTTGAGTGATGCACCGGTGTTCGAATCCCAGGCGGGTACAAATTTTTCTAATGAAATACGTACTCGACAAATGTTCACGATTGACTTCCACAGTGAATGAATAACATCGCGTAATAAAAATCAAACCCGCAAAATTATAATATGCGTAATTACTGGTGGTAGGACCTCTTGTGAGTCCGCACGGGTAGGTACCACCGCCTTACCTATTTCTGCCGTGAAGCAGTAATGCGTTTCGGTCTGAAGGGTAGGGCACCCGTTGTAACTATACTGAGATCTTAGAACTTACATCACAAGGTGGGTGGCGTATTTACGTTGCAGATGTCTATAGGTTCCAGTAACCACTTAACACCAAATGGGCTCTGAGTTCGTCCACCCATATAAGCAATAAAAAAACTGCTAACACTACCACTACCAATACTACTACTACTACGGACTAATACTCCGAAAGACGGATATTGGTATCGCAGCAGCTTTAGCAGTAGCAGAATAACTCGTTTGCCGAGTGATATGTCATAGCATTCAATCTGCAAACGCACTATAGCTTTTATGAAAATTGCAACGAAATCCTTTCTGGTTGGGGAGAAAAAGACTCCCAATGTCTTCTCTAGACAAACGGAATGATGCTGAGAACATTTATCACAAAAGGCCACCCTTCAAACCGAAACGCATTACTGCTTCACGGCAGAAATAGGCAGGGCGGTGGTACCTACCCGCGCGGACTCACAAGAGGTCCTACCACCAGTAAAAAATGATGCCGAACTTCCCATGAGATTCCCAAGCCTAGGTGACGCGCACTCAATGTCCGATAATAGTACTATACTAGGACCGAAGACATAGAAAATGGTATTAAAGATTTTCTCCTAACTTGATTTCGAGTATGTTTTTCGTCACTGGTCCCTCGCTGGTGCTGAAGACAGCCTGGTAGACCCCTTCGTAAGCGTTCGAGTATTCAGTTATCCGTATAATCACAGATGACTCCACTACCTGAAGGCATTAAAAACAGTTTTCATGTTAAGACAATGTCTTTTGTAGACATAAAAAGGGACCCTTTGCAGCTAATACTGGACTTATCGTTTAAGCCTTTTATGTGGAAGTCAGATGAAGTAACAGTTTGGACTGTATGATAAAAAGATATCTTCGAAAACACCCTACGAATGAAGTTGATTGCAGATTGAAAACAATTGTCTTGACATCTGCAATAATTCCCGGTCCTAATATGGAGGAGTCTGGGGCAGCAGGTTGGCTAAGGAGGAACGGACCAGATCGGGGGGAAACTCAAATGTCTAATGACCCGACATCGGGTAAGCGCCCAGAATAGTTACGGTGTTTCCTGAGCGCTATGACTATGTCCTCCTTCAATGAGCCTTGCGACAGCCACTTGGCTGAGAACCTAGCAACGATAACAACCCACCATCATCATCGGGCCATAAGTCTATTAGGGCAATAAAAATAAAAGTGAAGAAGCTGTAAAGGTAAGGTCTAGTCATTAAATATCTTATAATACCTCATAGAACGCTATGGATCCGACCGAGGAACTCCTCCTGGTGTTAGTTTCCAACGGTATCCCGTTTACAGAAACCTGAAAATAAGAAGCAGCTTTTGCAGTTCTTGGACCAATAAGTAATAAGCTAGAACTCTAATAGATATGTGGTAATAAGACTCTTCTGGTGATAGGACGTCTTGTGAGTAGGGGTAGGAGCACATTTAGGTACCACCATGTCTATTTTTACCGTGAAGCAGTCTTGTGAGTTGTTGGGATGGGTGGGTTGGTACCACCACTCTGTCTATTTCTACCGTGATGCAGTAATGCCGCTTCGGTTTGAAGGCTGAGTCAGCCGTTGTAATGTAAAAACTGAGACTTAGAACTAGTGTCTCAAGGTGGCGTTGCGATGTCTATGGTCTACGATGACCACTTAACACGAGGTGGGCGAAGCTCTCGGGGTTTCTGCCTGAAATAATTTGCTAACACACCCTAGCAAGTGCTTCGCTGAATCTACCACCGGATTGGAATCACGATCCATTGAGAAGATCCCGCGAGAAGCTCAGTGCGACTGTGGGTAATTGACTCCGACTGCATAAATGATGTACTCATCTGGATGTTTCTCGAATTCGGTTCTCTACTTCGTTCAAATAATACGGTTTAATTTCTTTAACGATTAGATTGGATAATTTTATGTCGCCCCCTCGATGATACCACATTCATTAGTCTTGAGCGGCTGGTGATACTGTTACATATGCCCCTCAATAATAACGCAATTTATATAATAATACAGACTAAGGCATTCTTGAATGCATCGTCTCTATATAAAGACGATTTATTACTAAAGCGCGGCAGAACAGATTTGGCTTGAGTAGCGGAAACACACATCATTCGTACTACTTCTTTAATAAAATAAACTCAGCGCCAGTCACCGTTTCCTTTTTTTGAAAAAGAGCTCCTGGACCCAACCCGTAACAATACCACATTAGTCTACGGCTGCTCACCTTCTCGACGGAGCAATCGTTGTCACACGAGAAATGCACATGGTGTTCGAATTGCTCGCCATCTTTTGGAGTACCGATGACTTCCATCGTTGTTATGGTGACCGCTATAATAAAACAATTATCATTGGAACAGCGGCTCTGGGATATCTTTAAGTGCCGATTCGCACACGACCGTCTCAAGTGTGCTTGCTGCTAGTTTCTTAACTTCTCGATCGCGTAAAAGTTAACTCAAATTTGTATGGAAGTTAACTTTTACGCGATTGAGTAGTTAAAAAACTCACACTAAACACAAAGAGTCGGACCGATTCTTCTTGGATGTTCTTCATAATTGTTCCAGTTTTGATATTGGCAAGCAAGAGTGCTTCGCGACATTAAAGCGGTGTCAATTTATTACTGGTGGTAGGAACTCTTGTGAGTCCGCGCGGGTGGGTACCACCGCCCTGCCTATTTCTGCCGTGAAGCAGTAATGCGTTTCGGTTTGAAGGGTGGGGCAGCCGTTGTAACTATACTTGAGACCTTAGAACTTGTATCTCAAGATGGGTGGCGCATTTACGTTGTAGATGTCTATGGGCTCCAGTAACCACTTAACACCAGGTGGGCTGTGAGCTCGTCCAACCATCTAAACAATAAAATAAAAAAAACCGGTTGGGGATCACAAGACACCCTCACGAATGGTACTCACACGAACTCATAAATGTTACGGTTTTTATTTTATTTTTATAAAGCAATGTAATTCCTAGTCGTTCGTGAACATTTGTTGAGTACTTATTTTATTAGAAAAATTGGTGCCTGTCTGCGGGATTCGAACCTCGGCACGGTCGCGTCGCTCAATACGAATGTACCCGACGTCTTATCATTAAGGCCGCGACGAATTCCCATTAGCTAACGGGTTTTCATTTATCGAGAATCTAAATTATACGTAATATGAAAACTTACCAGGGGCTGTAAACGTGAAAGATATATTTTAAAATTTGTTTTATGACACAAATAACCAAAATAAAAATCGTTATGAACATATTTTTGCACGAAATGGGATATATCACGGAGAGAAAGGATTAGCAGAGATGGAGGTGGAGGATCGGTGGTGTTTTTAAAAGGTGTGACGCCAGCATTGGTGACATTCTCATAGAGTTCTCGACGGTTCTCGTAGATTCTCGTAGAGTTCTGAGATGTTCTCGGAGGGTTTAGTTGGTTCTAGGAGGGTCTCGGAGGGTCTGTAAAGTTCTCGGAGGGTCTCGCCACTGCGCCATGTTGTTTATAACTAGTCAGGTCATAAGTATTGTCACACAGTAAAAACTTTTCTTTTAGAATGCTGGCCACAAAAAAGTTTATTGAATTCGAATTTCGAATTGTTCATGAAAATAAAAAAGTATACTTTTAGAATTTTACTCATTTTTAAATATGGTGTGGACGCTTAAAGAAGACCGTGTTGCAGTTATTGCGTTGCATCTTTGCGGTTACGCGCCAATTCAAATTTTTAACATACTGAAAAATTTGAATATAACCAAAAGATTCGTTTATCGTACCATCAAACGATACAATGAAGACTCTAGTGTAGATGACAGGTCAAGAAGTGGTCGCCCTCGGTCTGTTAGGACTCCAGCAGTGATAAAAGCTGTGAAGGCGCGAATTCAAAGAAATCCCAAACGTAAGCAGAAACTGTTGGCCCTTCAGATGGGGTTAAGCAGAACCACGGTGAAAAGGGTGTTAAATGAAGACTTAGGGCTTCGGGCATATCGAAGAAAAACAGGACATCGTTTGAATGCTCGTCTAATGGACCTGAGACTGAAGAGATGCCGCGCTTTGTTGAAGCGGTACGCGGGAAAAAAATATCGGGAAATTCTTTTTTCGGATGAAAAAATTTTTACCGTAGAAGAGAGCTACAACAAACAAAATGATAAGGTGTACGCACACAGTAGTGAAGAAGCGAGCAACCGTATTCCGCGTGTCCAACGAGGTCATTTTCCATCCTCGCTCATGGTATGGTTGGGAGTTTCTTATTGGGGCTTAACAGAGGTACATTTTTGTGAGAAAGGTGTAAAAACGAATGCAGTTGTGTATCAAAATACAGTCCTGACGAACCTTGTGGAACCTGTTTCTCATACCATGTTCAATAACAGGCACTGGGTATTCCAACAAGATTCGGCGCCAGCTCATAGAGCGAAGAGCACACAAGACTGGCTGGCGGCGCGTGAAATCGACTTCATCCGGCACGAAGACTGGCCCTCCTCCAGTCCAGATTTGAATCCGTTAGATTACAAGATATGGCAACACTTGGAGGAAAAGGCGTGCTCAAAGCCTCATCCCAATTTGGAGTCACTCAAGACATCCTTGATTAAGGCAGCCGCCGATATTGACATGGACCTCGGTTGTGCTGCGATAGACGACTGGCCGCGCAGATTGAAGGCCTGTATTCAAAATCACGGAGGTCATTTGAATAAACTTTAGTGTCATAAGAATATATATTTTGTTATATGAATGGTTACAAAATGAATAAACTTGTTTCAATTATTTTACATTAAACATGTGACAGAATTTATGACCTGACTAGGTACAATTTGATGACATCAGCGTCGCTGACGAGCGTTATTAGGCGCCGGTATCGGCATTGTCAATGAACCTGTTACATTTGTGTTCCGTTTTGACAGCGCGCTCACTAGAGGGCGCTAGAATATTGATTGCACACAGACGCTGCGTGGGCTAGAGACGCATCTGGTCATCGGTGCTTGACACGAGTGAAGTATTCAAGCGATAATAAAAAGATGCGTATTATCATTAGTTTATTATGGCCCCAAATGACGTCACGCCAATAAAGTTCCGCGCGACACGGTCTTGGTAAAGTTCGGGCATTCATTTTAAAAACATATGTATATATGTATGTATGTTTTCTGTACTGTTCAAGATTTTTAAAAACATGAATATAATTAAAATACTTACAGCTATCTGCGAAATAAAATAATAATATAGTGTTTTAATCGATTTTTGTGGATAACAGACCCAATTAAAAATACTTTTAGGGTTTGATTATTATCATTGTGAAATTGTTTTTAATGTTTCGGGCAATTTACTGTTTACGTTTTTTGTTAAAGTAGTTTTAATATTTAAAATTATATTTTAAGAACCGAACTTAACCCTTTGTGCGCGAATCGACGATAGATCGACTCTCTATTAATGCGTTTAAAGTGCGTCGGAATATCGACTATTACGCAGTTTGAACATAGGTATCCAAGTGTACGGATGTGTCTTAGCGCGAGCACGTAAAACGATTGTAATAAGTTAAAATAACATCTATAAATGACAATTTAAAATTTCTGTGAATTAAAAATGTACTTTTTTTTCAATAATCCTTTAGCTATTTCTGTTAAATATGTGAAAATAAGCTCAGCACTAAAAGGGTTAAAGAAATCGGATTTATAAAGAAAAAAAAAAACAGGACACATTAAAAGCTTAAAATTGGTCTTCGGTTCAGCTAATGTTAGGAAGTTACGGCAGGGCCCAGAAAGTGTTAACTTTTTTTTTATTGCCCTTGTAGGCAGACGAGCATACAGTCCACCTGATGGTGAGTGGTTAACGTCGCCCATGGACTTCAACAATGCCAGGGGCAGAGCCAAGCCGCTGCCTACCGCAAACGGTGATCTATGTCCAAATTTATTCACCGCATTCTGTTCTCCCATGAAGTCCGAGCTATGAGTACATTTACTGTTGGTAGGACGTCTTGTAAATCCGCACGGAGGTACCACCACCCTGCCTATTTCTGCCGTAAAGCAGTAATGCGTTTCGGTTTGAAGAGCGAAGCAGCCGTTGTACTGTAACAACGGAGACTTAGAACTCGTGTCTTAAGTCGGGTGGCGGCACTTTGTTGATGTCTATGGGCTACAGTCGTAGGCTCGTCCACCCATTTTACTAGAATTTCTTTTTCATATATTCAAAAGCAAATAGAGTTTATTTTCATTAATGAAAACTCACTTTCTATGACGGCTAGTATTTTCTTGTATAATCGATCGTCTTTTTTGAATACGCCCAAATACACGCAGGCGTTCGTGTCTTCGAAGCTGCAACGGGTCAATCAATGTTAATTACAAGCGGGCGAGGAAACGGACGAAGTGGACAGGATCAGGCCCTGCTGAAGATCGCTGGCATTGGAGGACAGGTCACTGTTTTTAACCTTGTCAAAGGTCTACGTCGAACTTTGGGGATGTTGAACCTTGGTTGAAGTCTATAAATAAATAAATAATAAATAAATATTTACTAACAAATCACGCCACGTTAACTGGTCCCGTGATAAGTTCGTAAAGAACTTGTGTTACAGGTGCCAGATAACGGAAATAAATGTAAGATTTTTATTATACACATACATATATTCGAACCTTGGGGGAGATCTTGCCGAACTTTGGGAAGGCCTATGTCAAACCTTGGTTGAAGTCTATGTCGAACTTTGGGGGAGATCTTGTCGATCTTTGGGAAGGTCTATGTTGGACCTTGGTTGAAGTCTATGTCGAACCTTGGGGGAGATCTTGTCGAACTTTGGGAAGGTCTATGTCGAACCTTGGTTGAGGTCTATGAAGGAGGTCGAGCCTTCGGGGAGGTGAACGACAACTGGGTTAAAGGGTACGTTAAAGGGTAGCCCTTATAAGGGCTATACTATATATAGGGCTAAGGCTATTATACCACATAAGGGCTATACATATATACATAGTGGTATACCACGAACTTTAGAATTAACGTCTCAAGGTGGCGGCATTTATACGCTCCGATAATCTCTTGAAAATTTAACTATGGTTAAAGTAAAAGGTACTTGAAAAAAATAATCTCCTCCCAATTTTGAACCATCAAAGCAAGCGGGAAGGTGTTATGCAATTGCACAAATTTACACAATGCAATGTCGGTTCTGCATTGTTTGTCGTGGCGTTTACGTGAATGACACCATCCCGTCCGTCTGGGCAATAAAACTTAACCGCACCTGGGGAAGTTGAAGCTGATCAGTTTCCCGGGTATCACGGTTATCCGTCCGCTGGCCAGGACGCTCTCCCCGTTGCAGAGGACGTCCGTCAGTTCGCAGTCCTCGCATGTGCACTGCACTGTGGTGTCGTAATGATCTCCCACTTTGGAGGCGGTCTTTAATCTCGAAGCTTTCAATACTGCAACGATAATGTCATGGGGATGACGCACCTTCAATTCGATTTAGCGTAGCAAAGAATATATCGACGCTTGAAAGGCAAACGTGACTAAGCGACAATAACTGCTTTGTACATAAATGATAGGCAATAACCATATTCGATGCGCAAAAAATATATATTTATAGATCTATTAAAATCATTTCAATCCTACAGCTAGATTCGTTAAAATTGATTTTTTTTCAGGTATTTCCAATTTATATTAGTCTAATGTAAATTTCACGCATTGTCGCTTAGTCACGTTTGCCTTTCAAGATATGTATATTGAGGGTTGAAAAGTTGGTAAGAGAGTGTTAACTATGAATGTGGAAGGATATAGAGGAAGAGGTAGACCTAAAAAGAAATGGATGGATTGCGTGAAAGACGACATGTGTAAGAGGGGAGTGAGCGAAGAAATGGTATATGATAGAGGAGTATGGAAGGAGAAAACATGTTGCGCCGACCCCAGGTGACTGGGAGAAGGGCAGGAGAATGATGATGATGATGAGGGTTTGGTATAAGCGACAGTTTGGCTTAATACGCGACTTTTGTCTTTGCAATTAAAGGTTTCTTTTATTTGGTATCAGCATCAACAGTTCGATGTTGTTCGATGACCACATTCAAATAGCTAAAGAAGTTTTTTTGTTATGATAGTTTTTCCAAATTTAAACCTTTAAGCGGCTTTTTTACTTAAACGGCTGGAAAGTTGCGAAAATGTCTCTTAAACTACTTACTCTCTTTCTGTCTTTCACACCTCCATTAATAAAAGAGAGTGTATTTATATTGAAACTACTAAAACACAAGAAACGTGTGCCCATTTGATATGAAACTTTGCACACTTAAAAAGAGTGACATGACCCATGCGACGAATATAGAACATTAGCCCCGGATAGATGGCGCTAGTGACAAGGATTATTATCTTTTGAACCTTTGGGTCGAATTCATGTGAGATCTCTATATATAATGGGTTTATGTGTATACACCTAAAATTATCTTACGTAGTCAGCTTTTTGAATCGTCATATGCCTTATATGATGAATAAAATTGCATTTCGTTGCGAGTGAAGTCGCAGGCGTACCAATAATTTTAACTTAATCGATTAAGTAGCATTATTGATGCAATTAATTATCAATCTGTTTTAAGTTGTAAAGGTAACTTATCTGTTTAATTAATATGAAAATTTGCAATATTTATGTAAATTGCTTATAATTTTTTTTTTATATGTTAATAAAACTGTAAAAAGTCCCTCCCTTGCTGCTTGTTTTTACGACTATTATTTGAACAATTAAACTGTAAACTCACCGTTGCCTGTAAAATTTAAAATAGTATTTTAATTACGGTTTACAAAAAAAAATAACAAAAAATATCGACTTGACTTAGATTTGGAGAGAGAAATTAACATTTAATATCAGAAGGTGGGTAGGTACAAATTAATAACACGAACACGCAGGGTTGTACTATTTATTTTATTTTTCCTACTCACTGCTAATAACCTCAAAGGGTTATACTAGCTTTACTGAAAGCGTGGGTGAGCTCACGGGGCTCACCCTGGATGAGTTTGCAACCATCTGCTCTAGCAAGAGCAGCGCAACGCTGAATCTTTCCGCCAGATTGGAATCGTGACCCACTGAGTAGATCCGGTGAGGAACTCAATGGGCTATGGGTTATAATATTCAGAGTGATCTATTAAAATAGACCGAAGTCTTTAACAAAGTACACTATTGTCCCCACGTGCAGGAAAGCATACGGCCCACATAATGATGAGATAAAGCCTTCGTTCAACGACGTCAAACATGCCAGAGACTGATCCAAACCGCTGCCTATCGTCTAGTATACCAGCTACTCCTGTATAATACCAGATTTTACTTACGATAATCTGCAAAAATATAACACTATTAATTAATTAAAATATAATATTGGCATATACCCAAACGAAAACCGAGGGTTTTTTTTTTATTGCCCTGGTAGGCAGACGAGCATACGGCCCACCTGATGGTGAGTGGTTACCGTCGCCCATGGACTCCAGCAATGCCAGGGGCAGAGCCAAGCCGCTGCCTACCGCTTAATACTCTCCACAAGCCGCGTTTGAAGAAGGACATGTCATAGCGCTCGGGAAACACCGTGGAGGGGAGCTCATTCCATAGCCGGATGGTAAATAGTTCCATAGCCGGGTTTTTCGTAGAGGGGACGTTATCGCTCAATCAATCAACCAATTATTCGTCAATCATCAATCATCCAATCATCCAACCAATCGTTCCTTGAATGTTAATTAACTAATGTTAAATGAGCTCGTCCACAAATCTAGGCAATGAAAAAAAAAATTAAAAAAATCATAGCTCGAAGACCTTTTCAGGAGAAAAGGAAAGACCTGGGAAGGTGGGCGAACAGGGTTCAACAGCGGCCCGAGCACCTCCGAAGGAGACCTAACAGCTCTAGGGCATTTTTTTTTATTCCTTAGATGAGTGGACGAGCTTACAGCCCACCTGGTGTTAAGTGGTTACCGGAGCCCATAGACATCTATAACGTAAATGCGCCACCCACCTTGAGATAAGTTCTAAGGTCTCAGTATAGTTACAACGGCTGCCCCACCCTTCAAACCGAAACGCATTACTGCTTCACGGCAGAAATAGGCGGGGTGGTGGTACCTACCCATGTGGACTCACAAGAGGTCCTACCACCAGTAAGCCAGTGTGATCTATCTTTTAGCCCACAGACGTTCACTGTTGGACATAGGCTTCCCTCTCCTAAGCCTTGACCTGTCCCGCGCTGCTTGCATCCAGCGGATCGCCGCTAACCGCAATAGGTCATTGGTCCACCGTGTGGGAGGCCTAACCACGCTACGTCTATCGGAGTCGCCACACGAGAACTTTTCGGCCCCAGCGGCTATCTGATGACGAGCAATGCGGCCTATCCACTGCCACTTCAACGTCGCAGTCGATTGGACTATTTCGGTCACCATGGTTTTCCTACGAATCTCCTCATTCCTGATTTGTTCTGGCAGAGTAAAACATAGTGCCTATTCTTGTCGCAAAAACGTGACATAAAAAAGTTTGATATCCAGCGTTGTGGTGCTATTAACGTCGATAGCTTCTTGATAGCAGTCAAACACACGTCAACAATACACAAAATGGTCTCAGAAAAATTATATAAGTCGCGGTATGTTTTAATTTTTTAGATAAATTATCCCAAAATAGTTGCTATTAGTCTAAAATAATGACGAAAATTACCATGCTCTGAAAAAGAAAATAAAAATTTTTATTATTATTAGACATTTATAATACGGGGAGGGGGTGTTTTCTAAGTTGTCAACAAGAAAACTCCTCGACTTCACTTAACTAATCAAATTCAATCGGTCTATTTCAGTTGGTGAAAAATCAATATTGGCATAGCGCGACAAATTTATAGAAATTTCGGGAATCGAAAAAAGCGTACGACATTGTTTTATTTCTGATTTTCTCGGACATGCATTATATATATATTTTATTGCTTAGGTGGTTGGACGAGCTCACAGCCCACCTGGTGTTAAGTGGTTACTGGAACCCATAGACATCCACAACGTAAATGCGCCACCCACCTTGAGATATAAGTTCTAAGGTCTCAGCATAGTTACAACGGCTGCCCCACCCTTCAAACCGAAACGCATTACTGCTTCACGGCAGAAATAGGCAGGACGGTGGTACCCACCCGCGTGGACTCACAATAGGTCCTACCACCAGTACTCACAATAGGTCCTACCACAAGGATTCACAATAGGTCCTATCACCACTTATATTATCATTAATATTATTGATAGCATTAGTGGTAGTCAAATCTATAGATTTTCTGAAAAATTCATCGAAATCTAGCTATTTCCAAGTCTTCAGGGAACGTACATATATCTTATAAATACATCGACTTTTATATATTATATAAATAATTTACCTGGTGCTGTAATAACAAACATACTTTTGAATAAAAACACATATATTTCAGTGTGCTCAGAACGAGTTTTTTAAAGTTCTCGGTGGCGTAAAAGTTAACTCAAAGTATGTAGTTGGAACAGCGCCAAAACGGCCGTCTGGTGTAGTGGTAAGTGACATGGTCACTACACAAGGAGGTCGCGGGTTCGAATCCCGCCATGGGAAGATATTTGTGTGATAAATATAAATGTATTTTCCAGGGTTATGGATGTATATTAAATATATGTATGTGTATAATAAAAATATTACATTTATTTCCGTTATCTGGTACCTGTAACACAAGTTCTTTACGAACTTATCACGGGACCAGTTAACGTGGCGTGATTGTTAGTAAATATTTATTATTATTATTATAAAAAAATTGGCAAACGTAGGCAAACGTTCCAACTTCATATAAAATTGAGTTATTATAACTTTTACGCTATCGAGAACGTTAAAAAACTCGCACTAAGTACACTGGAGGCAATAGCGTAGTGAGATATCAATGCCTCATCATTAACGACTCTGTATTTCGTGGGCCTTGGTCTAGCGAGACCTGGATATTAATTATTACCTATATATTAGCCCATAGACATACACTGGTGGAGGCCTCCCCCAAGGCTCGCAACAACCGCTGGTCATGCGCATCCAGCAGTTTCCTGCGACTTTCAGCAGCTGCTTAACTGCTGGATACTTTTTTTTAACTTTTTACTGGTGGCAGAACCTCTTGTGAGTCCGCACGGGTAGGTACCACCACCCTGCCTATTTCTGCTGTGAAGCACTAATGCGTTTCGGTTTGAAGGGTGGGACAGCCGTTGTAACTATACTGAGACCTTAGAACTCTTATCTCAAGGTGGATGGCGGCATTTACGTTGTAGATGTCTATGGGCTCCGGTAACCACTTAACACCAGATGGGCCGTGAGCTCGTTCACCCGTCTAAGCAATAAAAAAAATGCGGTGAGCTCCCGGGGTCTAACTTGTGGGAGGCCTACATTGTGGAAAAGCCTTTGGATCCAGCGGCCATTGGTTCTACAAGCAACGTATCTACCCACTGCTACTTCAATCTCGAAATCCTTGCGGCTATGTCGGTTATGATGGTTCTCCTGCTAGTCTCCACATTCCTGATCTTGATCTCGCATCGAAATGATTGTGAACTCACATTTAATGGTAAGCGCCTTGATCCTCTCCTCGTTGCCGTCTTCGTTCTCAAGGACAGCGAAATAATCGCCAAAGTCCTGTGGTCTGGTGCCCTCCAAATCGAGGACTATAAACTTTTGCCTGAAAGCGATGTTTGTGTAAATCGATGGATGCGTATTGGTACGACCGACAAAAGTAGATAAAGTACAAGAAGCACCAAAAGAAAAAACAAAATGTGTGCAATTTACACGTGGTAGAAGTGAAACCTTCCAAAATTAAAATACAATTATCCTAAACGTCTTAAGTATATGTAAAATTTTGTCATTAGTAAATAATTGTAAGGTAGCGCCCTCTGTGAATTGATATTTTAATTTCACGTATAATCCTAAATTAAAATTCACTACAAGAGCTTTCATACACACGTTAGTATTAAAAAATCTCACAGATGGCGCTGTATTAAATAGTATGTATATTTCTGTCTCATTCTTTGCTGGCTTCATCCTACACATTTTTGTATTTGTGTCTCTTACCTGTCATTTTTTCCGTTGCATCCGGTTTGAAATCACAACGATTCTAAAGAAGTTTTCACTTCAATAGGTTAAGGACGTTGTAATTGATATAGTACTGGAGAAATAACCCAAGGAGGATTGAGGTCAGGCTGGTCGTAACACCCATTGCAGATCCTTATTCAGCATAAGAAGACATGCAGCGCCGATCCCACAAGATGTGGGTTTAGGGTAGGAAGAAGAGTAGCTGGCGACGTCTTAGATGAGAAGAGTAGAAGATGTTTGAAAGTATGGCTTTGTAGGGTATCATTAACGCAGACATTAAGTTGAAGGTAGTATACTATTCTGGCGACTTCCAATGTACACCACAATATGTAGAGCAGCATTGGCATCTACCAGATGTACACATACCGTCCTTTACTAGAATTACTATCTGGAATTCTCTCAAATAGCTCCGCAATGGATACCACAAGGTCCGTTTATGTTTAACGTGAAAAGATCAGGCGCTTCGGCTTGGAGATCCCGTTGTTCAGAAATTGAGGTGGTGGGTGTTACGATATTATTGAGTCCTGATAATGCCAGGTAAACCGAGATCTTAATAGCGCATGCGCGGTAGTAAGAAAAATTATTAAATGATACTGTCGTTTTTAGTAAGTTCATATTTTGAGAGCACGCAATCGAAGACGAAGGCAACTGCAGTGCGTTCAAGAAGGGTCGTTGACTCCTGCTTAAATTCGTGTTGCATTGCGTGCAGCGTATGAACTGTATTTTCTATTATTATCTATGAATAATAAATGACGGTAAAACGAAGAATGTGTGTTAAATACACATTTTAAAAGTATTTAAAGTTCCAAGAGGAGATCTTAGAAATAACTAAACAAATATGTCACTTAACTGTTTTCCTTGCCTGCAATATAATTTAATAAAATGTTAACATCATTTTTGAATTAAAATGAAATTCATTACCAAAGCACTTAAAATATGATATTAATAATTAATTTAGGAGTTTTACTACATTGTTTTTGGAAATTCGTTGTTAGTACTACTAAAATGTTACATTTATTAAATATTCAATTATTTTTTTCGTCTGTGATAAAGAGTTTGCTGTTTTAGACAAAATATAGATTAATTTACGGTTGCTATTTAAGCGAGCTTTTAAACGAATTTTTATTTTAATTTTCGACAGCTATAAAAGCTTGCTTTTTTAGACGAAACGTAGCTTCCAAATCTCTTCAGATATAAAAACTTGCTTTTTTAAACGAAATGTAGATTGGTTTTAATATTCAGTCGCTAAAAACGCATGCTATTTTAATGAAATGTACCTAGATTTTAATTTTCGTTAGCTATAAAAGCCTGTTTTTTTGCTTTTTTCAGTTTACGAATTATATATCTATAAGGTTTTTAATATTCAGTCGCTAAAAACGCATGCTTTTTTACCGAAACGTAGATTTTAATTTTCGTTAGCTATAAAAGCGTGCTGTTTTGCTTTTTTCAGTTTACGAATTATATATCTATAAGGTTTTTAATATTTAGTCGCTAAAAACGCATACTTTTTTAACGAAATGTAGATTTTAATTTTCGTTAGCTATAAAAGCGTGCTTTATTGCTTTTTTCAGTTTACGAATTATATATCTGTAAGGAATACACGTACGGATCGCTGTAGCTACGCAAACTGTATCTGGAGGGGTCCAGATTGGCAACTGTTCCGTCCACGGCCCTTAGCATGACACCCATGATGCTGCACTTGTTACATCTCAGCGGAATTGAAGTCCTGTTCAAGCGCTGAGACGGTATGACCTCAATAACTTGCGCATCAACGCTTATCTGCGCCAAGTCTGTGAAATTCGATTGAATAATGTCAAATAGGCCTCAAAAAAAAAAGAACTAGAAAGCTCTCAATTCAGCTCTATGTATTTTTTTGATTTGTGGTTCCAGGTTATTGGGATGATTTCGTTTATTTATTTAGAAACTTTGGTGCTTACCGTGTCGTCCTATTTAAATAATAAGTAATGCATAGATATCTACAACGTAAATGCCACCATCTTGAGATATAAGTTCTAATTGATATTATTTCTGTTTTCTAAGGCCTCAGTTTTTACAGTACAGTCTGCCCCGCCTTTCAAGCTGCGTTACTGCTTCACGCCCACTAACGGTGCTTTTAGGTACCTCAAGCACCGGTAATCGTTCTCTAAGCTAACCCATAGACACAGCCCACCAAGTTTCACGCCGGATCTTCTCAGTGGGTGGCGTTTCCGATGCGGTGATAGATTCTGCAAAGCACTGCCCTTGCTATGGTTAATGTTAGCAACGTCGAAAGGTTGAGTTCACCTACTTATTGGTTACCGTCGCCCGTGGACTTCAGCAATGCCAGGGCAGAGCCGAGCCGCTGCATACCAAAGGTAGGAAAAAAAACTGCATCACGGCAGAATCAGGCAGGGCGGTAGTATCTATACGGGCGGGCTCACAAGACGTCCTACCACCAGTGATGATGTACCAGTTATTTCGTTGTTGTTTTTTTGCAATTCGACGACAGATGGCGTTGCACGCGCAAAAATATCAACGGGGCTTTATCAAGCATCGTCAGAAGTCGTCGTACGACTGTGGAATTCGCGAATTTGCCCCCGAAACATTTACTAAGCCTATTCGTACACTCTTGACAGAGTGGTCGTGGTCATGCATCAGTCGGATCCTGCGATACCGATGCTCTCGCGATGCGACGCCATGTGGCACGATGTTTCGCAGAGTCAGAGCAATCATTTATGTTGGAATGAGTCACAGATTTTATGAGGTCGGTCCATCGTATTGGAGATCGTCCGCGAGATCTTTTGCCCTCGACTTTCCCTTGCACCACCAACCGCTCAACGGAGTCCTCATTACGAGTGATGTGTCCGAAGAACTTGAGGATTTGTATTTGGACTGTTGACGATAGTCTCTCCTTGATTTTGAGCTCTTTCAGGAACCGAGCTTTGGTACGGTGCGCGGTCCACGGAAATCTGAGGAGACACTTACTAAGGGTCAGACATTTTATCTGTTTGAAAGTGCCGGGCTGGCTTGCGGATTCGAAGCGACCGTAGTACGTTCCGACGTCTTCGGGACGAAACGGTCTAAACGTAAATGTAACGGACACGTAACGACCCTGCACACTGTGCTCGACGAATAGTCTGTCCTGTAAATTAATTTATTTATTACCTACACTTCATGTCAAAATTTACATTGGCGGACTTAATGCCTTAAACGCATTCCCTACCAGTCAACCAAAGGTAGTGCAGAGTAAATAGTGGTAGGTGCAATGAAATTTATATTCAATTACAAGTATATACACAAAAATCGTTATAGTGAGCCAACCGCGTCAGCATGGTTCTATATGTTAACATATAGACATATGCTGACGCGGATTTTTTTTAGATCTTTTAAAGGGGAGCAATTCTGTCATACATTATTTTAGCGAAACTTTAACCGTTTCTGCTCCGCTTGTATTGGTCTTAGCGTGATGTTATATCGTAGCCTATAGTCTTCCTCGATAAATGGGCTATCTAACACTGCAAAAATTTTTCAAATCGGACCAGTAGTTCCTGAGATTAGCGCGTTCAAACAAACAAACTCTTCAGCTTTATAATATTAGTATAGATATACGAGTATACACAATCTCATATATATACATACATACATATATACACACATAGGTATAATAGTTTAATTACGTAATGTATTATATTAATAATGTAATAAATAATAATTTACGTGAAATTTTATATGTAATGACGTTTGTATTGCGTCTTTGCTTTGTTAAGATCAGGGGACGAACTAGCAGGCTACCGTCAGCTGGTACAGCTGCAACCCCGCTCTTAAAATTGGCTTCGCGGCTGAAATAGCCAGGGTCGGTGGTACCCGTCCGCGCGGTGTCACAAGACGTCCTACCACCAGTAATTATGCAATTTTTTTTATTGCTTTGATGGGTGGAGGAACTCACAGCCCACCTGGTGTTAAGTGGTTACTGGAACCTTGAGATATAACTTCTAAGGTCTCAGTATAGTTACAACGGCTGCCCCGCCCTTCAAACCGAAACACATTACTGCTTCACGGCAGAAATAGGCAGGGTCGTGAGGGGGGTACCCATCCGTGCGGTGTCACAAGACGCCCTACCACCAGTAATTATGCAAATTATAATCTGTTAGATGACGCTATTGCTTCATTGCTCGGGGAAGTTGTTTGTGAGCATTTGTCAAGTACTTATTACGTTAGAAAAATTTGTATGTGCATGCGGGATTCCAACGCCGGTCCAGTCGTATTGATGGAAACCAGGAAGGAGGTATGAGCTTTCGTCTGGGCAGGTAATAAAAAAAACTAGTCAAGCATGGAAACATGTCGTTCATGCCAAAACGAAATAAATACTCACGTGGTAATATGGCTAGAATAAAAAAAAACATAACTTTTTTAAAAGATTTCAAGATCTGATAACGCGACCTTTTAGCCAATTCTTATCATGAAATAAATTATAAAAGCTAACGTAATGTAATCATTGTCGAGATTTCGAAAATTGCTTTTAAAACAAATTTTCTTAAATGAAGGAAATCGTGTTAGCTTAAAACTTAATGCATTCAAAAATAAAAACTACGTTTTTATTTAGTACACAAACAATAATGGATTTATCTTTTACTTTAGGTATGCTTAAAAGTTTTAGTATTTAAATTTAGTTTTTCCAAGGAAAAGATATATCTTATATACTTATGCATCTGTCTGTCTGTATGAATATTAAAAAAAAACTAATATTTAAAAATAAAAAAATCTAATATTTAAAAAAAAAAGACGTGCTTTCTTGCCAGTTCTTCTCAGGACGGAGGCTAGTTTTTGTGAATTGGCGGTAGTTCTTTTTGACGTTCAACAAGTATGTACTTTCATTCATGTTGATTTTTTTTTTATTTGATTTGTTACCACTAGGTACTTTAATATATATTTAGTTATAAATCTCATTATTCTAATTAAACAGCGGCTCTCCAAACACAAGTTGCTTAACTGACATTCCAAGCCCAGTTCGTGACTATTGACAAGCTTAAAGATAATAATTAAAAGTAAAACTACTTTTAGATATAATAATTCGAGGGGTGAAATGCTACATGGGGTAAGCAACATTTCGCATAACAGGCGACATTTTTCTTTGTAATTAAAGGTCCGTTTTATTTGGTATCAGCATCAACAGCTCGATGTTTTTAATTGAATTTCAATTAAGCTACATTTAAATGGCTGAAGAAATTTCTTTGTTATGATGATATTTTTTCTAAATTTTAAACTTAAAAAGGCTCGCCTGTAAAGTCGCAAAAATGTTGCTTAAGCTTTTGAAACCCCTCGATATGTTTTTACGATAAAGAATTTCTTGACCTAAAAGGTCTTAGTTACCAGGCCATAATATCCCTTAAAAAAAAAGATAAAGTATTTACCCTGTGCAAAGTCGTAAGTCGAGTTTGCTGGAAAATTAATTATTTCTTTTAATGTACACATCTATAATATAATGTACGTCTAAAACTATCCGCCTTATATTCCGCCTATTTCTGTGGAAAATGGTTCTTTTATATTATGGAGGGTAGAAGGAGCACCATCTCAGTGGATTAAAAAGTGTTTACCGAAATAAGCAAATGAAGATGGCGCCATAGTAGCAAGTGGAAAGATTTTAGAAATACATAACACAGGGAATCGTAATTTGGGGCCGGATCACCGTGCGTGATTTGTTCCCAGTTATTTATTAATATGGATAGGACGACAAACAGACGGCAAACAGACGAAGTTGTCGATGTCATCTACTCTGCTGAGTCGTTAATTTAAGTTTATTATTTGTAAATAATTATCCTTTTTGCGTCTGAATAAAGGCTTTTAATATTATTATTGTTTTATTTATTAATATAAATTAGCGTTTTAGCGCGTTAGTGCGCACTGTGGCTTTAATGGAACGATTAGGGCTGTCACGTTCTTCAAATAGAAACGCATCGCGGGAGAAATAGGTAGGCAACCTACCCGTGCGGACTCCCAAAACGCCCTACCACCAGTAAGCTTAGCTCACAGACCCTATACCTTAAGACGTGAGTTCTAAGCCTCAATTTTACAGTACAAGGGCTGCCCCACCCTTCAAATCGAAAGGCGTTACTGCTTCACGACAGAATGGCGGTACTACCTACATCTATCACCAGTTAAGCAGTATGTAAGAGTCTGTTACATAAACAAACCCTTTTGTTTGCGTGCTAAACAAGAAATCTGGTAAGATAATGCTTGCCGAATCAACTCACCCCTCCGGCCGGCGACCATTTCCCAGTACCGTGAAAGACGTAGCCATCCGGAATCTGTACCCGCCTTGGGCTGGTCGTGTAAGATCTCCCGCTGGGCAACACGAACTCATTCGGGTCGTCCTCTGAAAATACATCCAAAGCAGTATTTCTACCTAAGCTAGTTTAATCGAACGTGGTTTGATTTTTTAATGCATTTCTCATTAACAATCAGGCAAGGTCTGTTGTGCACTGTGTCTTAGATATACGGAACGTAACTCTGTCTCTCTCTCTCTTTCTATCTTCACTAACTTATATCTCCCTCTCAATTTCCGTGCGCCTCGCCCGATCACACTTTTCGTAACGATCTCGTCACGCATTCGCCAGCTAAGTTTAAAGAGGTTTTGCTTCAAAAACAATAATTTGAGTATCTCTTAATTATTATGAAGGTGATTAAAAACTTACCCGGGACCGCTGTGGATATTTTTCATGAATGAAAACCACGTGAATAATAAGTAGCTGTGTTAATGTTACTTAGATGTGGACTTGGCTAAGCGTCTGACAGTTAATACCGTACTCAGGTGAAAGTGGTCTTCGGAGAGACAAGTCTCCCGTTGTTCGGACTGACGGAGTCAAGGCTGCGACTGCTCGTGTCCTCTAGATCTACATACTCTATATATATATGTATCTATGTATGTATCCGGCGAGAAACTCAGTGGGCTGTGTCAGTGGGTTAATTTACTCGTCGGGCCCTTCGTCGCCAGCGACGCGTTCGACGAGAACGATGACCGGTGCTTGACGTACCTAAAAGCACCGTTAGTGGATCGGGAGGATCCGAAATGACGTGTTTGGGGCGACGTCGACTGCTTTCCATTCTGTCCGCAGGATCCGGAATGTAATTACCGGCGGCCACGATGAGAGGGTTCTCGTGTCGTGCCGCTTTATCGAAGTGAGACCGTACTACGATCACCACTCACATATGAATTGTCAGCCTTGATGGTCAGTTTTTACGGTCGTATTTCGATTATTGGACGATGACTTAACGGTCCAGTATCATCACTAATGTACTACAGGGTATCCGATGCCCATAACAACAGATGATATTCTATAGATGCGTATGTAACATTTATCGAATCAACACTTACGTGGTACGATTTCTGTGAAAATAATTCCATTAAAATATGTTATATTTGTGTTTTTTTTATTGCTTAGATTGGTGGGCAAGCTCACAGCCCACCTGGTGTTAAGTGGTTACTGGAGCCCACAGACATCTACAACGTAAATGCGCCACCCACCTTGAGATATAAGTTCTAAGGTTTCAAGTATAGTTATAACGGCTGCCCCGTCCTTCAATCCGAAACGCATTACTGCTTCACGGCAGAAATAGGCAGGGCGGTGGTAGCTACCCGCGCGGACTCACAAGAGGTCCTACCACTAGTAATTACGCAAATTATAATTTTGCGAGGTGATTTTTATTACAGGTTATGTTGTTCCTTCACCGTGTAAGTCAATCGTGAACATTTGTTGAGTATATATTACATGTCAGCCTGTCTGCTGTCCACTGAACCTAGACCTCTCTGATTGATGTCCAGTGCGGCCGGTCCGTTGTCAGCTGATTCCAACGTAACCCAGCGATTTTCACCAGGTCCTTGGTTCATCTAGTAGGTGATCGTCTCACACTGCGCTTGATGTGTTTTATAAGTATATGTTTTTATATTTACTAGTGGTCCCGCAGTAGTCAAAATTCGACTAAAATTCATTGATATTATAAGTTTGAAGATTATTAAGATTTTATTGTCAAAGACTATTTATTATATTTCTATAATCACAAATTTTTACCAAGACTACACTATAGACAAATAATATTAACGACAAACAATATTAATCTACTCTCAATTTAGCACAGACTTTAACAATAAACTCTTTAGATCTAATCTCTAATCTAATCGCTCTAGTCAAAAGAGCTATGAAGGATTCGATCATGGGGCAAAATCTTTTGCCCCGCCGATGCAATAAATTTATATCTTCGCTCTAAGCTCTAATATCATGACCGGTATCGACACAGTTAAAAATGACTCGTAATTGTTAGTTCGTTTTGCTTTATATGTGTATTTTTTTAATTTTAAAACTACTTAAATCTATTTTCACTAACAAGAAAAGACGGTACATACAGTCTGGCTTAGATTTTCTTGATTCGTAACTTTAATATAAGTAAAATACAATAATGAAACATACCATCCTCTGCAAAAAAAATAAGCATCAATGGGAATCTTTGCCTTATAAATAGTTGTAATATATATAGTAGTTGGATCATGAAGTAACTTGTTAAATAAAAAAAGAAGTGATTAAGTTTGCTAACACTGGCCCCAGAAAGGGCGTTACTTCACTGAATTTAGCACCGGATCGGAATCGCGATCCGCGGAAAAGATCCGGCGAGAAACTCAGTGGGCTGTGTCTATGGGTTAGTTCGTTCGTCGAACTCTTCGTAAACAAGGAGTTTGAAAGCCCATTGAGTTTCTCGCCGGATCTTCTCAGTGGGTCGCGTTTTCGATCCGCTGGTAGATTCTGCGAAGCACTGCTCTTGCTAGTGTTAGTGTTAGCAACGTCGTCAGGTTAGAGCCCCGTGAGCTCACCTACTCATTCTGCGAATCTACTATAACCCGTCGAGGTTACTAGAATAGAAAGAAAAAAAAATACGAGCTTGACAATGACGGTAAACGGTAATTGAAAAGCACTGGTGGTAGGACCTCTTGTGAGTCCGCACGGGTAGTTACCACCACCCCGCCTATTTCTGCCGTGAAGCAGTAATGCGTTTCGGTTTGAAGGGTGGGGCAGACGTTGTAACTAATCTGAGACCTTAGAACTCATATCTCAAAGTGGGTGGCGGTATCTACGTTGTGGATGTCTATGGGCTTCAGTAACCACTTAACACCAGGTGAGTGTGAGCTCGGCCATCCATCTAAGCAATAAAAAAAAGCCCCAAGAGAACGCCCAATTGCTTCGCAGTTAAAATATACAGAACAGTGGTACCTAATCGTTCGCGCTATGACCATTAAAGCACTTATTCACTATGTAAATAAATCAATTATTTATGTCAAAAGTCCGTCTTTCTTTAAACGAGGTTTGCAGATGTCCATGAGTGATGATGACTACAATAGCATTAGGTTAATGCCAGTCTACCTACAAAAGGCAATAATAAAAAATATATATCAAATCAACGTAATCAATTAAACAAAATTATTTAAACAAATTACTTTAATACTTACTTTCGTATTCTGCAAAAAAATATCTTGTTTTCAATAATAATAACATTACATAATGCTTACACGGCATGAAGAGATCACGACCCACCTGATGTTAACTGGTTACCGGAGCCCATGGACATCAAAGGCGTTCGTACCGCCACTTACTTTGAGACAAATAGTTCTAAGGTCTCAGTTTTAACAGTACAACGGCTGCCCGACCCTTCAAACCGAAACGCATTACTGCTTCACGGCAGAAAAAGGCGGGGTGGTGGTACCTACCCGCGTGGACACACAAGACGTCCTACCACCGGTAAAGTTACGAAGTGTGTGTGTATTTTTAACCGACTTCAAAAAGGGAGGAGGTTCTCAATTCGACTATGTTTTTTTTTATGTTTGATACCTCATAACTTTTGACTGGGTGAATCGATTGTGATGATTCTTTTTTTTATTAGAAAGCTGACGCTTCCCGTGTGGTCCCATTTCAATTTAGTCCACTTCTGATAATGGTATCCACGAGAAAACCATATAACTTTTAAATTTGCATTAAGTACGTGCGCGACAAATAGATGAATAACTCAATAACTCAATATCACGCCAACCGATTTCGATGATTATTGTTTTTAGTGTATATTAATTTGTTTTGGAATATATTTTTCTTTCTATTTGAAGTCGGTTTTTGTCAAAGCATGTCTATTTACAATTATAATAATATTGTTTGAACTAAAGTGACGAAACTTAGTTCCGTAGAACACACCTAATTACGCTATACTACCTAGTATTATTATTCGCAAAAAAATATCGATTGTCTTGTCACCAAATACGCGACATATTATTATGTATTACCTATAACACGGTAGATTGGTTCCGCGTTATTGGCGTATTCTCGCATAACGCGTTGTATGACCCCATTGAATGCGTTATAATAAAATATATACTGAGTGTTAGGAGACCGCTTCCGAAAACGAACATTTTGTACCCACACACAAACACAAAATGCATCTCTTTATAAATTAAAGTACATAAAGACATGGATTTAATACCTACCGTCAAATCCTAAAAAATAAATTATACATTTATTTAATAAATATTGTATAGATGAAACATAGGAATAATCTATTTATTTTGTTACTGCACTTCGGGTTCCTTTAAATAAAATTAAACTCAAGTAGCTTGTAACCTATTTAGGGAGTCATATATGATCGGGCGGTGTCTCATCAACGTTACGTGCTTTTTAAAGTGAAACTTTTATTACATCGTCTCAAACTTTTTCGTCTGTGTGTTGCATGTCGCGTGACGGTCGGCCGTGGAGTAGGGATAAAGAGAATGGCGCTCGTCAGAGCAGCCAATGCCAATATGGCGGCGCCTATAGTTCGCAGCAGCTGACCGTGTGGTGTATAGACTGCTACTCATTTGTGCTAGTGCTCCACGTTATTTTGTTTGTTTTTGTCAGTGTATAATGTAAATGTTGTTTGTCAGGGTTAAATGTGTATAATGTGAAAAAAGTTTCACTTTTACCGTGGTTTCATAAAACCACACAATCCTTTCGTATGAGGTTTGCGAAGATTACTCAGCGGCATTCAGCAACTTGACTCTACTCCTAGTATTACTGACGCCTATGAGCGACCATATGGTTCCTCAGGAATGTGGATCTCCATGATGACCTAGAGCTCGACTCTTTCAGTAAGTATTTACAGTCGGCATCATTGCGCCTTGAAGACTGAGAAGGCAGCACGACATGAAAACCCTCTTCTCGTGGCTGCCAAAAATTACATAGCCGATCCTGTAGACCGTATGGTAATCAGTCGACGTCGCCCTAAGCACGTTAATACAGATCCTCCCGATCTATTAACGGTGCTTTTAGGTACCTCAAGCACCGGTCACCGTCGCTTGTGATGAAGAACTCGAAGAGTAAATTAATCCATAGACACAGCCCACAGAGTTTCTCGCCGGATCTTCTCAGTGGGTCGCGTTTTCGATCCGGTGATAGATTCTGTGAAGCACTGCTCTTACTAGGGCCAGTGTTAGCAACACTCCTGGTTTAAGCCCCGTGAGCTCACCTACACGTCAAGAAGCTGAAATAGCCTCTCAAGGCTATCAGCATAGGTAAGAAAAAAAGAGCGACCGTAATCTCCCACCAATAGATGGGCCTTATGCTCGTCTACCTATAAAAATCACAACAGCTCTTCAAAATTGTCTCAGTCTTTCCTGACAATGTGTCCAAAGTAGTCTAGGTTTCGCTTGAGGCACATGTTGCAGGAAGCCTAATCGAGATTCATAAGTTTGGGTGGGTTGGTCCAATATGCAGTTTATCGGAGACTCCGTAATAACCTCTTATTCCAGCACCGCTAAAATCGTTCGTGAACATGTCTTGAGTACGCGTTCATTTAGAAACATTTAACTTAGTACTAACATCGAGCACGCGAAATAATTAAACTTTACTTACTTTCGACTGAAAAACAAGAATTCATTTATAGTTCCATTAGTTCGTTCGGAATTGTTTTAAGCTTTTATTGACTTTAAGCACACTATTATTTATCACTCTTCTTAACGGAATATCTGAATGTAACGAGGTCCCCATATTATAATCATAGTATTCGTCTAAAACTGTCGAGAAGCGAGAACGGAAATATTCCGTACTAAAAAGAGGGTAGTCAGATTTTTCTGCTCGCAACATCCTACCCGCAGTCTTCAATCGGCCCGCAATCACGGTGCTTGCACCACGTCGCAGTATCGAGAACATATCTCTTTATCTTTTTATCCACCTTATCCCACTAGGTGGGGTCAGCACAGCTAATTTTTCTCTTCCATTCTGTTCTATCAGCCGTCATCTCAACACTCACTCCTCTCTCTCTCATATCGTCATCACACGCTCCATCCATATTTTCTTCGGTCGACCTCTTCCCCCTCTACCTTGCACTACCATAATTTCTATACATCTCCTAGTCACATGCTTCTTCTCTTTACGCATCACATGTCCATACCAAATACATCGAGAACATATCACATGTGAAAATATTGTTAAGAACCCGTTATTTGAGCAACGCTTATCTTGATTTTAAATACCTAAGGGGACCTAAGAATGAACTTTCAATTGATCTATAATGACTGGCTGACTCGGTGGTGCAATAGTTAGCGACCTATTGCGCCGGGATCCGCTTATGTGGGATAAAGACAAGAAGAATAACAACTGATTTTTTTAAACAAATCAAATATGTAAAATCAAACATTACTTACCGTAATCATCTGAAAGTGAATAACATTTACTAATGTTAGATAGAATCGTGTAAACTATCTTATAATAAAATATGTTCCTTAGATTAATTCATGATTTGCCGACGAGCAATGTAAATGCAGCGAACTCGAAGGTTGATGACTTCATTCGCTTTACTTTACAACGCTGCTCGCGAATTTGATCGGCGTTGCGCCGGTTCGATTTGTCGATAGTGACACGTCGTCCGTTTACAACGGATATGTAATACTACCCGCTGTATTCCTCTTCGAGAACTGAGAGCTCATAGCACTCCATTTACAGGAGAATGGAAAGCGCTCTAAGGGACGAGAATTTTTCACGCAAAGATGTGACGATAAACGAAAATACACAGTTTAGTTTTTGCGAATCGCAGACATCAGTTAAAACTACATTCACAATCGAAAATTTCGTCAAAAAATTTTTTTAAAGGATTTTATTACCTGGTAACTAAGACCTTTAAGTCATGTCTTATTTTAATTTATATTCTTATTTTTATGAAAAATGATAATATGAAATGAAATGAAAATGATTAATTTGAGACGTTAATCAACTGGGATGAAATTAAATGAAATGAGATGAGATGATATGGGATGAAATATAATCTCAGTAAAATGGTGGTCATTTACTGAGATTTTTTCAGTGGACTTTTTGGAGGATCCCGGGAAGTTACGTCCAGCGGCTTTGTTTCATTTTCCCACATTTGTGCACTTTCACAGATATTTAACACTTAATTAACCACCGTTATTACACATTTAACTTCAGGTTTACACACTAAATAGACAAAAATAAAACAAACCACACAGCTTCACTCCTCGCGTTCCCGCCAAAAAGTCTTCGTCAAAATTTGATTTTTTTTTCTAACTACCGTCTAATTTTCATTACAAGAATATTTCTTGATTTTCACATTTCGTTTTGTTTAATCGTTCGTAAATTTCGATTAAATCGTAAAAGTGGTTTTGATTATATTCACTTGCCTTGCGTTCTTTGGATGATAAAATTGTGAAATAATGGTGGGAAGATTTTTATGACCTTTCGAAGGAGGAGAAACTGAATTACTCACGCCATAGCTCATTGGCTGTCAGCGCTTGATCGGGTGAAGGTAAGCTGTAGATGTAGCCAATCTGGCAAGGATTCCAGTGGTCGCACACCTCACGATCAGGGTCCAGTTCAGTGACGAATTTATATGTCTGCAAGTAGCACATACGAGCCAGTATCACAGACCTGCCTGGTTTTGCTGTAGGGCTATCATACTTTCGCATATTAGACGAAATTATAGCTTACCCTTCAAGAAGGAACGTAGGGCTGCGTTTTATAAATTACCAAGGCAGTCCCTAACCAGGGCAGTATAGAGAATTAGAATAATTGGTATTTATAGACAGACTTGACCCTTAATATATGACCCAGCCATCTAAAACTTATCATCGCCTCCAACCAGTGTGTTAGAAGATTTCGCAATTGCCATGCCCCATCCACAATCACCAATAGCTGGTCCTTCTTCAAACAAGGTATGTGAAAATCTTCCTAGACAGACAGGGGGTGAATGTACCTCTGGCATTCCTCATATTACTAGCCACTGGTCCTATTAATGAACATCTAGAATCTACCAGTAGGAATCTGGCAAAAACCTGAATCATGTTCCAACTCGCGAAACAAACCCCGTACAGCAGCATTTGGCCACTTAACACCAGGTGAGCTTTGAGCTGGTCCACCCATCTAAGCAATAAATCGGGTCTAGTCAAAACTGGGATGGCATATCCGGGTATACCATCGTCATAGCAGATGCTCTATCGTCCGAAGGTGACTTGAATGATGACAGAGCTTAAGAAAAATCTCACTTTATCCGGATAATATCTATAATGGACGACAACATCGTCGGTATCTTCAAGTGTACATTTATTCGTAGTGTAGTTCAGCGACGTCCTCTCTATTGGAGCGCACCCTATGACGGTACTCCCGTTTCTGGGTAGATCCGGACCCTCCACTTTATGCCCTGCAAGAATAACTCTCGATGCGGATACCAATTTTGAGTGTGGCCACGCGGTAAGCTCGCGGTTGCGATCATCAGGGTCAGAGGACGCCAAATACCGTCACTTATGACGAAAATGGTTGATGACTCCAAGGTATTTTTTATTGCTTAGGTGGGCGGACGATCTCACGGCACAACTGATGTTAAGTGGCTACCGGAGCCCGTAGATATCTACAACGTAAATGCCGCCACCCACCTTGAGATATAAGTTCTAAGGTCTCCGTTTTTACAGTACAACGGCTACCCAACTCTTCAAAAACTCTTGAAAAAATCGGTACTAGACTGCGGGATTCGAACCCAGACACAGTCGCACCGATCGAAACGAGTGTGTCGTCTTATCCTTTAGGCCGCATGGACCCCAAAGACTAAAAATGGGCGACTGGATGCCAGTTAAGCCTTTTAGTGCTGAGCTTATTTTCGCATCTTCATATCAGCCCACAGATGCCCACTGCTGGACATAGGCCTTCCCAAAGTCTCGCCACAAATACCAGCCCTGCGCTGCCTGCATCCACCGGATCCCCGCGAACTTCAATATATCGTCGGTCAGATTTTGCAGAAATTAATGAAATTTTTGCTAAAGGATTTTTGAAAAAAAAGTACCTTATAAAAAACTGTAACTTAACAAAAAATGCAAGAATCAATGCTCTAAATTCACAGAAAAATAATTATTAACGGTTATTTATAAATGATATTAACGTTACTCCGCACAATAGTCGGTATTCCGACGCTCCACACTTTACACGCGTTAATCGCGAGTCGATCTATCGACGGATCTCGCTCGAAGGTTCAACAAAGCGTAAAGCTATAACTCACGGTTGCAAAAGAAGTAATTGTTCTGCGCAACATAAAGCTCCTTGTCTTCGGCGCTTAGGCACGAGTCGTACATCACCGGGAACGGTTCGATTTCGTCTTCGCACATGATCGTGCCAGAACCGTCGGGCTCTTTGGGGGCACGGTTCGACGGACATCGGTACATTAACCCTAAGAATAATAATTGTTACGCCGGTTATAGTAACGCCATCTGTCATCGAATAGCAGAAACGAAAATCTATAGAACTAGTAATATCTAGAACGCTCGAGAAGTGTAACGCCATCTATTATCAATTAGCGGAAACACATATCGGAACGACTAGTACTGCCGGGAACGCTCTCGATAGTTAAAAGATAGTCGTGTCGACTATAAAAGCATTGCAGAGATGACATGAAAGCAGTCACCTGAAGCGAAGCGGAAGAAGTGAATTGCGAATTGTGAAGTGTGCTTTTTATGCAACGTAACATATTATAATTAAAGCTAACTTATACATAGTCTTATAAATCTATGAACACCGGCTGCATGCACGAAAAGTGTTACATTCCGCCTGAGCCTGAGCGTGCGAGCGAGAGCACGGTACAACCGATAGAGAGGCACGATCGGCCCAAGCGTTGGCTTGTGACACATTTATCTCCCTTCTCGCGTGATGTCAGAGCTAGCAGTTCGAATAGTTCTGCTACTGACGTTATCACGTAAAACTATCGTCCGTAAACTGACTTTACAGACAACCAATTATAGCTTATTAAAAAAAAAACTCCAAAATACCTTTTCTTATGATCAAGGGGGGCTTATTCCTGATCTCGGCTATCGTCACTCCCTTCTCCCCGTTCTGGATGGCGGTCATTATTCTCTTGTACAACGTTGTCCTTCTTTCCTGTTCTGCTATGATATACGGAAGCAGTTCTTCTGATAGTACGTCTACCTTCTTTTTGGCTTCTGCGTTCATCTAATATATTTCTATTTTTTACTAGCTGACCCGGCAGACTTCGTAGTGCCTCAATCGATAAACAAAGGATCTAAGCTTTTGTATAAAATAAACTTAAAACAAACAAAATGAATCCGTACGACCGGGGATATTTCAAAAGAAAACTAAAATTGTTATTTTTATTTAATTCCGGGCATTTTCATATTTATCTACCTTTTAAACCTTCCCTGGACTTCCACAAATAATTCAAGACCAAAATTAGCCAAATCGGTCCAGCCGTTCTCGAGTTTTAGCGAGACTAACGAACAGCAATTCATATTTATATATATACTTATATAGATATATATATATAGGTATATATAGATTTTGGTCGTTGAGAATGATATACACGGCAAGGGTTCAAAGGCTATTTGGTATAAGCGACATTTTTGAGACTTTACAAGGGAGAGCCATTTTAAGTTTAAAAGTTAGTTTGGTATTTTTTTTATCATTTAACAAGAAAAACTTCTTCAGCTATTTGTGAATGTGGTAAACATAACTGAAGTTCAATTATAGACATCAAATTGATGATGCTGATACCAAATGAAACGGGGCTGTAATTACACAGATGAATTTCGCATATTAAGCGAAATGTCGCTTAAACCAATAGCCTTTCAACCCGTCTTCCCCTTCTTTTATTGCGTCGTCCATGGCCCGTATGATGTGGTCAGTAAAGCTCAAATCTCGATTGAGTATAACGGCTGTACCACTCTTCAGATCGGAAAGTCTTATTGGTACACCCGTGGTCCCTCCTACCCTTGATTCACAAGACGCCGTAACGCAATTAATTGGGCAAGCTACAATTCTTGTTACACAACGTCTTTCCTGCATCATCAGAGTCGTTCGTGAGAACGTCCTAAGTCATTAACATTCTCCTGCCTTTATCCCCGTCACCTGAAGTCAGTGCAACATGTTTTCTCCTTCCATACTCCTCTATCATACACCATTTCTTGGCTCACTCCCCTCATACACATATCGTCATATATATCATAGAAAGGTTGGTACACGCCTGCGGGATTCGAACATCGACACGGTCGCATCGCTGGATACGAATGCACCGGCCGTCTTATCCTTTAGGGCACGATGACTTGTCAAAACCTACAGCGCAGTCATTGTTGAAATAGAAACAAAAAACGCTTGAGATTTAACCAACAATTTTGGAGGTAAGCGCGCTACATCAATCAAAATTACAATCTATCAAGAACCACTTACCCTGTCAGCATCTTTGTTAAATTTAATGCCCGTCCCATCCTGTAATTGTTATGATTCTATTAGTGAAATAGACATTTGATTAAAGGAATGAGGTTTATTTTCCATAATTATTCACTGGTAGCCTAAGGCGCTATTTCTACGCCATGACGGGTAGGCTAGCTCACGGGCTCAACCTGAGAGATTTGCTGACACTAGCCCTAGCAAGAACAGTGCTTGGCGGAATCACGACCCAGCGAGAAGATTCGACGAGAAACTCAGTGAGCTGTGTCTATGGGTGTGTTCATTGTCGAACTGTTCGTCGTAATCGACGAATTTGTAGTTGTAATTAAATATACGTATAGCTTCGGCCATCTTCGGACGCGTTCGGTTATAGTCGGTGACCTTAGGTAGGAAAATGAAATAGGTAATGGTGTTTTTAGCGGACTTAGGTATATTAACGATTAGTCACAATCACAAATATGAGACTTCCGAGGTCCATTATAAACGCCTACATGTAGTATCGTAACTTTTTACATGATACAATAGTTAGTGTTTTAGCCTATTTAAAAAAAGAGGGGCTTATCTATTCGAGTGATTTTTTAATTTATGAACAGATTCGAATTTGATTCTTTTTTATTTTAAAGCTGATACTAATACTTCTCTTGGGGTTAAATTTAAATTTTATCACGATCCAACGGGCAGTCTTTCAGGTATGCCTTTGGGCACGAATTGTCGGTAGTTCGATACTCTATTAATGCGTATAAAGTGCGGAGCGTCGGAATGCCGACTATTGCACAATTGGATTATAGGCATTGACCTGTACAGACGTGTCTAAGCGCATAAAGTTTTTAATAAGTTTAACATTTATAGATTATTTTACCGTGTATTTAATTGATTTTGGTAATTTATTTTCAAAACAGTGTTTTTGTTTTTTTCAAAAATCCTCTAGCACTTTCTGTAAAATATGTGAAAATAATCTCAGCACTAATAGGGTTGCAATGCATTTTTTATTAATTTCGACTAAATCGATTTGTTTAAGTCGATTTAATTATTTTTATGTTTAATTTTGTTACACATTTAACAGTCGTCTCTGCTTGTAAATACTCACCACGGCTTGTCTTCTAACGATATTGGCTAGATAACGCCCTCGTCTGGTGGCCGGCAAGAGCACACTGCCGAACTGTATCTCATCACCGATCTGGAGTTTAAGAACTCAAATATATTAAGTGTATAATCTATGTTTAAGAAACGGATAAGAGAAAGAGTACTGCGACTGGCGTGTGAAAACATGTCCGCTAAATTCAATAATAAAAAAACTGGAATTAAAACTATCACTTAATACATTACACATAGATACATACACACAATAAATTAGAAGTGCTATCATTATATTATTGATGTAAATAATTTCTTGCCTGAAATGATTATTGTCCACCAGTATGCGGCGCTTAGTGCGAGTTTTTTAACGTTCTCGATAGCGTTAAAGTTAACTCAAATTTGTATAAAATTGGAACGTTTGCCTAGGTTTGCCGCCAGGGGCGCTGTTCCAACTGCATAAAAAATTTAGTTAACTTTTACGCTATCGAGAACGTTCAAAAACTCACACTAAGCACACAGATGGTTGTCCGGAAGAGACTTAGCGGTGAGACCGTTATTTCTACTTTTGTATTTAATGTTTTGCGTTTGTTTCTATATTGTATAGCATTGCATAGGGGGCGTCCATAAATTACGTGAGGTGCTTAAAGGGGGGAGGGGGTCGAGTCAAATCTCATCTAATCTTACGTTGGAGAGAGGGGGGGTCTCGGCAAATATCACGCAATTTTTTTTCTGATTTTGGTCCATTTAATCCAGATTGTACATGCTTAAGATTTAATCTTGAGCGTAATCGTAATACGATTAAGATCATTCACTTCGACGAGTAAATTAACTCTCAGACACAGTCCACTGAGTTTCTCGCCGGATCTTCTCAGTGGGTCGCGTTTCCGATCCGGTGGTAGATTCTGCGAAGCACGGTTCTTGCTAGGGTTCGTGTTAGCAACGTCATCAGGTTTGAGCCCCGTGAGCTCACCTACTAAAGTTAGGGTTACGCTGAAATAGCCCCTAGGGCTATCAGCATAGGTAGGAAAAAAAAAAAAAGTGTGTGTGTCCGCTCCGACGCACGACTGGAGTTTACTGGATATAAATATAAATTTGTGTCAGTTGAATACAGTAAAATATGGAAGTTACGTATTCTAGTGAGAATGATCCGGGAGTTGCGGAACACGTGGATGCGGTAATTAAGTAAGTCTATATAATTCACTTTTACAATTAATATATAAGTTGTCCATTCACTGATAGAAGGAATTGTTTATATTTAATAAGCTTTATTAATAAATGATTTGTAGCGGGTTATATTCGGGTATCAACCCACTAACAGTTGATACGTTCAGGAATCGAACCCGAACGGCGTCCGGCCACAAGCAAAACGATGTCGGTAAATTAAACGAAACAATACGAGAAATAGTTCTATATTACGACAACACGATACACTACAGATTATTAACAAATTAACGAGACACAAAACAAACGACTAACAAATATATGAAAATACAATAATGAGAGAAACGCGCGATCAGTACGAGGCTTTGTGGCGGACTGCCGGCGCAGCAGCCCGGCGTCACCTGCGATAACGCGGCCGCGCGTTAGCTCCTGATTGGCCAATCAGGAGCCAATCAGGCGCATAACGCATTTCGTGTGACATGCTATACTCTCTAGTACGATTTTGGTCCCCATAATTTTCATACCCCGGGCCTATATATGTAAATCGATTCTTAAGGAGTAAACTCCAAAAAAAATTCGTTCGAAAGAAAATAACTTCATACTTCGACGTTATACATTTACTGACTTTGTAGATAGATTTTGAAAAATCTCACGTGAGATTGGGAGATGGGGGAAGGGGTTGAATAAAATCTCACGACATCTCACCAGGGGGAAGGGAGGGGCAGAAAATTTAAAAAAAACACCTCACGTAATTTATGGACGCCCCCATACTCCTGGCATAGCATAGCATATATTATTAAAGTATGGCATACTCTACTCTCTTCGACAGAGGCATTTAAGTAATTATCTTCAACTTACCGGTGGATAAGAGCTTTGTACTGAAATAAAAATGTGAAACAAACAAAATAAACATCTGATATGTTTCCGCATTCTCAAGGCAGACTGTGAAATGACGGAGAACAAATAGAACTGTAAGCGAACGTAATCTAACACATCGTTAGTCGTTGGATTGATTGTAATTGGATCAATTATTTTAATCAATTAAAAAAATCGATTAATCAAAGTGAAAACTTCTTTAGTTATCGTATAGTTTTTTTTTTTGCTATTCGAGTGACTTCGGTTTTCAAATTATACATACCTACGTAACTTACTGGTGGTAGGACCTAATGTGAGTCCGCACGGGTAGGTACCACCACCCTGCCTATTTCAGCCGTGAAGCAGTAATACGTTTTAGTTTGAAGGGTGGGGCAGCCGTTGCAACTAAACGGATACTTTAAAACTCATATCACCGCCGGGCACCGGTAACCACTTAACACCAGGTGGGCTGTGAGCTTGACCCATCTATGCAATAAAAAATAAATAAAATAAAAACTGATCCATAAAGATAAAGTCTATGTGCAATATACATTTGTTTTTTATTAACTCCACTGCTACACTCTAATCAGAGTGGTCGCGAGGATCGTGTTTTCAAAAACGAGCCTTTAAGCCCAACCCGCGCGTTTTGTAGGTACTTACATTTAGAAGGCAATCCGTTGCAGCATTGGCTGGTTCATTCCACTTTGCGGAAGTTCTACCGCGCCTGACACTCTCTACCCTGCCCCGCACTACCAGACGCTCGATAGATGATTCCCGTCACACATATCCAAATAAAGATAAAACACCGTACCGCATACGAGTGACGCTTAGATATTATTCAATCTTTCAAGAATCGAGTCGTTGGTGCGAAATCTAATCCACGGTATCCTGAGCATTTTTCTCCGGACTACATTTGAAGGGCAGCGTCTAACCTGTGGCCGTTTTCCAATTACAGCACAAGAGCGCATTATGCGGCATAATGCTCAACTAAGCTTCAGCATAATTCGGCATTGTGCGTCACTGAGTCGCATTATGCTCTGTAATTGGAAAACTACCATTAAGTAACGGTTAATTAATTGGAAAACTACCATTAAGTAATGGTTAATTACAGAGCATAATGCGACTCAGTGANAGCATAATTCGGCATTGTGCGTCACTGAGTCGCATTATGCTCTGTAATTGGAAAACTACCATTAAGTAACGGTTAATTAATTGGAAAACTACCATTAAGTAATGGTTAATTACAGAGCATAATGCGACTCAGTGACGCACAATGCCGAATTATGCTGAAGCTTAGTTGAGCATTATGCCGCATAATGCGGTCTTGTGCTGTAATTGGAAAATGGCCCATGTTTCTAATTATCCCGCTGGTTCAAGATTTTCGCGGCGTATAAAAATATAGGCAACGCACTAAGATCAAACTTTTTTTCCCTACCTATTCTAGTAACCTCGAGGGGTTATTCTAGATTCACCGAACTAGTAGGTGAGCTCACGGGGCTCAAACCTGACGTCGTTGCTAACACTAGCCCTAGCAACAACAGTGCTTCGCAGAATTTACCACCGGATCGAAAACGCGACCCTCTAAGAAGATCCGGCGAGAAACTCGGTGGGCTGTGTCTGTGGGTTAATTTACTCGCCGAGTCCTTCGCGAGTGCGGTGGGCAGTGGCTTGGCTCTGCCCCTGGCATTGCTGAAGTCCATGGGCGACGGTAACCACTCACCATCAGGTGGGCCGTATTCTCGTCTGCCTACAAGGGCAATAAAAATAAATAAATAAAAGCGACGTGTTCGACGAGAAAGCACGGTTAGTGAATCAGGAGGATCCGAAATGACGTGACGTAAAGATCTAACTCGTATCAACACAATTTTTATACCCCTAATGTGCTCCATTGACAGGTTAGTTTGCCAATGAAAACTACATATTTTCAATTAAAAAAAATTTGGTCAATATAAAATAATAAACATTACAATTTGTTGATAAGGAAGGTGGAAAAAATATCTCAATGACTTTTGTGTAGCTCTACAATTTGATGCGATTTAAAGAGATCATATGGCAAATCCGGCCCTGCTTCTTTTTCTTATATGTATGGAAATTGGTTTCTTGCTTTGCCATTATTACTCAATACTACATTGAGCTTATAAAAATCTTTAAATGAAAAATAGATACTTAAATATTCCTGTTTATTCGCTTTATATTCAATGTTAACGAGCGAAGTGAGACGAAGTCGATTTATTTATTATTATATTTAAGCCACTTCAGTGTACTTAGCGCCAGTTTTTTAATTTCTCAATCAAGTAAAAGTTAACTTTGTTCCACTTTCTCACATTTTTCCATATGGCAGATGCTAATAAACGCCGTTATTACACGTTTATATCTGAACAACCCCTAAATTTACAAAATAAGATAACTCACCAAATTCGCTTCTCGTGTTTTCGCCAAAGGTACACATTTGAAGGTAAGGCTAAAACAAAAATTTTGTAGTTTAATTTTTTTTCAATCACATTCCTGGGTGCCGGAGTCCCATTGTTCGCGCGACAGCGCGACGTTCGTAAATGTTCGGCTCAACGCGGGTGCCGTGGCCCGTACGCACCCCGCACCTCTCATAACAGTGCGGTACATGACGGCACGCGGAGATACGCTCGTTCGATATTGAGTAAATTGTGCGCGCGCGCCTTTCGTTATATATTAAGTAAAAGGTTGAGTGTGAACCGGTGAAAGGGTGTATGTGCCACCCATCGCAGAGGAACACCACTACGACCGTGATAGTGCCAGCATCAGCCTCCAAGTAAGTCCCGTTTTCCTACCTACCCTTTCGTGTCCGCTTATTCTCCGCAGAGTTCATATGCTCCCTTTCAGCTCATCAGCTCACGTTTAAGGTGACGCTCACCTGCGTCACCACCCATCTATATTTATTTTAAAAAGAGCAAAACTATGTTTATTTTGAACAGTGACATGAAGCTGATTAAAATGAAAAAATATTTCATTCCATATTATATTTGCATATTTAAAAGCAGTTTGGTGTGTTACCTGCGCCTTTCCAGTTGGAAAAATGGAACTACTACTACCATCAACTGTCACGCTGTCATTAAATTTCACGATAATGGCGACTGGTGAATGGCGGCAACCGTTCGTCTACGATTGTTTTTCTTTTTGTTTTGTATATTAAACATTAAAACATGGAACGTGCTCTAAATCCTCAGCTGGAGGCGGATACAATATACGAGATATACCGATCGTGCAGGCTGTGCGGTGCGGGCGCTGGTTATAAAATGCCGATCATTCAAAACGTGATCATTGATGATTCGAGCATTGAATTGAGCATAAAAATACGCGAATGCTTACAAATAAAGGTAAAATTGTACGCGGTATCGAATATTCAATGAACAAATTCATTTTAATATTGTTTTTGAGTGTTTAACGATGTATGTTATTTACTGATTCTAAACTTTAAAAAAAAGTTAATTTGACTGTATAAACATAGGTATTTGAAAATGAAAACTTACTAAATCAAACTAGTACTAAGCATATGCTAATATTTTTGTTTAATATTCTACTGAGAATTCGTATAAATGAAAATTCTTTGTTTTATAAATGAATGCTTCCCAACATATTTAAGTTTGTTAAGAATCATAAATTAGCCCATAGAAATCTATTCATTAGGAGACATTAGGCACAAGATAATTTCACTTGCCTCAGGGATTTCACAAGGAAATCATAAAAAAAATTTGTTTCAATTCCTAGATTGAATAAGAATCTTACAATTTACATATCAAGACATACTTTCCTATATGACATGTGTGCCTCACACTCACATCAACAAGAATACTTAGAGAGCATTTCTGCCCAATCTCTGAGGAATCTTTTAGTTGTTCTATATACACACTTAGATTGTGTAGTATTGTTCTAGGGCATTATCATCTCAGAAGTTTCGTCCATCCATTTTTGTAAGTCCATGTTGAGATGAAGAATAATAGTTTTTATTTATCTATATATTAATACGTGAAGCAAAAACGTTGTATCCATTTTTACGAAAATTGCACGGACGGAGGAGTATGAAATTTCCCACACTTATAGAGAATATAGAGAAGAAGTGCACAATGCCAATTTTTTTTTTAAATAATGCATAAAAGATACATTAAATAATAAAGAAAACATTACACACACTACATAGCATGTATTTGATGCACACACGCATGCATACTATTTATTGTCAAACTTTTGTTATTGACGTCTGCGTTCAAAATGAGAATAGATGAAATATTGTTTGTCTTTATTTATATTTTTTATAGTGTAGCCTTGGCGAAATTTATGATTATAGTATGTGTACAAACTTACAATTCCAATTAATTATAGTCGAATTTCGGCTACTGCGGGACCTCTAGTTCAATGGAAATGTCTTTCAGGTACATCAAGATGATAAGATGCCGCCCCTGATTTGTGAGCTGTGCGTGGATAAAGTGAACGACTTCTATGAGTTCCTGGATATGTGTAGGCGGACAAATATCAGAACCAGGCAGAGACTTGGCCTGCCTGTGAATATTATGAAGACTGCTGAAAATGTAAGAATGCATTCAAATCATATTGGACTCAACTTTAAATTTAGTCATAATCTATCAATCGTCAAATAAAAAAAAAGATATGTGGTGTCATGGGACACCGGACAGGAACGAATTTCCTTATTATAAAAATATTAATTTTAAGTTATATTCGAGGTATAAAGAAAATAATGATTCGGGTATACATTTTTTATTGATAACAATAAAAAAACTACATTATCAACTTCATTTTATTCACAATGATTTATCAAAAATAAATATAAATAATATACAAAGAAACAGCTATTTATGTGAATAATAATAATGACCGTCAGCATGTAGACTATACATTAGACACTATAGCCATTAATTATACTAAGACTATACATAAATNTGATTTATCAAAAATAAATATAAATAATATACAAAGAAACAGCTATTTATGTGAATAATAATAATGACCGTCAGCATGTAGACTATACATTAGACACTATAGCCATTAATTATACTAAGACTATACATAAATAATAAAAATCTTCTGCTGTTCGTTCCAACAAGGATTGCTGCCTGATTTTTTTAATTGCAAACAAAATCTTTGTACGCTGACCAAATGATTTCAATGATGTTTTTTTGTGGCTCACCAAATTTTATAATTGCTAAACATTTCATTACTTCTGTATTATTATTGTGTGACATTCATATTATAATATAATACAGATGTTAGATGCGTTAGTAACTGTTGCACTCATTCCATAATTTCAACAGTCTAAGTTGTTCCCATAAAAATTGATAGATGGCAGTAGTATCTCTAAAAATAAAAAGTGTCGTGACAACTTTTCGTAAGAAATTTTTCCGTCTAGCCCCCTTTCACAACGCGCGATAAGGAACTTCGTTCCAATAAAATTATTTCAACTTCAATATTGCCCTAAAACTCTAACTTGTTTGTTTTTAACATAAATAAAAAATCCAATTTGGAAACAATCTGAAATTATATTTCAATATACTTATTGTATTTTGAGTATGTAATTAATACAGATACAAAATTATGAACCGAATTGTATTAAAATTTTTCAGGCGGATAGTAACACATCCATTCTGGGAGTGACGGAGCCTATAGTTTTGAACGATGACTCTGACGATGACCTTCCCATCAAAAAGAAAAGTGTAACGAGAGATAATGACAAAAAAAACAATAAATCTGTCAAAGCGAAAAAGGAAACAGTAACTGAAAAGGTTGGTAATTCTCAAATTAATTTTGCATCCACCAATTAATTGAAGTGTTGATATTTTTATCGAGGGATGATGTTGCTAGTTTAATGAAGAACAGTCATAACATAAAGACAAGCAGCTTACCAAGGTAGAAGAATTACTTAATGTTTTTTTTTTGTTGTTGCATAAATAGATGGACGAGCTCACAGCCCACCTGGTGTTAAGTAGTTACCAGAGCCCATAGACATCTACAACGTAAATGCCGCTAACCACCTTAAGATATAAGTTCTAAGGTCTCAGTATAGATACAAAAGCTGCCCCACCTTTCAAATGGAAACGCATTACTGCTTCTCAGCAGGGTGGTACCTACCCGTGCGCACTCACAGGAGGTCCTACCCCCAGTAATGTGTGCTCTGAATAAAAATTATTTGCTTGAATCATTTAAATATCTGTCATTGTACCTGTAGTGTTTCAGAGAAGATTCTCCTTTTTTTAAAAAGGATTACTAAGTGCGGCTTGTATTAAAATAGGTACATAGTAAACTGACATGGTACCTAACATGTGTGCTTAAGTTTATAATTCACTAAATCTATATACAGTAGAATCCGGATATAACGACTTTCAAGGGACCGGCGAAACTATGTCGTACTAACCGGATGACGTACAAAACGGCAGAATTATTTCTTAAGTACATATATTTATCCAACTCATGGAGCATGTAAAATTTTGCATGTCTAACTGTATAGCGAAAAATTGCTTTCTCTTGTAGCAGAGGGTAAATTCACGGGTATTCCCCAGTCGCGCTGAAGCTCGAACCACTGTAACAATGCCTTATCCACCGACTCATGAGTAGAAGTCCTTACACATTTGTATTTTAAAACATTGGCATTAAACATCGGCTCGATCTTATCTTTATTTTTCTTTATTGTTGATATTGTAGAATGAGATACACCAAACTCCTTTGCGAGGGTTGCATTTGATTCACTGGCTTCTAATCGGTGTAATATTGCACATTATTCTTCAATTGTAAAACACTTTCGCTTCATAGAACTCATTTTGTCGAGCTTTAACAACTTGTCATAACAAGTGACAAGCACTAACTTTGATTCACGCGCCAATAAAGGGGGCGGGGTGAAGTTGGGGCGCCGAGGTATTGGTAAGTTATGTAAATAAAACAATGTGCGTCGTTTTAACCGGACGTATCATCCTAATATTCATAATTAAGGGTCGCTATAAGCAGTTGGTCGCTTAAAACGGAGTCGCACTAAACGGTTATATTTTCTCAGTACCTAACTATGAAACCTAACTTGAGTAATCATTATCGTTATAAGCGAAGTCGTTGTATATGAATTCTACTGTATTAATATGTGAAGCAAAAACGTATCTCTATGAAAATTATGCAGACGGAGGAGTATGAAATACCCCACCCTTATTGAGAATATAGAGAGGCAGCGCAGAAAGCTAATATTTTTATTAAAATTATGCCTAAAAGATACAATAAATCGATAAAATAAAAACATTACACATAGTACCATGTATTTGACACACACACACAAACTTTCAAACTTCAACTTTTGTTATTGTTCAATTTTTGTAGTCAAATTGAGAATAGATTACTATTGTTTGTCTTTAATGTTATGTCTGTAGCCTTGGCGAAAGTTGTGATTGTAGAACAATGATTATTAAAGAAATGTGACAATACAACCATAATAATGTCCAAAATTATAATTTAAATTAATTAGTGTGAAATGTCGACCACAGGGCAACCACTATTTAAATAATAATACATATTAACCCTATTATGTTACCTCACATTGCTTGTTAGTTAGAATCAGAGTTGTAGTTTTTTAGAGAATTTGTTGTCCTCTTACCATTGAACACTTACGGCCACTTTAGAACCTGCATGTGGTGTGTTACCCTTAAAAAGGGCCTTAGGGCTAAAAACACCTGTCGTTAGTCATCTAGGATCAAAATTAAGCTTTGCTATTTAGACTTGTAATTTTCAGTGCATTTGCCGTCACATTAAATGAATTCATCAAGAGTTATTTTTATTTTTTTAGAACGAGACCACACGTTCTAGCAGAAACAGGAAACGTAGCAATGGTTCGTCAGATCTGGAAGAAATACCGTGTCGAGTAACTCGTTCCAGTTTAAATGGCGAACATATAGAAAAACAAGCTTTAAAACAATTAAAGGTATGGAATCCTGTGCTGGAGAACTGATTTTCTCGTACACAAACAGACACAGATTCGACCTAGATCTAGTTGAGAATCCTAAGTTATACTAGTCATCATCATCATTCTTTCCTATTACCCTCTGCTGGGGTATAGGGCTCGAATCAAATTTTTCCATTTACATCGGTCTTGGGCAGTCTGTTCTAGCTCCTCCCACGCCATGCCCAAGACCCCTAGCTCCTGCTCCACCGAGTACTTTACAAAAAACAGAAATCACTGAACCTAAGATATACTGAATTTTTGTTGCAGAGCTTACTGAAAAATCGTAACGATGAAAAAAGTATTATTAAAACCGAAACAAAAGTGAAAATTGAAAATGATTTATCCCATGTAAGTGAATAGAATTTTGTGTTAAAGATCAAAGATAATATTGAGAGCCCTTACATACAATGAGTGATTGCCAACACAATAAATGTCAGAAATGCAAGTTTGAAGGCGAAATTGAAGGTGTAATTATGTGTAGTTAAAATTCTCCTTTTCAGTGGTCCTGATGATAACTGAGGATCACAACTCTCAGTGTAGACTGTCAATTGTCACTCTGCATCATGGTCACTGGCCTCATAAAGACCTGGCCCTTGATAAACCTCTAATGTAACACCTCTAGTGATAAACCTGATCAGTCCATACCTTGAAACTTCACACTGCTTTACCGAACTTGTTTATTTTTTTATTTATTGCTTAGATGGGTGGACGAGCAGACAGCTCATCTGGTGTTAAGTGGTTACTGGAGCCCATAGACATCTACAACGTAAATTCTGCTACCCACCTTGTTATATAAGTTCTAAGGTCTCAGTATAATTACAACAGCTGCACCACCCTTCAAACCAAAACGCATTACTGCTTCACGGCAGAAATAGGCAGGGTGGTGGTACCTACTCGTGCGGACTCACAAGAAGTTCTACCACCAGTAATAACGCAAATCATAATTTTGCGCGTTTGATTTTTATTACACGTTACGTTATTCCTTCACCGTGGAAGTCAATCGTGAATATTAATTGTTAAGAACATATTTCATTACAAAAATTGGTTGGTACCCGTCTGCGGGATTCGAACACCGTTGCATCGCTAGATACGAATGCAAAAGGACATCCATCGCTTGATGCAACGATGGAGAGCCTTCACAATCCGTGCCGAGTATTATTTATTTGGCCACTGATTGAACTTCATGAACTTGTGGGAAAATAAGAAGGCCAGCTCATCATATGTTTAGTACATTATATGAGAGAATGAAGATAACATCACCGTCTCTATAATAAATCTAGCTTAAGAATCATACAAGTACTTAACATATGTTACAGGAACAGACATCATTGTAACCGTTTATGTTTATTATGAAATACATTACATTATGGTTTTGTTTTCAGTGTGATAGCGATGAGGATTCCTTGTTAGTTCCACGTGTGAAAAGAATAAGGGAGGTCAAGTTAGATATTTTCCCGAAATCCAAGAAAGTCAGGTGTGTATAAATTTTATTATGTACAAATGATGTATGATGATAAATCTTCAAAGGATTAGGAATTATGTAGAGTAAACCAGTAACTAAGTACAAATAACAAAAAAAAAACGAAACATCTGAACACACTTTTAATCACTAAATAAAATAAATAATGAAAAATAAAGGTATTGGATCCTTTTGTGAGTCTGCACGGGTAGATACCACCACCCTGCTTATTTTTGCGATGAAGCACTAATGCGTTTCGGTTTGAAGGGTGGGGTAGCCGTTGTAACTATACTGAGACCTTAGAAATTACATATATCTCAAGGTGGATGGCGCAGTTAAGTTGTAAATGTCTATGGGTTCCAATAACCACTTAAGATCAGGTGGGCTGTGAGCTCATCCAACCATTTAAGCAATAAAAAAAAGAACTATACGATATCCAAATGATTAATATGCTTTTAACAGAATTTCAGAACCGCCCAAACCTTCATCAAAATCAAAGAAAAAGGTACAGCCTGATAAAGAAGATTTGCCAGTCCATTCGCCTCTCCCGCACAGAAAGGCTAAAGTGCTCCTGACGAGACTGGATTCTCCACCTGCGGCAGTGAAACCACCGGCAACTCCGTTTAGAACCACAAGGAATAGTTTATCGTGCTACATCAGTGATCCGCCCAAACTCCCCGACAGGTCTGTGAGTCCACCGAGACAGACCGAGAGGAACAGTAAAAGCTCACCCAATCCGGCCAAGTTGAAAAGCAGAAGTGCATCGCTCAGAACTTCTGTCACACCCGAGAACGCTTCGTTGTCAGTGATTAAAAAGTGTGTAATATGCAATCAAAATTATAACTCAATCAAATCCTACAACAATCATATGAGAGTTCACGTACCAACGTACACGAAGTCGATGTAAGTATATATATACTTTTTTTTTTATCCCTAGAAATAATTTAATTTCCATTGCTTGCTCGAGAGCAATCTGTAGTTAGTGGTGATTGCTTGTGGCCCTCGCCAACGCCCGGGGGATGATCAAGCCGCTTCCCGCATATATATCACTACATAGTATAAAACAAAGTCGTTTTCTCTGTCCCTATGTATACTTAAAACTTTGAAACTGCGCAACGGATTTTGTTGCGATTTTTTTAATAGATTGAGTGATTCAAGAGGAAAGTTTATCTATATATTAATACGTGAAGCAAAAACTTTGTATCCCATTCTACGAAAATTGCGCTGGCGGAGGAGTATGAAATTTTCCACACTTATAGAGAATATAGAGAAGAAGTGCACAATACTAATATTTTTTTTAAATAATGCATAAACGATACATTAAATCAATAAAGAAAACATTACACACACTACATACCATGTATTTGACGCACACACGCATGCACACTATTTATTGTTAAACTTTTGTTCTTGACATCTGTTGTCAAATTTTTTTTTTTTTTTTTTTTTTTTTTTTTTTTTTTTTTTTTTTTTTTTTTTTTTTTTTTTATTTTTTTTTTTTTTTTTTTTTTTTTTTTTTTTTTTTTTTTTTTTTTTTTTTTTTTTGTTATTTTTTTTNTTGGGCCGGGCAAGAGATTCACGAAAAAGGTGGAAGTAGGCTTCTTTTCGGGGCCGAATTTCGCATTAATTATTTCTCCCTTAACAATATTTCCGGTGGCTTCTACTTCTTCTTTGATAATGTCAATGGGTGTAGAAGGGTGTAAGTTCCGTATGACAATTCTGAGGCATCTTTCATCCTTTCGATTGAAAGTGTGGCCTATTAGCCCCTTTTCTCTCACTAGGGTAAGGATTCTTTTATACACATCCATGTTAACACAGTTCATCCTTAGTTGGTTTCGATTAGTGATCTTGAATGTGAACTCTGTCACGTCCGCGACAGTTTCTAGCATTTCAGTAAGTTTGTTAATATCGTCGACCCCATATAGAATAATTGGGGGTGGTTTACTTGTTTTTTTAACCGTGGTAGTTTCAGAGTCTTCGTCTGTTAGATCAATTTGAAGACCACTAAATTTATTTGAGGTTATCACAGATTCTGGGACTGGACCGTAAGATGTTTTCTTTCTTTTGACACCTCTGCTTACAGGAACTCTTTGCCATGGTGGTGGGCATGTGGTATCTCTTAGCGTTTCGGCAGAGTCCTCAGAGCTTTGACTACATTTTTCTTTAGCAGACGCTTGGTTCGAAAGACTTCCTAGGGACGAACTTCTTGGCCGATTTAAAAAGAGGCTAGGATGGAATGCCTGCTGAACTAACTTCTTTTGTCAAATTGAGAATAGATTTAATATTGTTTGTCTTTATTAATATTTTTTATAGTGTAGTCTTGGCGAAATTTGTATAAAATATAATCATAATAGTGTATACAAACTTACAATTTCAATTAATTATAGTCGAATTTCGACTACTGCGGGACCACTAGTATGTATAATAACATCCGTTAAATAGTGGAGAAATCAATAATAAATTACAGTTTCCGAAGCGAAGCGAGGGCGGTACGCTAGTATATATATAAAATTAAAATGTGTTAGTTATTGTTGATTCATTTAAGTATATTATGATACTGTTATATAATTAATACTATATTTGTTGTAGTATTTTAGGCGCTGTAGATTTTTGGGCTTATACGAGTCGTTATGATATTTACAAAGTTTCAAATACTTTACGTAGTTCCCGTGGTCACGATTGCAGTGGTATTTATAAAAATTTAAACATTTTGAATAGTAAGTAGTATGCGATGTTATATTTAAAAAAAAAAAAACATTTTTATATTTCGTTTCACATAGAACGAACTTCAGATATATCTCAGATATATCTTCAGATATTATGTTTGTTTGTTTGAGCTTGGATTTATCATGTCCAGATAAGAGCGATTGATTTTAAGTGAGAACGTATTTTTGCTAACTTTTGTGGCCGCTGGCATTTAAAAAATTTTGGGTATACATATTTTCAGAGTTTGTCTATGACCTCTCGCACTATACTGTACTGTTATATTTACAGGTTGGCGTGCGACGCGTGTCGCGTGTGGTTCGTGGACAGCACCGAGGCGGCGCGCCACAAACAGCTGCACACATCTGGAAGTTTGCCATACAAATGTCACAGATGCACCGCTGAGTATAAACTCGTTACAACATATGATGAGTGAGTAACACGTATTATATATATCGACGCTTGAAAGGCAAACGTGACTAAGCGACAATGCGTGAACTTTACAGTAGACTAATTTAAAGTTGAAATACCTTAAAAAAAATCGTATTTTAACGAATCTAGCTGTAGGATTGAAATAATTTTAATAGACCTAGAAATGTATATTTTTTGCGCATCGAATATGGTTATTGCCTATCATTTATGTATAAAGTAGTTATTGTCGCTTAGTTACGTTTGCCTTTCAAGCGTCGATATATTTAAATACTTCATTAAAATATTGGACACTACTCGTTGCTAACGCTCGCGCTGGCCTGTAACCGGTATACTACGCGCATGCGTTCGAGTGCCACGCACTCACTCTCGCTCTGTCTCTTTCTATTCCCCCTCCTCAGGAGCGTTGAACGCTTAACGCAACCTTGTTGGAAGTCGCATTAGAAGTTTCACTTCGAAAATAATTGAATTGTTTATTGCAGGCACTTTAAGAACGACTGCATACCGTTCGACGAGGTGCCGGACGTCAAGTGCGAGGATTGCTGGCGATATTTCGCTACGGACAACCTGCTCATACAGCATAACTGTGCCGGCGAGGACGGTCGACCTGGCGGTGAGTGACGCTCCTCTTGTAATCCGCAAAAAGTCTGCAATGTAGCCCACATAAAAAAAAAAAGCTGCAGGGAGGTAGAAAGCAATAAAAATCAAACCCGCAAAATTATAATTTGCGTAATTACTGGTCGCGCGGGTAGGTACCACCACCCTCCCTACTTCAGCCGTGAAGCAGTAATGCGTTTCGGTTTGAAGGGTGGGGCAGCCGTTGTAACTATACTTGAGACCTTAGAACTTATATCTCGAGGTGAGTGGCGTATTTACGTTGTAGATGTCTTTGAGCTGCAGTAACCACTTAACACCAGGTGGGCTGTGAACTCGTCCAACCATCTAAGCAATAAAAAAAAAGAATAATGTAGACTAAAGCATGACTCCAGATAGGGTTGAAAAATATGTAACTACAGACAGACAGGACAGGTATGAGTACAAAATCTGGAATTTGCCCCCCACATAACTGCTATTTCATAGTTTTGTTTTTATTCACAGGGAAATGTATGAAGTGCAAAAGAAATTATGTACTACTGAAGAATCTCAAAAAACATGAAGAGACTTGTACATTTAGAAGTAGATGTAAGTATAAAGATGCCAGTACTATTTAAATGCACCTCAAAACTGATGCATGGTTAATTTCGGACAAAACAATAATTCAAAAGATATGAAACACAATGCAATATTTATTATATCAGTCAAACATCAGTTAGCTCTCTGGGTCAGTGACCCCACGTAATAGATATCTTACCCAGTTTATGTATCTCCATCTTTATAACTCAAATTTGTATGGAGTTGGAACGTTTGCCGCTAGAGCTACTAAACACTTCAACAAAGAGCAAAAAAATCTCTTCATCACGCGAATATTGGCCCAGCGTGGGAATCGAATTCACGAACCTCGGCGCCACACCTAGGGGTGATCACCACCAAGTCAGTTTGAGTATGTGAAATGTGTTCCAAAGAAATAAACGTTATTTTTAGTGTACGGGGCTACAGTCGACCCAGAAATCGCAGCCAGGTTGATGCCGGCACAAGTGAGGATATGCCGATGTGATGTACTGCTGAAGAACATGGTCAATGGACATTATGTGGTGTCTGGTGATCTTGATGTGAGTACAGTTTTAATGCGATTTAAAATATTATTATACTTGGCATTTATGGTATCGATCTCATCTAAGAAATGAATAACCGTTACACTCCCTCTGGATTCAATTCATCCAATTTATATTAGAAATATTATAATTATATTGAAAAATAATAGTAATGAATGAATAAAATATAAAAAAAGGAAAGGTGGGTAACTATAAAAAGGCTGGCTAATAGCACACAGACCAAGGAATTCACAAAGAATAACTTCTGTTTGGAATTTAGAAGATACCATAGCATGTAATGTTAGTAATTAAATACAGAAGTAACTCGCTCTGTTATTTCATGCCCACATCTCTGAACTGATTTCGATGATATTAAGTCTGGTTTGAACCCTGGGAAAAAGTAGGTTACCTTTATGGTCACCCCACTCGCACGAAGTGGGGTGACAATAAAGCACCCCAGAATTAAGTTGGGGATGGAAAGATAATAAAATGTAGTAGTATATTAGTTTTAGTCTTTTTTTTTGTAACTATGTTAGTACAATTGGTTATAATATATTTTAATGTGTTTTTTTTGTTTGTGTGAAGGCTTTCTGGCTTTTGTCTTCATGTCTACTCCACAAGATTCCATTGGCATTGCAACAACTCCCATCTTTCGTAACTTTTAAAATAGATGGAAACTGATGTGATCGATGAAGTAGTTATTATCAAATTATATCTGATTTACAGGATTTCGGTCTCGACAAGAGCTGCTTCTATCCATACTCGGCGAGGAGCATACGAGTTAAAGCCGAGCCGGTATTGAAAAATGACAACATGGTGAACATAACCCAAGACATCACGGACGTTTTCGATTCTGACACCGAGATATCTCGCTGGGACTCGGACAACAATTCCAATGGAACGTCAAAAGTCAAAACGTCAAATTTTACAGCAAAACTGAAGCTGTCAAATGAAATTGAAGCACACGGTAAAGGCGACGCCTTTGACGCTGTCAACGACAGCGAATTTGACTTAAGCAGCAATATTAATTGCATTATCGATGGCTTGGATCGCGACGAAGAAAATCGATTAGTTGATGATAAAGAAAAATCGGATGCGGTAATCGATTTCGATTGTCGATCGATCGATACTGACGCGGGATCGTTGAGTTTACTCGATGAAACAACCAAAACTATGAATGATGATGCAATTGTTCATAATGATGAACTAACCGATAGGAACAGTGATAGTGCTCAATTTGATAACGGTGTTGATGTTTCAGTGATAAGTGAAAAAGACACAAATGAGGTAGAACTAGGTGTAAATGAGAACAGTGCGATGATTGCTTGTAATGGGGCAGTAACAGACAGCAGTACTGGAATTGATAGTGCAGTTATTAATAATAAAGTGTACGAGAAATCGAATAGTTTTGATATTGAAACTCTTTTGAACAAAACCGAGAGCTCGTCAAAAAGCTTCAGTGAAGAACGAAATGGAAGCCCATTTGCCCAACAAATTGGAGACAATCAATTCGAGATTAATGAGAAGACTAATTGTGAAGTCACTGAGGAGCCGGAACATTGCAGCAAGAGTGCTGATCAAAACGATAAGATAAACATTGAAGATCTGCTCGACGGTAAGCGAATGGAACTGGACGATACCTCAAATGATGATTTCAATTTCGATGTGTAGCTTAGCTGGACGTGTAAATCTCCAGATCAGTGGCGGTGCCATGCGAGACATGGTTCTCAGGCCGCTAGTTAAGGAATTGTATTTTTTTGTTTTGTTTCCGGAAATAATTAAAACTACTTCAATGGTTTCATTTCGCGTTTATGATTGTCAATATATTATTAACATTTCAAAATCTGTATACATAGTTTTTGTATTTACACCCAACTGCGATGCTACTCATTGGCATTTTCATATTGTTGTAACTACCGTCTAATGTTGCTATTAAAAAAAATATTGTTTTAATTAAAGTAAAAGTCAAATGATTTGCAGGATTAAGTATTGCGTATGTATTAAGTTTATGAGTTGTAAATATTCCACAATATTAGGTCCTATGTTCATACAGTGTACCTAGTGTCGACTGTCGGTAAACAAATTAAAATCTGTACAACTAGTCTATGGAAATGCTTACTTATAGGTTCACGATTGACTCGTTATGAAGGCATGATGTCGTGGCAGTAGCCTCAAGGTGTTATTTTGGCTTCACTGCTACTACTGAGTGAGGTCACAAAGCTCAAAGTGATGAGAGTATGCTAACAGTGACCCTAGCGAGAGCAGTGCCTTGCTGAGACTACCACCGGATCGGAAACGCGACCCACTGAGTAGATCCGGCGAGAAACTCAGCTGTTTGTGTCTCTGCAGGTTAGATGGCATGTCGAACTCTTGAAGAATCTGAGAATAGGAACATGTTTAACCCTTTGCCTGCAGTGTAGGTCACCGGTGCCCTACGCGGCGCACTGAAGTAACTAATAATATTATGAATTTGTAATTATTGTTGGTAGGGTATATTTGTAAGTAGATTACCATGTTCACCATAAACAGAGTTCGTTCACGCGTTAATGAAGTAAAACAACAAAACAAAAATAACTTTTAAAAATACTTATGACTTGGTTTTTTTTTATCTTTTCTGTTAGAGTCTGCTGTACTACATTTGTAAAATTCTTATATTAAGATTTACAATTTTTAATTGTTTTGCGTAGACAATTATTAGAACCAATTATATATTCAATTTGTATGTCTCAAATCATGGATATAAATGATCTTGTGTTTTTTCTGTTCCGAGTTGAATGTAGCATGTATTTTTTTGTTTTTGTTTCTCTCGTTATGTCGGTCACCATTTTATTTCTTGCAATGATTACAGAAACAGAACGAAGAATCACTGAGTACTTGATTAGATGTAAATATTTTGAATGTGTAATTTTTATAAAAAAAACTACCCCTGAATGAAATGTCACATTAATAGTCTAGAATATACTTTTGAAGTGAAACTTCTTTAGGCGCGTTGAAAGTAAAATTTAACTCGCGACAGATTCGTTACGGCTAGAGATAAAAGACAAAAGTTGAGTGAGAAAATAGATAGAGCGTCTCGTGAACCACTCGACCGCGGAGATAGGGAAAGGATAAAGTGAGCTAGGTCGTTTCTCTTATACACAGCATTCCCTATTACAAGAGAAATTTCGTGCAAGTCTGAAAATAAAGAACCGCAATACTAGACACCGCAAAAGAAGTTTCACTTCTTTCACGTGCACCAAGTTACAAGCGCAACATTTTTTTTTTATTCTATAAATTTTGTACTTATGAATTAAGCATAGATAAAAATATTCGGTAAAATCGACGTTAGGATAGAGAGTTCCATTATTTATTAAAATCGTAACGAATGAATATTCAGGTTGACCCTTAAGAGGTTAGTGAAGAACCCGCCTTAAGACATGAGTTCTAAGGCGGTGGTAGGACCTCTGGGAGTTCGCACGGGTAGGTACCACCAACCCGTCTATTTCTGCCGTGAAACAGTAATGCGTTTCGGTTTGAAGGGTGGAGTAGCCGTTGTATCTATACTGAGACCTTAGTACCTATATCTCAAGGTGGGTGACGCATTTACGCTGTAGATGTCTATGGGCTCTAGTAACCACTTAACACCAGGTGAACTGTGACCTTGTTCACCCATCTAAACAAAAAATAAAAAAAAATAAACTCATAAAATCGAGGGCTGAAGAAAGCCTTTCACCCCTCGATTATATTTTTGTTATGAATTCATTTTCAATAAAAAATGTCTGTCATACTTATTCCCCATGAATTTAGTTTATACCCGCAAATTCATTTTATAATTTTTGGCCTGTAAACATCTCTAGGCTATGTAGCTTGAGAACAGACAGACAAGAGCACTAATTGTTTATTAACATAATATGGGCTATTATACTCTGTATATTTTTCTACTTGTCTCAGCGTTTAATAAATATATACAACATATGAAAAACTATTTGACCAATTCCAACAGACGTGGGTATTTGTATAATACTTATAAAGTGCACTGAATAAAAAAAAGAAATCATCACAGTTTTTTTTCACTGTTTTGTAGTTATGAAATTGTAAGTAAGGCTTTTTGTACTGTTTAATATAAATAATGTTAGTTTCTAAGAGTATAATTCTGTTAAGAAATTGCTAGAGAGCCGATTTATTAATACGAATAATTATAAAAAAATAAGAGTTATTTTTATGATATTTATTGTTTTTTTTTTTACGTTCCACCTCCATTTATAGGCCACGAAACTTAAATCTACACGATTATCTGTCGTCACGACAAAGTGGGGACGCGCCATAAGGGCCTATTCTAGTTACGTACGGACCGGTACCTATAGTAGAATTATTTTGTCCGTGCAGTTAGAAAAAATCGGAGCGGTGAAGCGAGTATTTCACTCTCTCTTCCACTCACGAGCCTGGACGGGCATAGTGATGCGCATTATTGCTGTCGACAATCGATAGTGTATTTAGTTTTGTCATTTTGTGGGTTAGTGATAAAAATGAAAGAAAAAACCACTAATCGAACACTTACACCACAAATCGCCTCAGCAAGTTAACGAGAACGGCAGAAATTAACACTTAGTAACTTTTAGGGATCTATTCTTATTTCAGTGAAAATTTTAACACATTGTTGATAACAACACGTGCAAATATTATTTTGAATAAATTCTACCGTTTTGATACAAAATAAAGGAGTAGCCATTGTGTCACTAAATAAATTTAGAGAACGAATGCATAAAAACACATTTCTCTTCGACATAATGTAGGTACTATAATTTGCAGGTAAATACAAATGACTCATAACATAACAATGTCTCACCACCCTTCGCCGTGTACCTGCCTTCGATGACTCATTTGATTTTATCGATAATGGTGTTGCGTCCGCGCTACATGCTCACCGCCCTAGCCGGTCTATGTTTTATGACCCAAACTGCACGGACAAAATAATTCTACTATAGGTGAGCTCACCCTGAAAGAATTTGCTAACACAGTTAAGTTATTATAATCTTGTTTTGAAATATTAGTTTGAATGGGAAGCGTAAATTTGATTATCCACTTCGTTCAATTTTTCGAATGCAGTACGAAAATGTCGAAGTAAATCTTGCATTAATACGCTAATATCGCCGCCATCGCCATTTCCGTCACCGAAACTCGATAGTTTGTCAATTGTTTCGCACCAAAACTTTTCATACTCATCACTAGGCATTATATCGTTCAATTTCTTGATCATGCTTAAGAAAATCACCGTACTCAATTCCAGATTTGCCTCCCGTAGAACTAATGGTTTGTTAATTGACATTAAATTGTTCTTTAAAATCGATAAATGATTCCTGAAGCGATCGAGTTCCAACCCTTCAATATATTCAATTCCCTTCCGTATTGTAACATTGTTGTGTTTGCTGTTAACGCCGAAATCGATTTGTTTCAACGTGTCTGTCATCGCAATAAAACAAATTTTTAATTTAATATCGTCAAACTTCAGGAGAATGTCAATGATGTTGACAGTGAACTTAATGAAGCTGTCATTTGACTGACAAATTCCGAATTTAGCGGACGCGTGTTTGTTTTCCACGGTCATTAGTTTGTCAATTTCATTTCCAAATATGGCTGAAACGTTTTCATTGTTAGTGATGCCTTTTTTAATCAATTTGTACTTCAGTATGTTCATTAGGCGATGCAATGTACTATTCAATGTTTGCAGAGTATTTATAACAACCTTCTGCATTCCATCTTTCGTTTTTATGGATTGTTTTTTTGTTGTATCTACAAAAGCACCGTATTTTATTTTGAAATTGCGCGCCAGGTAATCTATTTCTTTATTTATCTTGTAATCGTTTATTTTCTTTTTTATGTTAATGAATATTTTCAAGGATTGCTTTAATGTGTGCTCTAAAAAGGACACGACTTTTTTGTCTTTTTTAACCTGAATGGGTTTCTCCTCGAAAAATTTCGAGTTCAAATCATCATTTTTCATTTCCGATATATACATTTTCGATGTTACACTAGTTATATCTGCTACAGGAATGTAAGATACTACGTTTGGAGTGGTCTTTTTGTCATCTTTATGAACAATGTCGGTTGTAAAGTCAATTACCGTATTAACATTGTCATTACGGAGTCTTAATAATTTGACGCCATTGAAGTGTTTCGTTGTACTATCGACGATCGGTTTGATTTTATAGTCGAGTTTCAAATTCGGCCCAAAATCAATGACTCCATTTAGTTTAATTATAACGGCTATGGCTTCGGATAATATCTGAAAGCATATTGGTATGATTTTCGTAAAACAAATAAACAGGTACAGATAATATTATAACGGTAGCTATGACAGAACAGATTTTGTTTTTGAATTATTCGCTCTCCCTCTCTTGCCCCTGAATGATCATTAACAATACACGCATAAAAAAGTGCTATGGGATTTTATTATCGAATCAGCCCTAAAATAAGTTCAGCGCTCTTAACTTCCTATATGGTCCTTCGAGCCGGATATGAACCAATGACCATAGATATGGCGACTGTGACTTGATACCGGAACAATTCTTCTGCGAGGCGGTAAACTCGCAGAAGTCGAGCATCACCTTCCAGCACACGGCAGCCACGCATCGCTGCTACGACGGTCGGCAGCAACAAGTTCGGTCCAATTTGCGCGAGACGAGGATAGGATCCTACCTGTATTAGGAGTAGGTAGAGTGGGTCGCGAGCGAAGCGCACGAATAAGACCAGAAGTCGAAACGCTCTCTCGTCTTGGCTTGTCTCATTACTAAGCAGACAATGAAAGTGAGCGGTTCTGTTGGGCAGCTGAGTATAACATCTAAAGTTCATCAAATTCATTTTATTTCTGTAATTCGATTACTTACCCGATTACAGAACGACAGAGTTAGGTAAAGCAGTTTTCCCGCCCCCAAAAAACTGGAACACGCGACTGCTTTGTGGCGAAAATAAGCAGCATGTTAGCATCTAACCCGTACTTACAGCATGCCGTGCAAGCTAATTGATGGTATCGAGTGTATACCACCACCGCCCGTCTTCGTTTTGAACGCTTCCAATACGCAATAAGATTGTTCTACTCACGTATGTTAAATGGAAATAAATGATAAGCATTTTCGCTGCGTTAACGATAACATTCTTTTAACTACAGTATAAGTCGTTTTGTGCCCGTAGGTACGATTTTTTTATGGCATTTCGTGCGTTTATTGCATTTTTGTTTGATTGTTTGCAAGTTGTATGGTCGTCTAGTTCGGTTTTGATAGTATTATGTGGGATTCGTGAAATCTTTATTTGTAGCCTTTTTTTTTTGCCTAGATGTGTAGACAAGCTCACAGCCCACCTGGTGTTAAGTGGTTACTGGATCCCATAGACATTTACAACGTAAATGCGCCACCCACCTTGAGATATAAGTTCTAAGGTCTCAGTATAGTTACAACAGCTGCCCTACCTTTCAAACCGAAACGGATTACTGATTCACGGCAGAAATAGGCGGGGCGGTGGTACCTACCCGTGCGGACTCACAAGAGGTCCTACCACCAGCCTTAAAACTGTTCTTAACAGGCATAAATTTTTTTCCCTCTACCCATTCGCTGGATGCTTATGAGACTATTCCAGCTACGATTGGACGGGTAGGTGAGTTCACGGGTCAACCTAAGGGAATTTGCTAACACTAGCCCTACCAAGAGCAGTGCTTTGCAGATTCTACCACCGGATTGGAATTGCTATCCACTGAGAAGATCCGGTGAGAAACTGGCTTATGGAGTAACACAATAGTGTTGTACCTAATTACAATAGTGATCAAATTTACAATCGTTATTAGAAGAATGACAAATTTCAGGTCATCACTTAATAGTCATGAGTTTGTGCGTGTGTGTTCAATACTAATCAATGTTGCATTAATTATCTATTAATATCAAAACTAATTGAGAAACGACATCTTGATCCCTCAAAAAGTGTATTGTCTATGATCTTGACACCAAATGCCACTAGAACGTCGTTAATTTTAAAGGTTGTCAGCCAGAGTACCTGAAAATTCAACGATGTCCATAGCCTCTTTTTCAAACAGGTTGCGTTTGAGGTGCCTCCATAGCATGCCTCGAATGCCTTTTAACTTTGAGGACCGTGGTCTAAACCACAGTAATAGATTTAAAGTTCAGCCGAAAACACATGAAGTCAGCGTCGGAGCGTTAGTTCGATAAGGCTATACGTCATGATAATCGTCTTAACGTTGCCGCCGCTGATTACTCTCCGAATCCTGATCACGCAGGAGCTAGTTACCGTCGACGCCCTAGACACGTCCTTACGGATCCATCAGATCCAATAACACTTGCTTTAAATGCCTTCACCTCTAACGCTAGGAGCAGGCTTACACCCCGGTAACCGAAATCGTCGTCGTCGTCGAAATCGGCAAAGAATTCGACGTGCAAGCTAACCCATGCATCGGCCCGCTAAGTTTCTCGCCGGATCTTCTCAGCGAGTCGTGATTCCGATCCGGTAGTAGATTCATTCACGAAGCAGTTGCTCTTGAGTTGTTAGGTCTCGTTTGGAGGCGTTTGGGCAGCTGTTAGCTAATCCCAACCCTCCTGGCTGAGCCCGTGCTCACCCACCTGTCCTGGTAAAACTGGAAAGGCCTCTGAGCCACCAGTAATCCATCATTCATAAGAAAAAACCTTTAAAGACCGGAACGCATGTTTATGGACACACTCTAGAAAACTTGGATACGTTCCGTCATGACATATTCAAGTGTAGTGTTCGCTCACGCGCTCCACACTCACATAAACTCCAGGTCAGCCAATCCCGTTTCTACAAGATAGCCTTCGAAGCACATTAGTATGTAAGGAATTAACGACATCCAATTAAAACCAACACGTGAAGGTACCGTCACAACGCTTCTTCGAAAGAGCGGTGCGACGCGATAACCTTTTTATTGTGGCTGTCTTTAACTACATAATCGTCACAGACGACGGGGCACATCGGGACACTCCCGATTCACTCTCGGTGCTTTCAGACTGTCTAAGCACTGATCACCGCTCTCATCGAACTCGTCAATTAACCCATAGACACAGTCTAATGTCTTTCTCATCGATTTTTTTTGTGGGTTGCGATTCCGATCCGGTATTAGATTCAGCGAAGCACAGTTTTTGTTCTGGGTCAATGTTAGCTCGGGTTAAGCCAGTACTTGCTGGATCATGACGGAAATAGACAGTGTAATAATCCACCACCAGTAAAATTAGAGGAAGAGGCAGAGAGAATTATAAAGGAAAAAAAAATAAAAAAAATCTTCTGTGGTTTAATTAAATAAAACCATATTTTGAAGTGACTTTTCGACATCATTGTGAAGAAGATTTTGACTTCCAAACAGATTTTAATAAATTAAACTACGAGTGTGACGTTATTATCGAATTTCATGCAAACCTAAGTATAGCCCTTTTCAAGTTCCAAGGAAGTCTGGAAGACACGTTTTATATTAATCTAAGTTACATAACAAAGGAGTTGGCATTGTTGTTACTTATGAACTAGTCTGATTTATCAATTCTTAGTTCCTTGGCATAAGAAAACAGCCTTGTTAATTCCACTTTTTAATTTTATGAGCTATGTTAGTGACTTAGGATCTCGGTCTGGCCATTGCCCTAATCGAATTTTAGCGATCTTGGATTATGTAGTAATATTTTAAAAACTTATTAAAATTTATTTGTCCATGATTTGTTTTTTTTTTCTTAAAAATTAAATTTTTAAATGGATTCAACAATCTAAGTTGAAATTGTCGATGGTCAGATCATTGTTTTGTTTACCTACTGAAGCCGATGTATTCTGCGTTTTCTTCTTAATAACAAGTATTATATGTAATTAAGTACTATTAAAGTGAACAAGAAAAGGAGAACGGTTTTTCGTGCATTTAAAGCCGCACAACAATCTTTAGATACGAACACGGTAAGATTCTTGAGTTTCCAACGTTATGTCGATTACCCGACCGAATTGTAAGATCCTATTTTGAATTGACAAAATAACCAATAGTTGAGATAATAACCACGAAATTTGTGTTTATACTTGTTACGAAGTATTAGTGAAAACTGTAAATTAGGTAATTGAAATATCTTCGAAACATCTTCGTTATTTTTAATTTCTTGCTTATTATACCATCCTCAAAAACATAAATCAAACGAGTATTGCGACACTCTTAATTTCGTTTGGTTTTACCTCAAAATTGACGTCACACGTTTTGGTTGCAAAATTTTCTAATAAAATTGTGAAATTCGTTGTGCAATAAAAAGCTAATATAAATAAGCTTACAGCAACAATGCTTTACAGTTGCGAGCTATCGCTAAAAAGTGCAATATAAACGGAAATTCTCTAAACGTCTTGTGGTTAGGTTAAGTACTGCGTCTAAAATTTAAAATTAAAAGAATTTAAATAGACACAAAGAGTTATCTTTAAAATACGTTTTGCAATAAAAGTGAATAAATTGAAAGAATTTAATAGTAAAATTCAAAAATACTATTGTTAGAAATTCTGATAATAGTGTAGGTATTTGTATACTTTTTTTTAATATTTTTTATTTTTGAATTTAAAAACGACTAATCTTTTAAAATATAAACTAAAATCTAATTGAGGTTAAGTTTTGTAAAATTTAAAAGTATTTTTTTTTGTAAAACTTAGTGATATTTTTATTGTCTCTAGAGAGAAACTAGCAGTTGTCTTTGAAAACAGTAACATCGCCTTTGTAGACAGACATTCTATTAATTTTCAAACACATATAAACCGACAATTATGGCAGTCATCACGAAACATGAACTTTTGAAGTGGAATGACTGAATTATTCCTAAATGACTTTATTCTAGGCTATCAGAAACAACATAATTTCCAACTGTCTGAATTCAGAGGAAAAATTTTCTTCTCATCAACTATTTTGGAAACTAAGCTATGGTCTTACTAACAGAATTATTAACTAAACACGTTGCACACTGGCATTAGAGAGTCCTATGAGCCTGTATGGGTAGATACCACTGTCATGCCTGTTTTTGCCATGAAGCAGCAATATGTTACGGCTTTAAGCAGGGAAAAGCTACAACTAACTTAGAACTCATCTCTCGAGGTGGCTGGCGGCATTTATGTTGTTGATGTCTAAGGGCTGCAGTAAGTCCATAAAAAGGAATTCCAAAGAAACCAAATAACATTAGGCTTAGTGGTGATTAAAATTGTTAATTTGGCCAACATATTCAAATAGATAAGATCTTGGAATTATGATCCAATTTAATCTTATTATTTCATTCCATTTTTTTATTACTATACAACTGGGACATGGATCTCACGTTTTTAGGTGGGTGGTGGTGGCATTATGTGCTCTGCTAGCCACTTAACCAAGCCCGGACATCCAAGAGAACGCTCACAGTTCAATACTTTTAAAAAAATTATTAAAACCTGTTTTAGCAAGGGGTTGTCGTTCTAATGAACTATTTGAAATTTATCTATAGTTTGAGAACCACACCAGCTGTAGCTGGAGCAGTTCTCATTCTTAATACCTGGAACTCTCATAGTTTTTGCCGCATACTGTGCGCTATTTCTCAAGCACACAGGACATGTCTTAGAATAAGGATGTGTTTCAAACATAGCCTTTAGGATTGAAAAGTAGCATAATAATTTTGGCCATGGTTTTATTGGTTACCGATAGTGTTTTTTTATAGCTTTGATGGGTGGACAAGCTCATGGTCCACTTGGTGTTAAGTTTTTTTAATTTTTTTTTATTGCCTTTGTAGGCAGACAAGCATACGGCCCACCTGATGGTGAGTGGTTACCGTCGCCCATGGACTTCAGCAATGCCAGGGGCACAGCCAAGCCGCTGCCTACCGCTTAATTCTCTCCACAAGCCTCGTTTGAATAAACTGGTGACCGAACCCCATAAGACATCTGCAATGTAGATGCCACCACCCACCTCAAGATATGAGTTGTAAGGTCTCAATTTGAACAGTATAATGTTGGTGAACAACACCTGGGCCCATATCTGTCTGAAATCAAAGACTATAAAAAAGTTAATATGGGAAATAAATTTAAATAATATTTTTCCTTATAAATTTCACTACAGCATGACTCATTTGTGACCTTGTACTTTCATTCTTGGAATATCTGTGTCATGACATTGATTTCATAATTGAACATACTGAACCACTGTGTAATAAAATCCTTCTACTTTTTGCTCATTATATATAAAGAGTCCTATTCATAAAACATGTTTCAATTTTAAGAACATTTTACACTGAATTTTGTTACATGATAGTGTAGCCATCTGTTATTGTGTATTGCTGAAGCAAGCACCAGTATTTTGTTAATAAAACAATGTTTGGACTAAATAATATATTGTACTACTAATAAAAATATATTATATAACATAAAATTTGAAATAATTAAACTCTTAAGACAAACTATGAAATGAAAAGGGTACTATTTGAAGTAGCTGTAGTAAAAACAACTATATACCAAAAAATATATAATAGGGTAACATAAACTAAATGCTTACAAACTTTAAAATAAAACAATAAGGTTTCTTCAACAATAAGACTGATTAATAGCAAATATACAAACTCTTATATAATAATCTTATATATAAAAAAAAAAAAACCTTATAGAATTTATAATTATATTGCATCTCATTCTAAATGAACTGTATGTTCTAATACTAATACTAATAGTCTGTAGTACATCAATTAAAAAAAAACTTTTATTAGATAATACAAGTATGTACAAATTTATGTACAAGATGTTATCTAGTTGTTCCTAGTGTAGCTGGAATAGGCTTTTTTTATTTATTGCTTAGATGGGTGGATGAGCTCACAACTGACCTGGTGTTAAGTGGTTACTGGAGCCCATAGACATCTACAACCATCTACAACCGCCACCCACCTTGAGATATAAGTTCTAAGATCTCAGTATAGTAACTTTTTTCCTTTTTTTTCCCTACCTATGCTGATAGCCTTGAGAGGCTATTTCAGCTTCGCCCTAACATGTAAGTGAGCTCACGCGGCTCGAACCGGAGTGTTGCTAACACTGGCCCTAGCAAGAGCAGTGCTTCGCAGAATCTACCACTGGATCGGAAACGCGACCTACAGAAGATCCGGCGAGAAACTTAAGTGGGCTGTGTCTATTGGTTAATTCACTCGTCGAGACCTTCGTCGCAAGCGACGGGGTCGACGAGGAAAGTAGCTTAAAAAAACATTAACCTCGCACAATGGACAATGCTTCTTGTATCCCAAATAATAATCTTAGAGGCCAGATATACAGTGGTATTTATAATTTAACAAAATCTTATTTAGGCCATTTGGTGGGGAGAGATGCTAATAGTTTTTGGGTTCAACACACTTGACTAATGCACTTTTGCATGGGATAGGCAGGCAAGCATAGAAATTAATGGAAAAGCGGAAGTCTGTAAGTAGCAACTGTAACAGAGAAAATAGACTAAGGTTATTATGGTATAGGCATGTTATGCCAGGAGAAGGTGATCATGTGGTCAATAAGTCCCTGGGCATGGTGATGTGTGGAGGGGGTGTCCTGAAAAGATTTGGATGTACGGTGTGTAAGGGGTATTGCGAGAAAACGGTGTCAGTGCAAAGATGACGTATGATAGGCCTGAATGGAAAACGAGTACATTCTCCATCGACCGCACATAGTGGGATAAGGGCAGAAAAAGGTAGACAAGCATCCACATGATGACGAGTGTCTTTAATATAGTTGCACTCACCGATCTTAATTCATTTGCCATAATTTCAGGGTCTCATGATGGTAAAGACCATTTGATCTTCAAGTGAGTGGAAGTTAATTTTGGACTCTGCATCAGGAGAAGCTTTCATAATGTTTCCCAAACAGACTTTTGGCAGTAATGCCACTTCAGGTTTTGGTGAGTACCCACAATCATGTTGGCCGTTTTTGGCTTATTATTGCTGGAAGGGAATCTCATAACAGAAGCTTTAGAATGAATAGAGGTGAAACCACAATTTTCTTTTTTCGGTAAAATTTAAATTTGTTTTATAGTTTAATCTTGCATTGATTATTGTCATTATAATATTTACGACGTCTCAAATAGTTTAGAGTAAAAAAAAATCGCGAGAACAAACCGTAAAAATAGTTAAAATTATGTTCAATAAAGACTGGATGACGTAGTGGGTCTCTCCCTCCCTGTGAGTGGGCCTCCTCCCACAAGGTGAACCGACCATTTGTTGAGGGTCGCGGGAATTCGCTAGATACACACAGTGCAGGAATGGTCATTATGGCGAGGCTTGGGGAAACCCTTGTCCACCAGTGGACGTTGTGAAAAAACAATGATTAATTAATGTTACTTTCTTGGCGATCTTCAGTTTTAAGTAGTGATAGCATAATAGTTTTTTTTTGTATTCTCAATGGAATTTTCTTGTCTCCTTGTTTAATGAGAATTATTTTTTTATTAGTTTAGGGTTTAATGCTGTTATTGTTCAGACTTAGGTCCTTGAGCGGAACGCGGGCCTGATCAGAAAATAAAAATTGTTTGTTAAAGGTTCCTTCAATTCTGGCGCGACAACTTCGTCCCCTTTTGGCGGATTCAAACCTGCCACAGGATCTTTTGGTGCGAGCACGTCAACGCAGCCCGCCACTGGTGGAGGTAGGTTCGGCTTTTGAGTAGACCTGATGTATTAACATAGCACATTAAGCATATAAAGAGTAAAAGACAGCGAGAAATGGAATTTATTAACCAGATTATGCACTGGCTAACACCCCAGCCCCTCCCCCAACACCCCCTCCCCAACACTCTTAACACCCCCTCCCCAACACTCTTAACACCCCCTCCCCAACACTCTTAACACCCCCTCCCCAACACTCTTAACACCCCCTCCCCAACACTCTTAACACCCCCTCCCCAACACTCTTAACACCCCTTCCCCAACACTTAACACCGCCTCTCCCCAACACCCCCACCTCAACATGATCCAATATGATGGAGCTTGGCTTGCTGTGGTACCCACCGTGTCCGTACAAGATTTGAGTAAGTTGAGTTAACACTTAACAGATTGCAGTCCCTTTTATTTATTTATTTATACATACAATTGATTAATCGTTATTTTTAGTTAAATTTACTTTGGTTCCTTGAAAATGTATGAATTAATTTTAGTCACAATTTGCTCAAGATAGAAAGTGGGGCGAAAAGAGATAAATGGATTATGAATGTGATAGATATTGGAATGAAGTGCTTAACAGATTGACTGCCATGTAGGTCACCGGTGCCCTACGCGGCGCACTGAAGTAATCATGTCAATTTACTGTTACACTCTGGATTTCTTAACTTTGCCTACTTTTGTTTGGTAATGTATGTTTTTTTAGTCTTTTAGGTGTCTTAGAAATAGATTCCTTCTCAGTATCTTCGGATTCGTCTTTCCCAGAGTAGATATTCTGGCACCTTAGTAATAGAAATCGAGGTAATTACTTCAGCGCGTCACGTAGGGCAGTGATAACATACACGGCAGTCAACGCGTTAAACAAGTCTGGTTATGGAAAGGGGTTGAATGAACTCTTGGCGGTTACATTTTTGGTGTTTTTTTTTTAAGGTCTCTTCGCGAACAATACCTCTGGTGGTGGTCTTTTCGGGAATCCCGGTCCCTCGACATCGACTTCCGCCTTCGGGACGAGCACCACTGGTTTCGGCTTCGGCGGAGGTGCTACGTCCGGTGGACTATTCGGGAATACCTCGACCGCTGGAGGGGGTTTGTTCGGGAACACGCAGGCGACACCCTCGTTTGGAGTGAAACCGACAGGTCAGTTGAGATTGTTCTATATACCACACCTTTAGAATTGAAGTGGCTTAATCAAGAATTCTGGGTTTTTTTTGGTAAATCCCAGAAATGTAATTCAAGAATTGTAGTTTTTTACGATTTTAATATTTTAAACCTTAAAATTTGAGGCTTAAAGTGCTTGAACGATGAAGAGTTCGACGAACCAACTAATCCATAGACACAGCATACTGAGTTTCTCGTCGGATATTCGCAGTCGGTCGCGTTTTTGATCCGGTGGTTGATTCTTACTGCACTTGCTGTGACAACCCGGCAGTGATAAGAACGACTAACCTTGGATAGGTCAAAGAAGCGAACAATAACATTTGAGTTTGGTACAGGTTTCGGCTTCAGCGGCTCGACCACGACCGGAGCGACCACCGGGAACCTGTTCGGCACGCCGGCGACCGGACCCGGCGCCGGACTGTTCGCGCCCCAGGGCAACACCATGTCCGGCGGGGGACTGTTCGGGGGGAACACCAGCGCTGGTCGGTGACCTAGACTTAGCTGTTCCTATATATCGGACCTTTAGAATTGAAGGAGCTTCATTCAAAAGTCAATCTTTGCGGCGAGGCCTGACGGAGGCCTATGTCCTAAGCAATGGACGTCTGTGGGCTGATAGTAGAGAATCTAAGCTCTAAACACATCATTACGGATCCTCCCGATCCATTAACGGTGCTTTTAGGTACCTCGAGCACCGGTCGCCGTTCTCGTCGAACCCGTCGCTTGTGGCGAAGGGCTCGACGAGTAAATTAACCCACATACACAGCCCACTGAGTTTCTCGCGGGATCTTCTCAGTGGGTCGCGTTTCCGATCCGGTGGTGGTTCTGCGAAGCACTTGCTTGCTAAGCTAGGGCTAGTGTTAGCAATTCATCAGGATAGAACCCCGTGAGCTCACCTACTTTTTAGGGTTATGCTGAAATGGCCTCTCAAGACCTACAGCTTAGGTAGAAAAAAAAAACAGTTTATAAGACAGTTATCCCGTTAAAAAAGTGATTATTCAATTTTTTTGTTACCAAACAATTTGTTTAATTCTAATGTTCTATATATGTTTTTAACATGTTTTATTTAATTTTAAAATCTAATTGCTTTATAAGAAAAGTTAATTTTCATTTAATGTAACTTTGTGATCATCCCGTAGAAATTGTTACAATTGAAATGTCATATGCATCATGTATGTCATGTATAAGGTTTTAACAAATATTTTGTATATATATGTGTGTGTGCAGGTGCTTTCGGTCAGCAGCAACCCACAGGGACCGGCCATGTCAAGTTCAACCCAGTGGTCGGGACGGAGGTGGTGATGAAAAATGGCACATCACAGAACATTAACATCAAACATCACTGCATAACTTTCATGAAGGTATTATTTGACAAAAATCGCTAATCCTGATTACTCTAGTAAGGATAACGGATCAAACTGTTTAAAATATTTAATTGTCATTGGTCCTTAATAGGTATGTCAAATTTCGAGTTAATCGGACGTTTTGAAGGGAGTCAAAATCATGTTCAAAGATTTCGTTGCATACTAACTAAATATAACAGTATGAAGCTAATAAAAGCATATTAAAAAGTCGCGTACTAACCGAAATGCCGTCGAGATGGCGCCGCCGCGTCTTATTCGTCGAAGTGCTATTTTTTTAAGAGGTTTTATGACCTGGTAACTGAGGCCTTTAAGTCATGTCTTATTTTAATTTATATTATTCATATTTTTATGAAAAATGATATTATGGAGTGAAATGAAATGAAGACGACTAATTTGAGACATTAATCAACTGGGATGAAATTAAATGAAATGAATTGAGATGATATGGGATGAAATATAATCTCAGTATAAAATGCTGGTCATTTACTAAGATTTTTTCAGTAGACTTTTTGGACGATCCCGAGAAGTTACGTCCAGCGGCTTTGTTTCATTTTCCCACATTTGTGCACTTTCACAGATATGAAACAGTTAATAAACCACCATTATTACACATTTAAACCCGAAGAAACACTAAATAGACAAAATAAAACAAATCACACAACTTCACTCCTCGCGTTCCCGCCAAAAAGTCCCGTCGAAGTGCTAAAGAGACAAGATAGCCGCGCTTTAATCTATTGTTCCTCGAGTGGAGGACATGTTGAAAGGGGCGTGGCTTAGTTTTGCACACGGAACTGAGATGTGCGAGTTGACTTTCTCACTCGCCACAAACACAATTGTTTTTTTTTTTTTCAGGAATATGAAGGCAAAAGCTTGGAGGAGCTACGTTTGGAAGATTACATGGCAGGGCGGAAGGGCTCGACAGCCACCACGGGGATGTTCGGAGGCTTCCAGCAGACGACAGAGAACAAACCCTTGTTCGGCAGCACCGGTTAGTTGTTCAAAGCGAAGTAATTACATTAATTAGCTCCGTTTAATTGGGGTTTTTATGTATGGCATTTTTTCAAGCCTATCTCTGATTGATTTAGAAGTGGTAGGAGCTAGACCCAGACTGTCTAATTTCGGGTGTGAATATTTAAAAAAAAACTACAGTACAAAGTTTTCGTTTTTACTGTTGGTCTGGCGTCTTGTGAGTCCGCGCGGGTAGGTACCACCGCCCTGCCTATTTCTGCCGTGAAACAGTAATGTGTTTCGGTTTGAAGGGCGGGGCAGCCGTCGTAACTATACTGAGACCTTAGAACTTTATCTCAAGGTGGGTGGCGGCATTTACGTTGTAGATGTCTATGGGCTCAAAATCATAGCTGGTGATCAAAATTTCGAAGAAGTTGGTACGAAGAATTGTGAGTGATGATTGAAAGCAGTGACGTCATTCTGTCGGTATCGACGAGTTCATAAACATCACTATCGCCATTGACCACACAGCCCACTGAGTTTCTCGCAGTATCTTCTCAGTGGGTCGCGTTTCCGCTCTGGTGGTAGATTCTGCGAAGCACGGCTCTTGCTAGAGTCACTGTTAGCGACATCGTCAGGTTTGAGCCCCGTGAACTCACTTACTAGTTAAGAAATAGCCTTTCAGGGCTATCAGCATAGGTAGGGAAAATAAGACCCCACGCACTCCATCAAATCGATAATCACGTTGGTTGGGTCGTCATTTCTCACCGCCTTCCGTTTCCAGGTTTCGGTCAGCCAGCCACCACGAGCGCCCCCGGCATGTTCGGGACAGGATCGGGCCTGGGGACGTCCGGGGCATTCGGACAGAACAGTAACTATTGTTTTACCATTCTATATATCGACGGAAGGAAGCGAAAATGTCGTAACTTGAAAAAGCCAACCTTATACCAAAGCTACAAATCGATGTATTTATGTTAATATAATCAGATAGGCTTTAGATACCACACCATACCAATTTTCAACTTTCTATATCTATTATATAAATATAAAACATATGCCTTGAATTTATGAAATAGTTTTGTGGCTTTGGTGTAAAGTTAGCTTTATCATTTACAACAATTTCGCTTTCTTCCGTCGATATGATCAGTTTTAGGATGAGGGTAGATGGAAGTTGAAAGAAAGAAATAATTTATTCGCTAAGCATTTGTAGTGAAAATGAGTTATTACATAAATTCAAAGCAACGTGTATGGTTTGTCAATATTTGACATGCGAATTTTAGTGCTGTGCAAGATATTATGATATATAATTTACCATCTCATATTACTTTTTTTTGACCTGGAGCCTTAAGGAGGTTCCGCTTGGAGGAGACTCGATGGTCGAAGGTGGTGAGGCAAGGTACGGAGTTACCGCGGTCAACTCTTCAATCAGACGTGGGGCTTTTCCAAGACTCACCTGGTCTGTGTCCTGGTCGAAGGATGACCTCGTGACTCAATTCACAATTGAGTTATAAATCCGTGCGAGATCCACAGCGCAATTTCAGCTCTAGAGTATTAGCAATTAGTCTTAATATCACTTATCCATATCTGACGGTATCCCGTCACGCCCTGTATAATATATCGAGGGGTGGAAAGCTATTTGGTTTAAGCGACCTTTTTGCAACTTTACAGGAGAGCCATTGAAAGTTTAGCATTTGGAAAAAATATAACAATGGAAAAAAATCTTCAGCAGTTTTTAATGGAGTAAACTAAATTGAAATTCAATTAAAAACTTCGAACTGTTGATGCTGATACCAAATAAAACGTAGCTTTAATTAAAAAAGATAAGCGTATTAAGCGAAATGTCGCTTAAATAAAATAGCCTATCACCATTCAATATTATTTACAAAAAAAATATCGTATACGTGTTTTGATATTTTAAACTCTATTCCCAACACGTTAAGGTACATTCTCGTTTGGCGGCAACACGAATACGACGACCACGGGCCTCTTCGGCGCAAACAAGCCGCCGGCTTTCGGTACCAGCACTGCGGGTAAAGTATATGTTTATGTTTTTTGAACTATCCGACGGCTCACCTAGTTTAATAATGTTACGCCGGTAAGAGTAACGCCATCTGTCATCAAACACCAGAAACGAATATTAAAAGGACTAGTAACATCGAGAACGCTCGAGAAGTGTAACGCCATCTATTATCAAATAGCGGAAACACACATCGAAGGTACTGATTTGTGAGGCATGCTCTCAACGATTTTAGGGACGTCGTATCGACTATAAAAGCGTTGCAGAAATGGGTTGTCGAGAAGTACAACCCATTTCTGCAACGCTTTTAGGTCTAGGTCGCGTTCTAGGTCCTTCGATATTCGTTCGACTATTCGACGATAGATGTACAACGGTGTAACAATTAGTATGTTTGTCAGTTTCTGGTACCCAAGGTCCAGGGAATTTTAATTTCGGGTCGGATGTAATTGTGTTATTTGCTTATTTTGTGTCTTGTGATGGATACTGCTATATATATATATATATATATATATATCGACGCTTGAAAGGCAAACGTGACTAAGCGACAATGCGTGAACTTTACAGTAGACTAATTTAAAGTTGAAATACCTGAAAAAAATTATATTTTAACGAATCTAACTGTAGGATTGAAATGATTTTAATAGACCTAGAAAATAGACTTTTAATAGACCTAGTCATCCACAGTGCGTTTCCAGAGATCTTTTTTGCCACGTACCATCCGGCTATGGAATGAGCTCCCCTCCACGGTGTTTCTCGAGCGCTATGTATGACATGTCCTTCTTCAAACGAGGCTTGTGGAGTGTATTAAGCGGTAGGCAGCGGCTTGGCTCTGCCCCTGGCATTGCTGAAGTCCATGGGCAACGGTAACCACTCACCATCAGGTGGGCCGTGTGCTCGTCTGCCTCCAAGGGCAATAAAAAAATAAAATATATTTTTTGCGCATCGAATATGGTTATTGCCTATCATTTATGTACAAATAATTTATTGTCGCTTAGTCACGTTTGTCTTTCAAGCGTCGATATGTATTTTTTTCTTTGCAGGATCCACTCTTTTCAATACAACGACGACACAAGCGCCGGCGTTCGGCGCCAGTACTAACACATTCGGGTTTGGCGCCAACACGCAGAATCAGGTCAGCAGAATCAAGGATAATAATCCTTAAAACCTTTGGCATACGGTATTGAGGCGGGCAGCGGCCTCACTCCGCCCCTGGCGTTACTGAAGGCCACGAGTAACGGTAACCATATACCATCAGGTGGGCCGTAAGCTCGTCTGGTTACAAGGACAAAAATATATTTATCGAAGGGTGAAATGATATTCGGTTTAAGGGACTTTTCTCTTTGTAATTAAAGGTCCGTTTTATTTAGTATCGACATCAACAAGTTCGATGTTTTTAATTGAACTACAATTAAGTTTATCCCGTTGTAATAGTTGTACAAGTTTTTTTGTTATGATATTTTTAACCGATTTAAAAAAGGGGGTAGGTTCTCAATTCGACTGTATGTTTTTTTTCTATGTTTGTTACCTCATAACTTTTGACTGGGTGAATCGATTTTGATGATTCTTTTTTTATTGCTGGAAAGCTGACGCTTCCCGTGTGGTCCCATTTCAATTTAGTCCAGTTCCGATAATGGTATCCATGAGAAAACCATATAAGTCTTAAATTTGCATTAAGTACGTGCGCGACAAATAGATGAATAACTCAACAACTCAATATCACGCCAACCGATTTCGATGATTATTGTTTTTAGTGTATATTAATTTGCTTTGGAATATCTTTTTTTTTCTATTTTAAGTCTGTTTTTGCTGAAGCATGTCTATTTACAATTATTTCGAACTAGAGTTAGTATTGCCTAACACAAAAAATAAATTAGCTGAATTCCTTTTTTATACGTGAGATCGAATTCTACTGTGTGTATAGGCAGACGAGCGTATCGCTTATCCGATAGTAGGTGGGCGCTCGTGGTGGTGATATGAGTGCTTGAGTTCAAATATTGATTTTACGAAATTGTTTGTTTCAGTCGACTGGTATATTCGGGGCGAAGCCGGCAACCGGAGCGTTCGGTACGACGCCGGCCAGCTCGGGCTTCGGTTCGTTCTCGGGGGGCGGAGCACCCTTCGCTGCCAAGACGACGGCTCCGGCGTTCGGTACCACCACATCCGGTATTTTTTTCTTTTTTTTTGCCTACTTTTAGACTTCTCTGCTCCGAACCACGAAGCGACCACCGACGTTGGGCCCCATCATGGCATCGTGGTAGAAACATTGGGAACCTAGCCTAGAAATACGTACTTAATGTATGTTAACAATTGTCTAGTTCCTTCTGCGGATCTACTGGAAGAGATTTCAACTTGAAATAAGTAGTACCCTTGTACTCTATTCTTATTGTCGTGTTTCTTCTAACAGCTGTGTGTACAAAATATATTAAATAAATAAATACGATCGAGACATACACTTAATGTCTCAAAGTCGTGATGTCCATGGGCCGCGGTGAGCACTGAACCCGCTGTTTGCGTGCTCACGGTCTGCGCGCTTCGTCCACAGCATTCGGCAGCATGGCGCCTACGTTCGGCAGCGGCACGCAGGGCGGGGGCCTGTTCGGGCAGGGCACGGCCTTCGGGAAGCCGGCCACCACGCAGCCCAGCTTCAGCTTCGCCGCCTCGCAGCCCGCCGGTACGTATAGCTGATCGGCACTCGGCGCCCCGTACTTTCAGGGTCTTCATCTGCTAATTTAGAGACTAACTTCATTGCACCCAAATGCCTCGTTGTTAACCATCCTCGAATCCCCCAACGTATTTTTTATAAGTTTGCATTTTTTTAGCGACATTGAACATAGCAAAATATATACTGCGATAAGAAATCACTTTTGCATATTTTATCGAAACTACTTTCGTGAAACTGGAGTTTAATATGCATGATACTAATTTCGTAACGTAAATTCGGACTAACACTATCGTGTCCCCCTCAGCGCCGGGGCTGGGGGCCGGGGCGGGGGGCGTGTTCCAGGGCAAGCCCGCGGCGCCGAGCTTCGGCACGCTCGGGCTCGGCACGTTCCAGCAGCAGCCCGCCAACACGTTCAAGACGGGTGAGAGCTTTCTCTATACAACGAACCGACCCGCGACCACGTAGGTCTCAAAAGGCACGTGGAAGTCGTCGTGGCCTAAAGGATAAGACGTCCGGTGCATTCGTGTGTAGCGATGCACCGGTGTTGGAATCCCGCCGGCGGGTACCAATTTTTCAAATGAAATACGTACTCAACAAATGTTCACGATTGACTTCCACAGTGAAGGAATAACATCGTGTAATAAAAATGAAACGCGCAAAATTATAATTTGCGTAATTACTATTGTAGGGCCTTTTGTGAGTCCGCACGCGTAGGTACCACCGCCTTGCCTATTTCTGCCGTGAAGCAGTAATGTGTTTCGGTTTGAAGGGCGAGGCAGCCGTTGTAACTATATTGAGACCTTAGAACTTATATCTCAACGTGGATGGCGCATTTACGTCATAGATGTCTATGGGCTCAAATAACCACTTAACACCAAGTGGACCGTGAGCTCGTCCACCCATCTAAGCAATGAAAACGAGGCTTGATGAGAGTACTCAGGGGTTTGTTGAGGTTGATAAGCGACGGTCACCAACAGGAGGCCGTAAGCTCACCAACCTTATTTTTTATTTATTTTTGACAAAACGGCCCAGTAAATTTGCTTGTACCGCACGATGCTATCTCGCTGTGGGGGTCGTTGTACACAGTAGCAGCAGTGCTTGGTCAGGGGTAGTTGTTAAGACGGAGGACGTGATCTAAGGGCCGGTTGCAGACGGCGTGCTGGGCGGCGGAATGTTCGGGAACAACAACGCGCTGGGCTCCGGCTTCGGTTTGGGCTCGATGAACGCGAACAACAGTCTGCTGGCGAAGTAAGTGTGATGATGATATCGAAGTGTTAAAGGCTATTTGGTTTAAGCGATACTTGTCTTTGTAATTAAACGTCCGTTTTATTTGGTATCAGCATCATCAACAGTTTTTTTAATTGAACTTTCAAAAATAGCTGATGAAGCTGTTTTGATATAAAAAAAAAATCCAAATTTTTCAGCATTAAATGGCTCCCCTGTAAAATAGTAAAAAAAAAATCGCTCAAATCATAATTGATTGATAGAAAAACAAATTGATTAAAAGCTATTGCTTTTCACCCCTCGATATAATTAAGTTTTTATTTATTAGTAAATACAGTGGCTTTCAAACTTTTTCACTGGACAAAGCATTAACATAGTTTTTATAAGTTTGAAGTGTAGTTGTATACATTTCGCCTCGACGAATCCGTCGCTTGGGCTTTATCGTTCGTTCGGTGGTAGTGTCGATCATCGCAACCCTACCTACCTTACAGGGTGGTCGATTAGTAGGCGAACCCTTAAAATCTCTGACCACGGGTCGCATTATATAAAAATGTCGCCATTGTAAATGTGGCTACACACTTGACGGGGGCTTGTGGCGGTTGAGAACCGCTGGCTTGGCTCCGGAGCCCATAGATAACGACGTGAACACGATCGCCTCGAAGTCTTGCGTCTCACAACGGCCATCCCATCCATTGATGTCGGATTGGGGCGGGGGGTTGGGGGCGAGGGCTGAAATTACCTCGACAGCACGACTAATGCTATTTTTTTACAGCAACAGCTTATCCGGCGCGTCTGCTGGCGGCAACGTGCACGAGCAGATCCTGACGATGGCGGCCCGCCCGTACGGGGACTCGCCCCTCTTCAAGGACCTGCTGCCCGATTCGAGTGAGTAAGCAGAGTACTTATGTCGTTTTTGCAGCGACCTGTGACGTCATATGTGGGTGAATTAGCGACGAGCCGACTCGAAATAACAATGACATATTATGTGCTCTAAATACTCCTAAAGGGAGGGGGGGTCAGCATTATAATTACTTAAAGGTCGTCTCGGCAGCGACGTCTGACGTCATACGTGTCAAATGTAAACACAGTATCATCATTACTTAATTAAGCCCCGACAATGCTATACTATTATGCTATTATATTATTAGCGTAGTCTGAAATCGGCTTTAACGTTTCTCTCTCTGTGTGTGTCACGTGACAGCAACGGCAGCCGAAGACATACTGAAGCCGACGAACCCGCTGGCGCTGAAGGCGGTCCTGGACGGCTCCCATTCCGCCTACAGGATCAACTCGCCCACCTCACGGGTGCAACCCAGGCAGCTGCCGATACATAAGGTTATTTATTTATTTATTTATTGCTTAAACACAGGTAACGGTGATGCGTAGAGAGGAGATGCATGTCACTAGGAGATGTATGGAAATGGTAGTGCAAAGAAGAGGGGAAGACATCGACCTAAGAAGACATGGATGAGTGTGTGAATGACGATATGAGAGAGAGAGAGAAAGGAGTGAGTGTTGAAATGACGGCTGATTGAGAAGAATGGGTGGTAGTAAATGGTTATCGGAGACTATAGACATGAGATGTAAAGTCTCAGGTTAAACGCTACAATGGCTGCTCCGCCCTTGAAACCGAAACGCATTACTGCTTCAGGGCAGAAATAGGCAGGGTGGTGGTACCTACCTACCCGTGCAGACTCAACACGTCCTTACCCGTCAACAATTACGCTAATTGTAATTTTTGTATTCAGGCAGTTTAAGATAAAACTAGGATGAGTAACTGCTCTCGCTGGAGTAGCGGCAACGACTGCCTATCGTCACGTAACTGGAAATGGTATCCTATATTATAATAATAATAAATATGATTGATCTTATTATTGTCATTTGATTTCATATTTTAAGCTGGGTGGTCGCGTTCGCGCTGCCATATCTAATCCGTAGAAAGAATCGAGCGTGTCAACCAAAAAAGGACGTAAAATCAATTTGTCTCTTTCTACAAGCCAGTAGCTTTAGTATACAGAGGGACTACATTTTGTTTTGTTTACAGAAGTCGCTCTTCGACGGCCTAGAAGAATCGGATTCGAGCTTAGAAGACAAGCTGTGCTTGAAGCCGAGCCGCAAGCGTCTGGTGCTGCGCGCCCGCCCCGCCGACGGACAGGACGAGGGACGTACCAACAGGTGAGGCTTACCGTCGGGACGCAGTGTCGTATGGTGATGTAGTCTTCCTAACTTCTAACACAGTCCTCCTAACTCCTAAAACAGTCCCCCTAACTCCTAACACAGTCTTCCTAGCTCCTAACAAAGACCTCCTAACTCCTAACCACAGTCCTCCTAACTCCTAACACAGTCCTCCTAACTCCTAACACAGTCCTAACACATTAACTTTACCTACACGTGTGTATTTCAATTGGTATATGTTCGCTTACAGATCATTCGAGCAACCCTCCAGTGGGCCGGGCCGCACGCAGGACTCCGTCGACCAAGTGGACAGGTCCGCCAACGTTAACCGTAACAAGTCCACGGCCGACACAGAGGAGAGTAAGTTTAGAAATTTGATATTTCAAAATCAATTAATTAACTATATAATTAAGTAGATTAATTATAAGAATTAACTAATTATAGAACTATCCTACTAATACTATAAACGCGAAAGTTGGTAAGTATGTATGGATGTATGTATGGATGTGTGTTTGTTACTGTCAGGTCTAGATTTCTACAAAAGACTTTTTGTTTTTTTTTTTATTGCTTAGATGGTTGAACGAGCTCACAGCCCACCTGATGTTAAGTTACTGGAGCCCATAGACATCTACAACGTAAATACGCCACCCACCTTGCGATATAAGTTCTAAGGTCTCAGTATAGTTACAACGGCTACCCCACCCTTCGAACCGAAACGCATTACTGCTTCACGGCAGAAATAGGCGGGGTGGTGGTACCTACCCGTCCGAACTCTGAAGAGGTCCTACCACCAGTAATTACGCAAATTACAATTTTGCGAGTTTGATTTTTATTACACGATGCTATTCCTTCACCGTGGAAGTCAATCGTGAACATTTGTTGAGTACGTATTTCATTAGAAAAATTGGTACCCGCCGGCGGGATTCGAACACCGGTGCATCGCTACACACGAATGCACCGGACGTCTTATCCTTTAGGCCACGACGACTTCATAATTCAAAATTCATTAAGATCAATGTAAATTACAGTTCCCGAAGCGAAGCGAGAACCGGTCGCTAGTTTTTAAATATGAATAGTCGATTAGTGGTACTAGAACATAGGAGGCAACCCCACAGACACAGCCCACTGAGTTTCTCGCCGGATCTTCTCAGTGGGTCGCGTTTCCGATCCTCGGGTAGATTCAGCGAAGCACGGCTCTTGCCAGGGCTACTGTTAGCAACATTATCAGTTTGAGCCCCGTGAGCGCACCTAAACGTCAAAGAGAAACTGAAATAGCCTCTCAAGGATATTAGCATAGGTAGAAAAAAAAAGGAGGCAACTAGAGGAGTTTGCAGTGGCTTGGCCGTGCCTCCTGTATTGCTGTTGTCCAAGGGCGATAGTGACTGGTACTGAACACACGATTTAATCACTTCACTCATGAATCTGTGTTTAAGTTAGCAGTTCACTAGAGCAATTTGTACCTGTCTGCGTAGATCCGAACACCGGCTGACTCATCACACAGTCCACGACAAATTCATACAGTTATTTTATTACTAGTTAGTCAATAAATTTGTATTCCTTGTTTCAGATGGCGATTTACATCCAGACAAGCACAGCAGGTGGTAAGTGAATATTTTGTTTTCTTTCAAAAGGAATTAGAAAAATAAAATTTGAATACAAATAGATCTGATTTAAATAGTTCCCGTCATCGAAAGGGTTAAGGTTAATATATAATGACAATAAAATTAGTGTCTGCGATTCACGAAGGGAATAGTTTCTTCACTTTAAGCGTTTTTTTTTGGTTTTTTTTTCAGGATCAACTCGCCAAAGATCAGCGATCTGTGGACGGAGCGGGATCACAAGCCCGACGCGCAGCGGACCAACAGGATGTACCCCGACATTGGTGTGTGGCCCCCTAACGCCCCCTTTGTGGTCCCCAACGCCCCGTGTGGCCCCCCCTAACGCCCCCACACACGACCGCACACACATGCAAAAGTAGAAATATTGTCGTTTAGTGAATATTTAGTGTAACTCCTTGAGGTTACTAGAAAAAAAGGAGGAAATGCGTATTTGAAAGGACATGGGCAGTGGCCGTGCAATGTATGGAGAGTGCTCCATATATAGCACGGCCCGCTAAACGAAGTTCAAGGACAGTAATGAAATTTGGTTTAAATAACAGACTATATTATATCCCTTTTATTATAAACAAATTAAAATCAATATTGTTCATGGGGATACAGATATATTTAAAAAATAAGATAAGAAATTTAGGTTATATCATATGATTTTGCTGTCAATACACTGACACTTTATCATCATCATCAGCTTAAATATTATTTATATTTCTATAGTTTATATTACAACAAAACTGTAATAAGCAGGTATATCGCAACGAAACACTTAATAATATCCATAATGCGCACGAGTGCGAAAACGACTGATCAAATGTAAAACGTCAATAATCATTAAACAAGCGTAGGTTTTTTTTTGCTTAAAATCAATAATTATTCATCCATGTAATGATTTATTCTACGGATTTATAAGTATAAAAATAGATTTTTGTTTAGATTTAATATTTTATATTAATTTTAAAATCCATTAATTAAATATGCTAATATATTATTTTGCTAGTTTTTTGCAATATAATGTTTTTTTGTAAGAAGATTTAATGTGAATTGTTTAAAATATAAATAATAATATATTTTACCTATGGCAACTCCTTCAATATTATCAATGTAGCTTAATCATACGTTTTTTTTTTTTTTTTTATGATTTTAATTATTCCACCATTAAAATACCCTTAAATTTTATAATAAGTATGTAAAAATTAAATGTTTTTTTTTCCTATAAATATTTCATTGATGTCCTTGAGAACATGAGTAGCTGGATCGAAAATGGCCCATGTCCTTTGTTCATAAAAAATTTGTACGATGTTCATCTTCTATGTATAATGGCTAGGTGATAGTGGCGCTTACCGCGGCGTGAGGGGGGTCGCTGGCGAGCGGAATGACCCCCCCGGGCCCCCATCGCCCGCGCCCCGGGGACCGACCCCGTCCTACTTCCAACGTTGGGCGGCGGTCAGAGCGTGAACGGGGGCTACCTTAAAGTGCTAACATTTTCACCAAACTTTAAGTTTATTGCTAGCAAATTTGGGGAAGTCGCTTAACAAAATTTCTTAATTATTACAATTTTAAAGAAAAAAAATAAAAATCATCGCTTTATGATAAGGGACCAGACAAGGGCCCGTGGCTTACTTTCACGCGGCCCGCGACGCATGTTTTAATAAAAAAATAGTTTTGGATAATATAATTCTTTGTAAAAACATTGTAATCAATATTTGGTATAATATTATCGTTATTCTTGTAACATTCCATTACCATGACATCATTTGAAAGTTAAGCTACATTTTACAAAATATATTTTTTTTGCGGCCCCCAGTTTTTGTAGTAAATTTAATTAGCTCGTAAAGGTATGCAGCGTGGACAGCTTTGCTTTATGAGAACAAACACTAAAAAATATATATTATTTTTTTCATTACAGAAAAAGAAGTATCCGAACATATATCCGAGAGACGCGCCAGCTGGTGAGTCTGTGTTCATTTAGACTCAACATTATAATGTGACTTTTTGGCGGGAACGCGAGGAGTGAAGTTGTGTGATTTGTTTTATTTTGTCTATTCAGTGTTTCTTCGGGTTTAAATGTGTAATAACGGTGGTTTATTAACTGTTTAATGTTTGTGAAAGTGCAATATGGGAAAATAAAACAAAGCCCGTGGACGTAACTTCTCGGGATTTTCCAAAAAGTCCACTGAAAAAATCTCAGTAAATGACCACCATTTTACTGAAATTATATTTCATCCCATATCATCTCATTTCATTTAATTTCATCCCAGTTGATTAATGTCTCAAATTAATCATCTTCGCCAGGCTGAGCACGAAACCGCTGCGTGCGGGGGCGGCGCGCGGGGCCGTGGGGTGCGCGGAGAGCTCAGTGCGGGAGCTGGGGGGACGGAGCGCCTCGCCGGAGCGGGACCGGCTCGACTCGCTATCCGGTGAGTCCGCGCGCGCTGACAGACACCTGTCCGTGCTATTATCTATACTAATATATAAATCTACAGTGGTTTTTACGTTATAACTACTGAATGGTGCATCCGATTGACTTGGAACTTGGTATCCATGTAGAAAATACATGTACTCAATGGATAGGCTAATATTTATATGAGTGTTGGACTCCCTACACCAGTTGCGGGGGCGTTAATTATGAGAATATTTGTGGGGGTGAGAAATAATAATGTTAATTTTAAATGCTCAGCGAAGCGGGCGAGTACGGCTAGTAATATTATAAGTGTGAAAGTTTGTTCGTTTGTCCTTCTTTCACGTCGCGGTATGTTTTTCGTCCCTTAAACCTATGTCTGTACGTATATGAGCTCTCATAGTTCTATCAAAGCAATTGATCCTCGCTTGGAGCCGGATAACCGGGTATGGCTTGTCCCGTGTTATTATTGACATTATCAACTGTCAAACTGCGACGTTTTTCAATAAATCGTTTATTCGAATTATAATTTGAGTGATTTTCGTTAAAAACAATCGAGTTTTCGATCTGATATTTATTTCCGAAAGGCACACTTAAATTCGCTAAAATAACTCAGTTTGTATTATATTTATTTATATATATAAATACTGAAACAGTGATGAAGTTAAATTTGGAATACAAAGGAATATGACCTTTATCGTTCACTGCAATAAGGTACATCGATACAATTCTGCGCGCACCGTCGCGGCGCGCTGGCGGCGTGCTCGAGGTGCGAGAAGATCGCCCATCAAATATCCGGAGTTTACGGTTACCATTTTAAACTAAAAAAACGTCGTAGACGCCGTATCGATTGCAACACGAAAACCGACCGTATGCGTAGGCCAATAGAGGCGTTTATAAACGGTGACGTAATTGTTCAATATGTCGTAATCGATGCCGGTTCGAAGTTGAGGGTAGTTTTGTCGAATGTAGATATTCAGGACATTAATAAATCTGTTGATCCTCGACCCTGGTGGTCTTCTTTACCACCGCCCACTACTCCTGCCGTGAAGCAGTAATGCGTTTCGATTTGAAGGGTGGGGCAGCTGTTGTAACTATACTGAGACCTTAGAAATTATATATAAGATGTCTATGGGCTCCAGAAACCACTTAAAACCAAGTGGGTTGTGAGCTCGTCAACCTTTCTAAGCAATAAATAAAAAAAACCTGGTCTGGTCCCATGATAGGAAGCTACAGCATCCAAAGCACAGGACCTGGTACTAGTCGGACTCATCAGCCCTTGCCTAGTCCTAGTATTAATTTAGTATTAGCTCTTAGTATATAGTGTAGTTTGTTGATATATAGTTAATTTTTATTTAATTGTGCTCAAGACGTCAGGAAATCGTAGTGTAAGGTAGAGGGGGAAGAAGGTCGACCGAAGAAGGCATGTATGGAGTGTGTGAATGCATGTATGAGGCATGTATGGATGATATGTAAGAGAGAGAGGAGTGAGTGTTGAGATGACGGCTGATAGAGGAGAATGGAATACAAAAATTCGCTGTGCCGATCCCACCTAGTGGGGTAAGGTGGAGATAAAGAAGAGGAATTAATTCCTCTTCACATTGTGAAGGTTCTAAATGGTCCTCAGCTTACGTGGTCACGAACTATAAAGTCGAAACGTCATAAGATACTTTATGGTTGTAATAATAAAGGCGAGATTAGAATGGACTAAAGTACTTTAACGACGAATTGTTTTAATGAAGCCACTGTACAGGGTGCTCGGAAAGAGTTTCCCAAAAACTCTTATGTACAATTTTAATAATCTATACTAATATTATAAAGCTGAAGAGTTTGTTTGTTTGAACGCGCTAATCTCAGGAACTACTGGTCCGATTTGAAATATTATTTCACTGTTAGAGAGCGCATTTATTGAGGAAGACTATAACCACCGTGGAAACGATTAAAATTTCGCTAAAATAATGTATGCCGGAATTGTTATACTTAAATCTTATTATCTTAAATCAGATTGCTCTTGTGATGCTTGGAATGCTGTGTATAAGAGATGCGACACCTTCAACATTAATATTATATATATTTTAAATTATAGATAGAAAAATAAATATACACATATATATTTTAAATACTTAATTAAAATATTGCAGGCTATTCGTTGCTAACGCTCGCGCTGGCCTGTAACCGGTATACTACGCGCATGCGTTCGAGTGCCACACATTCACTCTCGCTCTGTCTCTTTCTATTCCCCCTCCCCAGGAGCGTTAAACGTTTAACGCAACCATGTTGGAAGTCGCATTAGAAGTTTCACTTCGAAAAACTAAAGAGTATTAAATAATAATGGTTCGTTCTTTAAATGTATATATGCTGGATTGTGGATGCTTCGTTTTACAGTATCTGAAGATGAGAATGTGGAGCCGCGCGACGCCCCGCCCCACCCGACCGGGGTCAAGCTGACGAGGCCGGGCTACTATACCATCCCCTCCTTGGACGACATGATAAGTGAGCGAATTTCTCCCCCTATCTATATATATTTATTTATCGCCAACAACTAATATTGAACGTTATCACAATTCTAGATGTTATTTTAGTTTTAAATTTAAATATTCCAATTAGTGTCAAGTATCTATGCAATAGGTTTTTTTTTCACAATCAAGTCAATCACTCGTTTATAGATTTTGCGAAACACTGATCTTGCTAGGGCTTACCTACCCGCAACGATTGGGTAGGAAAAAAACAAAGAATAACAACGCTATAGAGAAAAGATTAAACAAAAGCGACCATATGACCCTGATGTCTAATCCGAATTAATTTGTATTCGACCGGTTGGTCCGCTACTTTATTGTTTCATTTCGCTGACCATTGCGCGCTCGCTTACCGGACGCTCTCCATTACCGGGTCGGAGAATCGACGCTATTACATTCGTGTTATCGTTTCCAGACTACATGCGGCCGGACGGCACGTGTCCAGTTCCGCACCTGACGATCGGACGTAAGAACTACGGGAACGTGTACTACGACTCGGAGATCGACGTGGCCGGCCTCGACCTGGACGCCCTGGGTGAGCCCCTACGCCCCCCCAACCCACCTCCCTCTTCCCCCACTGGGATGCAGTCTACTGTGTGAAGTCGACGCCTGAAGGATGAGACGCCTCGTGCCCAAGACTTCCGACAGTCCTAATGAAATACGTACTTAACAAATGTTCACGAATGACTTCCATGGTGAAGAAATAAAACATCGTCTAATAAAAATTACTAGTGGTCCCGCAGTAGTCGAGATTCGACTATACTTAATTGAAATTTTATTTATAAACATTATTATGGTTGTATTGTCAAATAGTGATTATACTTCTATAATACGATCACAGATTTCGCCAAAACTACACTATAGATAAATATTATTAAAGATAAAGAATATTAATGTATTCTCAATTTGACCACAGACTAAACAATAGCAAAAGTTTGACGACAATTGACAAATAAACAAAGTGTATATTCATATGTATGTGTTGTGTCAAATACATGGTAGTGTGTGTAATGTTTTATTTGTTGATTTAATGTATTTTTTAAGGATAATTAAAAAAAATTGCATTCTGCACTCCTCTATATTCTTTATAAGTGTGGGAAATTTTATACTCCTCCTTCCGCGCAATTTTCGTAAAAAGGGGTACAAAGTTTTTGCTTCACCTATTGATATATAAATAAAAAAAAAATACGCGCAAAAATTATAATTACTGATAGTAAGGCGTGCTGCGAGTACCGCACGGGTAGGTACCACCGCCCTGCCTATTTCTGCCGTGAAGCAGTAATGCGATCCAGTTCTAAGAGGCTGAGAACTCGTATCACGAAGTGGGGGACGATATTTATACTGTTAAGGTCCACGGGCTCCGCTAATAATTGTGTGAAAATTTCCAGTCCACTTCCTGAACAAGGAGGTGATAGTCTACCCGGAGGACAGCGACAAGCCGCCGGTGGGAGTCGGCCTGAACCGGCGGGCCATCGTGACTCTGGACCGGGTGTGGCCCCGGGACAAGACCGAGAAGCGACTCATCACCGAGCCCGACAGGTGGGGGAGTTTGGCCGCGGAATAGTTTTTAATTTAACCATTTCATTATCTTTTTCCATTCACTCGCATATCCACGTTTAGGCAGTTCACCTTATCGGACTGCGACGGAGCAACTCAAAGCTACCGTCGCCCGAAACATGTCGGGTCCCCCGGATTCACTCTCGGCGCTTTTAGGGCTCTTAAGCACCGGTCACCGTCCTCGTCGAACTCTTTGACGAACTAACCCATAGACAACTACAACGTAAATGCGCCACCCACCTTGATATATGAGTTCTAAGGTCTCGGTATAGTTACAAAGGCTGCTGGCTTATAAACTGTTTAGCATTTATGTGAATGTACAAATGTGACGAAATCGCCTGTCGTGGCTTCTCAGGTTCATACAAAAAGTCCACTGATAAATTATCAGAAAACAACCACCGATTTCCTGAGACTACCCATAATCTCAGCTCATTTCGTCTAGTTCCATTTAATTTCAATTATTAAATTTCAATTTTTATTTCCCAATTAATCAATTTGTTATATTAATCAACCTCATTTCGCTTTATATAATTTTCATATAATATTATAACAGAATGTAATAAGTAAATATATAATAAGATTCGGCCCTTCTTTAAACGAGGCTTGTGGAGCCGCTACCTACTTAACGGTAGGCAGCGTCTTGGCTCTGCTCCTGGCATTGCTGAAGTCCATGGGCGACGGTAACCACTCACCATCAAGTGGGCCGTACGCTCGTCTGCCTATAAGGGCAATAAAAAAAAGGTCTCGTTATCAGGACACAATAAAATCTTCAAAAAAAAACCTTATATTACAATGTAATTTTGATTTGGTTTTTGTTTTAAATTATTATTTGCAGATTACTAAAACTGGATTATGAAGGGAAGCTGCGCAGGGTTTGCGAGAAGCACGACACCAAGTTTATCGAGTATCGACCTCAAACGGGCAGCTGGGTGTTCAGGGTACGGACTCGTGTTTAATCGCGTAAACAAAATATATGTATATACGTCCCTTCGAGTGCGAATTGTCGATAGATCGACTCTTTATTTTAATGCGTATAAAATGCGGAGCGTCGAAATACCGACTGTTGCGCTGTTTCATCATACGTATCGACCTGTACGGACGTGTCTTAGCGCGGGCATGTACAATTATTTTGCTGGCTAAATATGTGAAATTAAGCTGAGTATTAAAAGGTTTAAATATACGCAAAAAAAAGCTGCGACAATGATAAAGGTATGGAGGCATATATCTCTACCAATTCCTGTAAGCTCTCCTCCGCATGGAGCAAGCAGTATAAAGCACAGAGAGGACCGTAGTCCCTCTGTCTGACCCAGGTACCCTTGCGCCCTCACGGCACTAATCATGACCATAATTTTCAGGTGGAGCATTTCAGTAAATACGGTCTCACTGATTCCGACGAGGAGGACGACCCCACTCCGGACGTCCTGAAGCGGCAACTCCTCACCGAGTCGCTACAGAAGGCCAGCGCACCAGGTCAGTGTCTCCGGGATGGTTGGGTATGAGACAAAAGGCATTTACCAACAGTACTTATTAATAATGAAGAATGAAGTCAATTTACGATCAGAATAGAATATGTAGTTGCTCATTTGAAAACTGTTGAATCGAGGTAACCAACGGTACAATAATATCAAAATAAGTTTGGCATTTGTCGATATGAGAGGTGAAAAAAGTATATAATATTTCTGGATATTCATTGTGGAATATTTTAAATTGTTAATTTTTCGAATGATCATAGATGCATTTTTAGAATTTTTAGTAATGTGACTTCTTTTTGAGTATTATAAAAATTAGAGCATTAGTACAAAGATCTAAATCTAACTGTTGTAATGTAAAACTGAGGTTTAGAACTCATGATTTAAGGTGGGTGCTTATGTTGTTGATGTCTATGAGCTCTGGTAACCACTTAACACCAGGTGAACCGTGAGCTTGTCCACTCTTGCAAGTAATTAAAAAAATAGACAAAAGACTAAAAATATCCATTTCAAACCAACCAATTCAAAACCAATATATAGTATTGTATGAGCCTTATTAAAACTTTAAAATTGGTACGTTTTCAGGTCCCAAGTCCCCTGTGAGTGTGTCGGAGGCGGGGGCTGCGGTCCCGGGGCTCGTGGGGCCGGGACATCCCGGGCTGGGGGGTTCCGGCCCGCCAGGCCTGCTCAGCGAGGACAGCCTCTATAATCTCCACCACACTTCCTTACTGACCCTGAACGGCACCAGCAAAGGTAAGACGATATGACTTGAAATAAAAATCAAACCCGCAAAATTATAATTTGCGTAATTACTGGGTTTGTTTTCCCTACTTATGCTAATAGCTTTGAGAGGCTATTTCAGCGTAACCGTAACTAGTAGGTGAGCTCACGGGGCTCAAACCGGAGTGTTGCTAACACTGGCCCTAGCAAGAGCCATGCTTCGCAGAATCTGCCACCGGATCGAAAATGCGACCCACTGAGAAGATCCGGCGAGTAACTCAGTGGGCTGTGTCTGTGGGTTAATTTACTCGCTGAGCCCTTCGTCGCAAGCGGCGTGTTCGACCAGAACTCTGACCAGTGTTTGAGGTACCTAAAAGCACTGTTAGTGGATCGGGAGGATCCGTAATGACGTGTTTAGGGCGACGTCGACTGTTTTTCATTCTGTCTGCAGGATCGGGTATGTACTGGTGGTAGAACCTCTTGTGAAGCAGTAATGCATTTCGGTTCGAAGGTTGGGGCAGCCAACTATACTTAGACCTTGTAACTACTTGTAACTATACTTAGACCTTAGAACTTATATCTCAAGGTGGGTGGCGCATTTACGTTGTAGATGTTTATGGGCTCCAGTAACCACTTAACACCAGATGGGCTGTGAGCTCGTCTACCCATCTAAGCAATAAATAAAAAATCGATCATCGCGTTTGTTGGAATATTATCTAATGACTTCTATTTTCAGCTTTCGATGTTATGGACACCGCTGAAGACAACGCGGAGTCACAAAGCCTGTTTCTAGAAAACAGAGGTAAGGTTCAACACGTCGCCTCGCCCTAAAACAGATTAGCTTTGAACTTGATTAAGGAAGAAATTTATTAATGCCTTAATTTCTTGAACATTTTATATTTTTAACAAAAAAATTTAAAGTAGACTTGAAAAAAGAAACAATATCGACAGGCGAAAGCCTGTTTGGATTAAGCGTAATTTTGACAAGTTTACCGGAGAGCCATTGAAAGTTGAAACATTTGGATTAAGTATCACAACAAAAAAATAATTGTTCAGCTATTTCAATGGAGTAAATGTAATTGATGATCAATTAAAATCATCGAACTGTTGATGCTGATACCAAATAAAACGGATCTTTAATTACAAAGATAAATGTCGCTAAAACCAAATAGCCTTTTACCCCTTGATATATTATATAAAAATATGAGAGTAAAATCTACTTTTGCACTACAAATTTGTATGTGGCACTCGGGGACTGCCGCGGTAAAGCTATTGGATAGCATTTTTTCATCAACTTATGAAATTATAATTAGACAATAATAATTTAATATTAAAACAATAATAAAATAAGACCGCGCTATATTTATAAACATTAACAAAAGCAAAACATTAATTGTCCCCTTCACACTCATAAGCTAAACCGCGCGAGAGAGATATGGGCAGAATTTTCATGATGCGCATGCAGTGCGACGTCACGCCGCGCGCTTATTCACAGACACTACACAAGCGCAACGTGTGAATGTGTTGGATGCGAGCTACATGGTAGGCGGAGTGGGGTGTTAGGTTTTGTTTTCGTTACGGAATTTCTTGATTCGGTCGCCGCGCTCAAAGCCCGCCATAAAAGAGATATGCAATTCAAAAAATCGTAATATTTTTTTAGCGTTCGGCGTGAAGAGTCCCACCTCGGAGCTGGCGCGCCTGGAGAATAGACGCAGCCACAGCGTACAGCTGATGAAGGCCTCGCTGTACCCTGATGAAGGTGAGGAGTTCCGATCGCTTTGCATTTAGGTCGATGTTCGGGAGTCAGATTATATTGTCGTCGTGACCTAAAGGGTAAGACGTCCGGTGCATTCGTGTTGAGCGATGCACCGGTGTTCGAATCTCAGGCGGGTACCAATTTTTCTAATGAAATACGTACTCAACAAATGTTCACGATTGACTTCCACGGTGAAGGACTAACATCGTGTAATAAAAATCAAACCCGCAAAATTATAATTTGCGTAATTACTGGTGTAAGTCCGCGCGGGTAGGTAGCACCACCCTGCCTATTTCTGCTGTGAAGCAGTAATGCGTTTCGGTTTGAAGGGTGGGGCAGCCGTTGTAACTATACTTGAGATCTTAGAATTCATATCTCAAAGTGGATGGCGGCATTTACGTTGCAGATGTCTATGGGCTTCGGTAACCACTTAAAAATAGGTGGGCTGTGAGCTCGTCCACAAAAAAAAATATGATTTTTACGTTTCATATCGTTTAATAACGCGAAACGTCAGAAATAATATATTGACAATAAAAAATAATTCGAGATCACATCGTCAAAGTGTTTTTAATTACATTCACCTCTGTGCTTAGTGCACGTTTGACTACGTTTGCCGCTAGGGGCGCTGTTCCAAGTGCATACAAATTTGAGTTAACTTTTACGCTATCGAGAACGTTAAATAATTCGTATTAAGCTCACTGTAGTCTCAAGGTGAGCTTCGATATTTGCTTACCGTCAGTTTTTGCTGAATTGTTTTTTTTTTTTCGTTTCAGAAATGGACGATGACGTGTCAGTGTCGACGGGAGAACAGCTGGTGCCGAACTCGGCTCCGATATTTAACGATCAACGGTTACCGTCGCCTTCGCTGGGGACCGTCGTGGGGGCCCCGCCCGCGCCGCCGGAGCGCGCGCCCGGTAAGCACGCAATGGACAGCGATGAGCTGATGATTGAAATGAATTTAACAAAGGACAGACTTTTTGGCGGGAACGCGAGGAGTGAAGTTGTGTGATTTGTTTTATTTTGTCTATTTAGTGTTTCTTCAGGTTTAAATGTGTAATAACGGTGGTTTATTAACTGTTTAGTATATGTGAAAGTGGACAAATGTGGAAAAAATGAAACAAAGCCGCTGAACGTAACTTCTCGGGATCCTCCAAAAAGTCCACTGAAAAAATCTCAGTAAATTACCACAATTTTACTAAGATTATTATATTTCATCCCATATCATCTTATCTCATTTCATTTCATGTGATTTCAATTGTTTTTTTCTTTCTAGAACCACCAATGCGACCGCTCACTGTCCAACCCCATACGATAGTATTGAAATACCACAGAAAGGTTCCACCATTCAAAGACACCATTGCGGGTGAGTTTTTCACTATACTGCTATATTCTTCTTCACTATATTGCTAGATTATTTTTTGAGGACAAATTTCTTGTATATTGTATGTAATGTTTATTTATTTACTTAGACACCAACAGCAATACACACAAAACATTCAAGCTTAAAATTAACATGTATAAAATTAAGTACTGGTATGTAAGCCAGTTACAGGCATGTACAGCAATCTCTTATAACACACTATGACATGTTACAGCAATATATATATTTGAAAACAACATGAAAACAAGAGCTAACTACACACACTACTAACTTTACAGATTACTAAATAAGNGACACCAACAGCAATACACACAAAACATTCAAGCTTAAAATTAACATGTATAAAATTAAGTACTGGTATGTAAGCCAGTTACAGGCATGTACAGCAATCTCTTATAACACACTATGACATGTTACAGCAATATATATATTTGAAAACAACATGAAAACAAGAGCTAACTACACACACTACTAACTTTACAGATTACTAAATAAGAGATAATGCACATATTTATATAGTAAAAAATTATAAACAAAAATTATAAAACTATAAAAAAAACGTTAGTGGCTGGATATGTAATAAATGGTATGGATTAAATTTAGAATCAATTCGTGTAAAAATCAAATAACGGATGACGTCACGGAATATAGATGACGTACTGACTTCGCATCGTTTGTCTCATGGAGGGTAGAAGTAAGGAGTACCATCTCAGTGTATTAACAAGTGTCCTCTGAAAGAGAGTCAGTTAAGATGGCGCCACTGTAGCAAGTGGGAAGAGTTTAAAAACAGCGCTATTAACTACATACCACACCTTACTTTAACTTGACACAGTCTCTGCTTAAAACTGCTACATTCATGTCACTTCCACTTGCTACACTAGCGCTATTTCGGTGAGTCTTTGAACAATAACTTGCTGTTTACAAGTGGACACTTTCAATTTGTCCTCCATACAAGATGGCGCTCCTCTGACCTCTACCTTCCATAGTTTGTCTGGCTTCGTACGACCTCTATGTTGCCAGGTTCACACGATGCTATTTCCATTAAACTGCTACTAGATGGCGTTAGTGTTATTTTTTTGTCATTAGCTGTGACTGTTTATAGTAATATGATTTTACAGTCCAAGGTGCTTTTAGGTACCTAAAGCACCGGTCACCGTTCGAGTTCGTAAATTAACCCGCAGACACAGCCCGCTGAGTTTCTCGCCGGATCTTCTCAGTGGGTCGCGTTTCCGATCCGGTGGTAGATTCTGCGAAGCATTGTTCTTACTAGGACTAGTGTTAGCAAATGCACTCAGATTGACCGCGTGAACTTACTTACCTGTCCACGCGTAGATGCAATAGCTCCTTAGACTTAGGTTCTATAGTTTCGGAGCCTATTCAATACAAACGAACAAACAAATCTTTCCTCTTCATAATATTAGTATAGATGACTTGGTTTCCCCGCAGGTCGGCTGGACGGCGCCTGTCTGGCCGACATGTCGGTGAGCCGCGCGCGCCACAGCCGCGTCGGCTTCGGGCCCGCCTCCACCGTCGCCCTCCTCACCACGTACGACGCCTTCAGCGACCTGCCCAGATGTAAGCGGCCGGACTTGGCGGGGTTTGGGGGGCGTCGATCCTCCCACGGAGGCCTGAGTTCTCGTGTGCTTTTGTGTCTGTTAAATATAAGAATGGGTTGTCTTATCGCTTGAAGTGATCTCTTCCAGAGCAGGAGGATAAATAATATTGCAAAAAAAAAAGTGTGTTCAATTTTAATTTGTGTTTGTCTGCCAGTCTGTAAATTATTATTTTGAATATCGAAATATATTGAATGTCATAGAAAGTGCTGCACAAGTCGATGACTTTGAACATCAACCCAATCAAAAATAAACCTTATCGGCATCGGCAAAAAGTTTTTTTTTTTTCATGATCCAGTTCATAATTATGTGGCTATTGGAGTCCATGATATTAGCAGGCTTGTTAGACCGTTGTGGTCTCGATTCTGGAGTCCGGACGAGTTCACAGAATTGATCACGACACATGACACATTTCGCTTTGCTCGCCATTTTTATTTCATTCTATCCACGCTCTGTACATAACCATTGAACAACTTCACTCCTCAACCAGAATACGACACCTGTAAATCTCCGGGATCTTCAGATTATCACAGCATTGGACGTATGTTTGCAGTCCGCCCATACAGAGATGTTAATTTGGATATGTGTTCTGCCCACAGCGTCTGAGCTCTCGTCGTTAGACCGGTACTTGAGCGGCAGGGCCAGCGGCGACTGGTCGGAGCGTCTGGTGGCGCGTCTGGCGCTAGCCGCCGACCGGCCGCAACACCCGCTGCAGGTACACACCTCGACTGATTCACATACATCGAGGGGCCAAACCAGTGTTTCCCAACCTTTTTGTGCCACGCCCCACTGTGACGTTTCTAAAATTTTTATGCCCCCCATACATAAGTTTTAAAATAAAATAATTGATTTCTTCACTGAACTAGATTAAATGATAGGTTTTAGGAAGAAATCACTATGAAATTGTTATCCAAACACATACTGTTCATAAATATAGCGCGGTCTTATTATATTATAGTTTTAATATTAAATTATCATTGTCTAATTATAAATGCATAAGTTGATATAAAATGTTATGCAATAGCTTTACCGCGGCAGTCCCCGAGTTCCACACGTGTTTTTTTTTTATATTTCCAGGAGATCTTGGAGCCGCACATCTCGACGCTGCTGGAGTGGTCCACGCTGTCGGAGTGCGGAGAGGACGAGTGCCCGCGCCTCTCCCTCCGCCCCGAGCCGGAGGCGCGCCTGGCTGTGCTCAGGGACAACCTGAGACACTCCTCCAAGCACGACTACGTAGTGAAGGTTAGTTTGAATCACGTTACTAAAATTGTAAATTCGCTCGCCCTTACGGATCCATCAGATCCAATAACCCCTTCATTGGACGCCTTGAGCTCTAACGCTAGGAGCAGGCTTAGGGATCCCACTAACCTAGCTGTTAGCAAATCCTATCCCCTACTGTATGTGCCTTCGCTCGTCCACCTGTCCTGGTGAAACTGGAAAGGTCTCCGAGCCAGCAGTAATTCCTCAGTCATATAAAAAAATATTGTAATTTGATGTGACATGTCCGCTCATCATATAACGCTGCATAAGGACTTCCACATTGAAGAGATTCCTCGAAGAAATCTTTTCAGATTAAATAAATATAATACTGGAGGAAATCTATTTTAAACTAGCTGACCTGGCAGATTTCGTAGTGCCTCAATCGATAAATAAAAGACCTAAACTTTTGTATAAAATAAACTTAAAACAAACAAAAGGAATCCGTTCGACGGGGGACACATCAAAGGAAAAGCAAAATTAATACTGCTCGTAGGACATCTTGTGAGTCCGCGCGGGTAGGTACCACCGCCCTGCCTAAAGCAGTAATGCGTTTCGGTTCGAAGGGTGGGGGCAGTCGTTGTAACTATACTGAGAGACCTTAGAACTTATATCTCAAGGTGGGTGGCGGCCTTTACGTTGTAAATGTCTGTGGGCTCCAGTAACCACTTAACACCAGGTGGTCTGTGCGCTCGTCCACCCATCTAAGCAATAAAAAAAATATATAATTATTAGGGAAATCCTCTTCAAATTAAGGAGAATACTTGAGATAATATTTTCAAATTAAAGAGATTCCTTTAAGAAATTCGCGTTATACATCGAATTTACGGACATTTTTAATGAGTCCCCAAAAAGACTAATAAAATCCTCGTCTTCAGTTCGGCGTGTCTGCCGCGTACTGCCGCGAGGTGTGGAAGCTGTGCGATGCGCTGTGGGGAGCCGATCTGGAGAACGGTGGTAAGTGTTGAAAATTGAAAAAAAAAAAGATGTGTGGCATCGTGGGACACCGGATAGGAACGAAGAAAAATATATAATAAAAATATGTTATTTTTTGTACGTTATTACAAAGTCAAGTCGTACACTGTGTGCATTACTAATAAAAATCTTATGTTATGGACGTTTTTTCCGGTTAGGGTACCCCTCCGCATCGTCCCATAAGGAACTTCGTTCCAAAATTTATGGAGAATTTAGTTTTTTTTATATGCCGTAGCAGTCAATGTTGTAGAGCAGGACTGCGTTGTTGAGTCTTTGCTCGTCTCCCTGTCCTGGTGAAACTGGAAAAACCTCCATGCTAAACCTTCACTCATAAAAAAAAGCAGGGCTGTCCAAATTACATACCTTTGCGGGCTAATTATATTTACTATTCGCTGAGTACCGCGATGTTACCCGCGTTTATTGTTTAAAAAAAGTTACTCCTTATATCACAGTTACCTGTCAGTGAAAGTCTCGTCAAAATCGGTCCAGCCGTTCCAGAGATTAGCCGGAACAAACAGACAGACAGACAGACAGTCAAAATTAAAAAAAAATGTTATTTTGGTGTATGTACTGTGTATACGTAGTAATACATACTTAAGCATTTGACGGGCTTAGGTAATGCCTTTCTCAACCAGTCAACCAAAGATAATGCAGAGTAAATAGAGCTCCCCCCCAATTTAGATAGTGAGGTATGTATTATAATTCTGGTTCATCGACTTGCAGGCATCCCTGGCACGGACGAGCAGTCGATAGTGAACAGACACAAGAAGCTGCTGCGTTGGTTCGAGGACGCCGTGGCGGGGGTCACGGACGCGGAGCTGGCCGAGCCCCGGGGGGCAGAGCTGGAGGATGGTAAGTGGAGTTGGGGACCCTTTTTTTTTAGTCAGGGTTCCTTTGGTGAATGTCATTATGGATCCTCCCGATCCATCAACGGTGCTTTTAGGTACCTCAAGCACCGGTCACCGTTCAAGGGCTCGACGAGTAAATTAACCCTCAGACACAGCCCACTGAGTTTCTCGTCGAATCTTCTCAGTGGGTCGCGTTTTCGATCCGGTGGTAGATTATGCGAAGCACGACGCTAGGGCCAGTGTTAGCAACACTCCCGGTTTGAGCCCCGTGAGCTCACCTACTAGTTCGGTGAATCTAGAATAACCCCTCCAGGTTACTAGAATAGGTAAGAAAAAAAATCATTTGGCATTTGTGAAGTTACACAACTGCAGGGAAATGAAGGAAATTCTTTCCGGACTTTGTTTTTGGATTCTTACCAAAAATATCCGCAGAAATTGCATTCTATAATATAATATAATACACCGAAGTCTTATTAGACAGACTTTAATTTCCTCCCAATCTACCACCTTACGACACACGTCGTAGTTGCTCACCTTGTAATATTCGATCGCCATCTTGACCGTCTCTTTCTTACTCATACATTCATCCCTTTCACTCTAAACGTTCTGTTTCTCACATTTATATATTTTTTCAGAGTCCGACACGCACAGCGCTCGAATCTGGACGTTGCTGCTGGGCGGCAGGACGCTTGAGGCCTGCAAGCTGGCCAGGGAGAGCGGGGATCTCAACATGGCCATGCTCCTCGCTCAGGCCGGCGGTTAGTAACACCAGCTCTTAGTCTCAATACTACAATACAACGGCTGCCATACCCTTCAAACCGAAACGCATTACTGCTTCACGACAGTAATAGGCAGGGCGGTGGTACCTACCCGCGCGGACTCACAAGAGTACCTACCACCAGTAATTACGAAAATTATAATTTTGCGGGTTTGATTTTTATTACACTTATATCTTCTCTGTCTAAATCACTAACACTCGAGCTATTCAAATCCATATTTTATTATAATTGTATTCTAGGACAAAAAAATAACCAATTCTTGATCAAGCTTCCATTAACATAAAGATATAAACATGCAGTTTCTAGGTTACCGGGAAATAAAGAAAGATACGCGCATGCGCACATTTGCAGTCTCACCGGGCGAGAATCGTGTGCTTTTGTCCCGCGTGTCAGGGACTAACAGCCTGGCCACGGGACATTCGCCGATGCGAATATTCGCGCGGTGCGAACGGCGAAGCGTCTAGCGACTAAAACAAGCGCATAGAAATGTACCTAACAAGCCACGCGCACCGGCGACCGGCGAAGCGACCGGCGAAATGTACCGAGCGAATCGCGCGATGCGGCGGGCGAGCAAAACAAATGCATGAATACGGACGGCGCGAGCCACGGAGTCGAGCGGTAGTCGCGGCGAATAGTGCAGTGATTAAATGAGTTTAGTTGTTTTCGCCGCGAAAAATTAACGCCGAAATTTTTATATTTTTTATTTATTTTTTATTTTATATTTTTAAAGTCGTCGTGGCCTAACGGACGTCCGGTGCAATCGTGTTGAGCGATGCACCGGTGTTCGAATATCAGGCGGGTACCAATTTTTGTAATGAAATACGTACTCAACAACACTCAACGTTCACGATTGATTTCCACGGTGAAGGAATAACATCGTGTGATAAAAATGAAATCTTCAAAATAATAATTTGCGTAATTACTGGTGGTAGGACCTCTTGTGAGTCTACACGGGTGGGTACTACCACCCTGCCTATTTCTGCCGTGAAGTAGTAATGCGTTTCGGTTTGAAGGGTGAGGCAGCCATTATAACTATACTTGAGACCTTAGAACTTATATCTCAAGGTGGGTGGCGCATTTACGTTGTGGATGTCTATGGGCTCCAGTAACCACTTAACACAAGGTGGGCTGTGAGCTCGTCCACCCATCTAAGCAATAAAAAAATAAAATAGCTGAAATACTAGCTAGACCAGCTATTTGGAAGTCTAGCCACCCAAAGTATTTCTCGTACTTCTTGTGGAATTCTCCATCTATAGGTATACTCCGATTCTTATTCAAATCATGTACTTCACAATCTTTTCCAAATAATAGGTCCTGAACCAAAAAACTATTAATTTGTAAGCAATATCGAGATAATTTCGATATAGACATTTCGCTGTCGGACTTCCTTACTAGTCGCGGCGGCGAACGTGAGTACCCGTGGCCTGCAAACGGTGCTGCGCGAATGGTCGCCTCGCCCACCGCTTCGCTGTTCGCACCGCCGATCCCCGTGGCCAGGCCGTAAAAGCGAACTTTTCATTCCGGGGGGAAAAATTGTAATGCATGCGTGTGTGTGTCAAATACATGGTAGTGTGTGTAATGTCTTTTTTATTGATTTAATGTATCTTTTGTACATACTTTAAACAGATATTAACATTCTGCACTCTTTCTCTATATCCTCTATAAATGTGAGAAATTTCATACTCCTTCGTCCGCGCAATTTTCGTAAAAAGGGGTACAAAGTTTTTGCTTCGCGTATTAATATATAGATAGTAGAAACAGAACTAAGCGTGTGTTTGTGTGTGCGCAGGTGACGTGGCGTACCGCGGGCTGGTGGCGCGGCAGCTGGCGCAGTGGAGCGCGTGCGGCGCCGACACGCACGTGGCGGGCGCGCGCCTGCACGCGCTGCGGGCGCTGGGCGGCGCCGCCCCCCCCGCGCTGGCGGGCGCCGGCTGGCTGCGCGCGCTGCACGCCACGGCCAGGTACGTCGCGCACTACGCTGCACTGGAGCATAGTTAAATTGAATACATGAATATTTAATTAAAATTTTCGAGATAACAAGGAAGATCTGCCACCGAGTGAAATGGCTCAGTAAACCGACGGTCAAAGTGTAGTTAAACTTGTATATGCATATATGTATATGCAAATTAATCTTGGAAACGTCGTTAGCGAGATTTAGACATATTGTGTCAAATATCGAAAATTTAATTTTATAACCTGTTAGAATACATGTTTACAAGTCGAACGAAGTAAAAAAATAAACTTCGTTTTCTTAAAATTTTTAGTTAAGCCACTTCCAATTCTAAAGGTGCGGTATATACTATTTAATTTGCGATAGAATGAGACAACGTCTACTTGTACAGTTTTCTCCCCACTCCCCACCGCTTCTGACCAGCACCCATAACTTTTTTTAAGGGATTTTATGACCTGGTAACTAAGACCTTTAAGTCATGTCTTATTTTAATTTATTTTCTTATTTTTATGAAAAATGATGAAATGAAATGAAGATGATTAATTTGAGACATAAATCAACTGGGATGAAATCAAATGAAATGCGATGAGATGATATGGGATGAAATATAATCTCAGTAAAATGGTGGTTATCTACTGAGACTTTTTCATTGGACTTTTTGGAGGATCCCGAGATGTCACGTCCAGCGGCTTTGTTTCATTTTCCCACATTTGTGCACTTTCACAGATATTAAACAGTTAATAAACCACCGTTATTGCACATCTAAACCTGAAGAAACACTAAATAGACAAAATAAAACAAATCACACAACTTCACTCCTCGCGTTCCCGTCAAAAAGTCAGCACCCATAACTTTAATCTTTCAGATACATTTGCCCGCAAATTCCCTCGCTCGAGAAAATTATAAGAACGTACGAGGGATTCTTCAGTAAGGACGAGCAAGTCGATTTGACCTCATTAGGCGATGACGTCGACATGAGACCGCCCCTGCCGGATTACAATGAAGATTACTGCTACATCACGAGTAAGGTATGAGCTGTTTGTAGAGTTGTATTTAGATGTGCCAATACACAAATGCGTATAAAATATTGACAGCTAAATTGACAGGATTATGATGCTTCATCAAATTGACAAGAATAAGTGCTTGTTAAATTTGACAGGATTAAGTTGTTCGTTAAATTTGACAGGATTAAGTTGTTCGATAAATTTGACAGGATTTAGGTGTTCGTTAAATTTGACCGGATTAAGTTGTTCGATAAATTTGACAGGATTTAGGTGTTGACAGGATTAAGTTGTTTGTTAAATTTGACACGATTGAGTTGCTCACCAAATTTGACAGAATTGACTTCCTTGCTAAATTTTACAGGATGAATTTAAAACATTTTCTGGAAATTATATTTAAAAAAAAGCGAATGTTATACGGATCCGTGTTAGTTGTTGCACCGTGCTAGTATGTATGCGACATATCAAATTGTTGAACTCTGCACAGTTCACTTCGTCACAACTGCCACATCCACACCACGCGCTGACTGCCCTGACGTTGCTGCAGTACTGTTGACATGTCATTGGCTGCTTGTCCTGCAACTTGTTCCCCAGATTAGACAGTTGTCCTTACCTCTGCCTACTCTTTGTAATGTTGACGATGAATTTAAAATAATTTGTTCCAGAATGGAAATACGAAAGCGGTGTTGGACTTACGCTACGAGCTTATTAGAGCAAGAGCTTTCAATCAACGTCCGAAACTTAAGCCCGCAGCTTACACTCCGGATCCGAACGATTTTACACTGTGGTGAGTATCGCAACAAGTTAACCTACTGACTAATTTTATTTACACTGTGGTGAATTTCGAGAAGTTAATCTACTGATTTTTTTTTTGCACTGTGATGAATGTCGAGAGGTTAACCTACTGACTTATTTGTGTTGGTATTTTGTTAAGTCATAATTTAAAGGTAGTATTTGCGAGGACGTTGTACCCGCGCGCCATTTGGATCAGATTTTTTAAGGATCCACTTGGTGTTAAGTGCTTACCAGAGCCCATAGACACCTACAAAATGCCGCCACCCACCTTGATATATGAGTTCTAAGTCTCAGTTCTATAGTACAGTAGTTACGCTTTTAAACCGTAACGCATTACTGCTTCACGGCAGAAATAGGCAGGGTGGTGATACCTACCCGCGCGGACTCACAAGAAGTCTTACCACCAGTAATTACGCAAATTATAATTTTGCGGGTTTGATTTTTATTACACAATATCATTCCTTCACCGTAATTTTCGGATTTCCTCTAACGTATTCCGTTTGTTATCGTTTCCAGCTTCCTCCTGGGCGCGTGGTTCGGCAGTCCGGCGGTGGAGAGCGTGGTGTCGGTGGCGGAGCAGCTGGAGGCGGGTGGCGCGTGGCAGCTGGCCACCGCCGTGCTGGCGTACCATCCGCACGGAGCCGCGTCAGTCAATCTTCGCTTACCTAGGGTTGCAGTGGGGAACTCTTGCGCAAGCGAATCCATAGAGCCCATAGAGTCCATAGAGCCCCACCGAGTCCATAAAGCCCATAGAGTTCATAGAGTCCATAAAACCCATAGAGTTCATAGAGTCTATAAAGTCCATAGAGTCTCTAAAGCCCATAGAGTTCCTAGAACCCATAGAGTCCATAAAGCCCATAGAGTCTATAGAGCCCATAGACATGACAACGCGACCACTACCGGCTCGTTTGTGTCACGACCTCCCTCCACTCTCTCCGCTATCCGAAGTGAATCAAATGCGTCCAATTTCGGTAGGCAGTGGCTTGGCTCTGCCCCTGGCATTGCTGAAGTCCATGGGTGACGGTAATCACTCACCAATAGGTGGGCCGTATGCTCGTCTGCCTACAAGGGCAATAAAAAAAAACATGAGCACAGTCTAATTGGCTTCGCTCCAAACAAACATTCTTAGTACTTTGGTGGGTCGATGTTCGAATTCCGGTGCTTTTAGGTACTCTAGCACCGGTCACCATCCTCGTCGAACCCGTCGCTTGCGACGAAGGGCTCGGCGAGTAAATTAACCCTCAGACAACGGTAGGCAGTGGCTTGACTCTGCCTCTGACATTGCTGAAGTCTAGTACTCTCCACAAGCCTCGTTTGAAGAAGGACATGTCATAGCGCTCGGGAAACACCGTGGAGGGGAGCTCATTCCATAGCCGGATGGTACGTGGCAAAAAAAGATCTCTAAAAACGCACTGTGGATGACCGCAGTGGCTCCAAGCGACCACCTCTCGGCGCAACAGTTAGGGCCACAGAGTCAGTTAATATGCTATTGAGATGTGGACTTCTTGTGTCAAGTTGGGTGGCGGTCCAGAGGTTATGGCCAGGCTGGGCCGCCAGTCTGCTGTAAGTGTAACGTTTCGCCACAGCCGATCCTCGCTGGTGAGGAGCATGATCTCGCGGCACGCGCCGTCCTCGGGCTCCGCCCCCGGCCTCCAGCTGCTGGAGCGGATCGGGGTGCCCGAGAAATGGATCCACCTGGCTCGCGCGCACAGGGCCAAGTACGAGGTACGTTCAAAGCAAACAGCCTAACTAAACACTGGTGGTAGGACCTCATGTGAGTCCGCGCGGGTGGGTACCACCACCTCGCCTATTTCTACCGTGAAGCCGTAATGCGTTTCGGTTTGAAGGGTGGAGTAGCCGTTGTAACTATATCGAGACCTTAGAACTTATATCTCAAGATGGGTGGCGCATATACGTTGTAGATGTCTATGGGCTCCAGTAACTACTTAACACCAGGTGGGCTGTGAGCTCGTCCATCCGCCTAAGTAATAAAAAAAAACAAATTTTACTTAATATTCTTATTGATGTCCAATTTTGCGGACCACCACTCATCATCAGATAACGAGAATAGTTATGTCATATCAGTTTAACCCACAGACACAGCCCACTGAATTTCTTGGCAAATATTCTCAGTGGGTCGCGTTTCCGATCCGGTGGTAGATTCTGCGAAGCACGGCTCTTGCTAGGGTCAGTGTTAGCAGCGTCGTCAGGTTTGAGCCCCGTGAGCTCACTTACTAGTTAAGGTTACGCTGAAATAGCCTCTCAAGGCTGTCAGCTTAGGTAGGGAAAAAAAGAAGAAAAATTTAAGTTTTAGATTGAAAGGCTTAGTCACCGTGGCGGTGATGATGAAGCCGTTTCGCCTCATGCCCTACCCCCCAGTATCGAGTATGGGGTATCACCATGAGGTCTTTGAATGTAATGAAATTGAGGTCGTTGGTGTCTGTTCCAGCACCAGCCGGCGCTGGAGGTGGAGCACCTATTGGCGGCGCGGCAGTGGAGCGCCGCGCACCGCGTGCTGCTGGACGAGCTGCTCCCCGACGCCGTGCTCAACGGTCCGTGGACAACAACATAACCCGTGTGCTTAGCACGAGTTTTATTAACGTTCTCGATAGCGTAAAAGCTTCGTCAAACAGAAAGATTTTTTTTTTATTGCTTAGATAAGTGGACGAGCTAACAGCCCACCTGGTGTTAAGTGTTTACTGGAACTCATAGACATTTACAACTTAAATGCGCCACCCACGTTGAGATATAAATTCTAAGCTCTCAGTATAGTTACAACGGCTGCCCCACCCTTCAAACCGAAACGCATTACTGCTTCGCGGTAGAAATAGGCAGGGTGGCGGTATCTACCCGCGCGGACTTACAAGAAGTCCTACCACCAGTTATCTCCATACTAACTGTGATGAGCACTTTTGCGCTGACTGCCTCATATCGTCTTCTCGCATTAAAACTGTACAATCTCAAAACTTACAAACAGGAGAATGTTTTAAAGGTTTAACATGTGATATTTTTAATATTAATCATCTTTGCAACATTTATTATTCATTTTTTTCCCGGTTACATTATCTGTATTTTAAAGTAAGATAAAATTATGTATTAATTTTGTTAATAGTAGTCAAAACATAGGAAAAGTAAAAAAAAAAAAAACTAAAACTAAACTACGCTCTTTTGACAGTATTTATGAGAAAAATACTGGCGATACCAAATGTTAACGCCATATTAAGCCCAATTTCGAATGTTTTTAGAAATTGTGCACTTTTAATGCGAAAAGACGATATGTCGTGTGGTCCATAGACGATCTGCAAACTGTATCCCGGCTGCTGAAGACGCTGGAGCAGGCGGCCGAGCGACACGAGGTGGCCGACTGGGAGAGCGGCGGGCTCGCGCTGTCCCACTACATACACGTCTGCGACGAGGTGAATTTTTTTTTTCCTACCTAAGCTGATAGCCTTTAGAGCAGGGGTGGGCAAAAGCCGGCCCGCGGGCCGGATCCGGCCCGTTGAAAAATTCCGCACATAAATTTTTTTAAACTCTTTTATGAGATTTTGTTGACATCAGCATTAAAAAAGCATATGCGGTATAGTCCTCCGGCCCGGGAGACATTTTGAAAATTTCATTTTGGCCCGCGCTTTAAAGTATTTGCCCACCCCTGCTTTAGAGGCTATTTCAGTGTAAATAGTAGGTGAGTTTACGGGGCTCAAATCTGACGAAGTTGCTAACACGAACCCTAGCAAGAGCAGTACTTCGCAGAATCTACCACCGGATCGGAAACGCGACCCACTGAGAAGATCCGGCGAGAAACTCAGTGGGCTGTGTCTGAGGGTTAGTTTACTCGTCGAGCCCTTCGTCAAAAGCGACGGGTTCGATGAGAACTCTGACCGGTGCTTGAGGTACCTAAAAGCACCGTTAATGGATCGGGAGGATCCGTAATGACATGACTTCCAATAATAACTCGCTGCTTACAGTTGGACACTTTTTCAAGTTGTCCCCTATACAATAAGGTGCTTCTTACTTCTACCCTCCATGTATGTATAAGGAAATACGTGCTTAACGTCAGGTGCGCTGTCAGCTCGCCTGCCGTCTTCAGCGACAAGGAAAACAATTTCCCTCCTCATTATTGAGAAATAGGAGTAAAATTCTGTATAATAACAGCGTGAATGTCAATTGAATTGCATTTTACAGATAATGGCGATACAGAATGAAGGCGATCAGTGGGGGCGGCTGGAGGCGCTTCGCCCCCGCCTGGCCGCCGCCTGTAGGGCGCTGCCCCCTCCACAACACATGTAAGTATCAGGCACATAGTCGCTCAATAACGAATAAGAAGGAAATTGAGATTATCATATTGGAGTGGAAGTCTATGTGTGTACACAAATAATGGTTTAGCAGATTTGAATGTAGTTCAAGGTGGGTGGCCATTCCTTGTTGATGTCTATGGGCTACGGTAACCACCCGGTGGTACCTACCCGTGCGGACTCACAAGAGGTCCTACCACCTAGTTATTACGCAAATTAAAATTTTGCAGGTTTGATTTTTATTACACGATGTTATTGCTTCATCGTGGTAGTAGTCAATTGTGAATATTTGTTGAGTACGTATTTCATTACAAAAATTGTTATCCGCCTGAGATTCGAACACCGGTGCATCGCTCAACACGAATGCACCGGACGTCTTATCCGTTCGGCCACGACGACTTCAAAAAATGTCACAAATAGTCACTTGTAGGCTATCGGGCGTTTTCCCAGCAATATGATCGAAGTACTCGAGTGCGTGGCGTAGGCAGAATGTAGACAGTCTTTGTCGTGTCTTGTCGTGTCGTGTCGTGTCGTGTCGTGTCGTGTCGTGCCGTGAACATTGCGGCGTCCTAAAGGCCGTCGTTGTCGGGTGCAGGTCGCCGCGTGTGGCCGCGGCCCGAGCGCAGATGGGGGGTCGCTTGCTGCGGCTGACGCTGTCCGCCAACCTGTCCGCCGACAAGCTGGCGTCGCTGGTGGCCGCCCTGAAGCTGCCCCCGGACTGCTCCGCCTGCGCCAGTCACAAGGTTCGTACCAAATAGTAGGAGCAAGAGAGATTGTAGCTAGTAGAATCGGATATAAAAGTTCTGAACATAATCGTAATATCTAAATTTAATCTATTCTAATTAAAAAAATATGTACATAATTTAAAATATAATTTTTTCATGATATTTAACTGAACTGAATATATTATGAAAACAAAATAAAAAACAAATTTCTAATTTGTTTCAATTTAATAAAAAACAAATTTCTAATTTGTTTTTTTTTTAATGTGAGGACCAAAGATCGCTGTATGAAAAGAAAAAAATAGAGGTGAGAAAGAGATGCTTCAGTGCATCCCGGGATGAGTTTTAAATCAATCATTCATAAAACATTTTAGAACAGAATACTTAAGTTAATTACTACCAAAACTACTTAGTTAACTCATATATTATTATAGATTTATTTCAACTGTCAACCCCAATGGACCAATACTGCAGAATCAAAAAAAAATTTTCCTCCATTGTATTTAGAGTTCAAATAAATTAAATTTAACCCATTAAGCGCGAACCGTCGATAGATCGACCTTGTATTGATGCGTATAAAGTGCAAAGCGTCGAAATGCCGAGGCAGTTAGATTTTTAGAAGTGACCATTTAAAATTAAATTTGCTGTGAAATTTAGCATTGATTTTTGTATGTTTCTTTAAGTTTAAATTTTTTTATAAAGCCTTTTTTTTACAAAAATCTAGAATTTTCTACAATATAGTACATATGTGAAAATCAGCTCAGCACTAAAAGGGTTAAATAAAAAATAATTTCTACTTTTTACAGATAACAACAGAACTCGCCGAACGCAGATTAGAAGGGAATTATACGGCCCTGCTAGCACCTTAACTTACAAAAATAGCTTGAAGATAAATTAATGTTAATTTTTTGATAATTAGGAAATTTAATAAATGTAAAGTCCAACTAAAAGTTATTGCTAGAGCGAAAAGCGGGTTCTTGAATTGGCAACACTGCGATCCTTGTGCGGTGTTGCAGTATTATGATATTGTTTTGTATTCTGGTAATATTTTTGGTTGTTCTAATAGTTTGTGATCTGTTTTGTCTATGTAATTAATTGTTTAAGTATTATGTAATTGAATTGTTATTTTTTTATGAAAAAATAATAATAATTGAGTATTTCAAATTAAATCGTGCTTACTCACGTGTTGTAGAGATAGGGTTTCATCAAGTGATCACGAATGCTCACAGTACTAGCCTCTAATCGAGCGTTCCCCTTATTGTTTCCTAGTTAGACGAAGTTGAAAATAATTAATTATATAAATAAATAAAAGTAGGTAAGATCATATTAAGATTTTCCATTAAGGCTAATTATTAAACTTTAGTAAAATTTTAACGAAATAATTCAAAAAAAATAGTGAGTTTAAAAATCATTAAATTTGTGTTTTCTCGGTAATTATTATTGGCGTTAAGATAAAGTTAGTTAGATTTGTGTTATGTATTATCGCCTCACCTACTACATACAGTAAATATGAATAAGTGTTTAGGGTAGGTTATTGTTAAGTGAATTCGCATAGCAATAGTTAACTGACAGGAGATTGCATCAATTTTCTTTATGAAATTTAAGCCTTTGAGCGCGAACCGTCGATCGATCGACTCTCTGTTAATGTGTAAAGTGCGGAGCGTCGGAATATCGACTATTGCGTTTTTAATAAGTTTGAATATCTGTTTCAAATTTTCTTTGAATCTAGCATTGATTTTTAAGTTAAAGTTTTTTATAACTATAGGCAGCGGCTTGGCTCGGCCCCTGGCATTGCTGAAGTATATGGGCGACGGTAACCACTCACCATCAGGTGGGCCGTATGCGCGTCTGCCTAGAAGCGCAATAGGAAAAAAAAGGCCAGATGATTATCTTAATAGTATATTTCGTGTCTGAACTATTTCGCGTCTGAACTATTTCGCGTCTGAACTATTTCGCGGAAGAGCTGTAGTCGTGGAGTCTGAGAACTTTGAATTATACAATTTTATCTCTCGCCTTAATAATTCTCGTTGCATTGTTTGATTGAGGCGTTTGTATGTACGACAACATTTGAATACTGCGCTTACATTTACAATGCATTTTAACTTTTAATCACTCGGGAAAATTTTGAAACTTTTTTTTTATATATATAAAACACAGTAGTTGGAACTTTAGTCATTTGTTACCAAGAAAACTGTAATTTATACGTCTAAATCAATAAGATAATAGCAAAACAAATTAGATTAGTTTTGTAAAAGTAGTATTAAATTATATTTTTTTTTAAGCTATTGCATTGCTTTTATCTCGGGCTTTGAGTTAGGCGACCGATTCAAGGAATTTCGTAACGAAAATAAAACCTAACACCCGACTCCGCCTACCATGTAGCTCGCGTTCAACACGTTGCGCTTGTGTAGTATTTGTGAATAAGCGCATCATGAAAAGTCTGCCCATCTCTCTCTCTCGCGCGGTCTAGCTTATGAGTGTGAAGGAAACAGTTAATGTTTTGCTTTTGTTAATGTTTATAAATATAGCGCGGTCTTATTTTATTATTGTCTAATTATAATTGCGTAAGTTGATAAAAAATGCTATGCAATAGCTTTACCGCGGCACTCCCCGAGTACCACACGTGTTTGTCATTGCAAACTGTACTTCATTGATGTAGTAAGTAGCTCTTTTCGCATTGGTTACTTTTAAAGTTATCTAAAGTTGTACAAAATTGGTTTTAGTGTTTTAACGTTCCAACTCTTAAAGTTCCATCGTTGTAAGCTTAAATAGATATAAGTAATGTGTCTGTTGAATCAATTTTTTTTTTGTGATAAGAGAATTAAAGGTTATTCGCTAATGTGTCGTTTGTGATTATTTTTAATGATTTATTGCCTTTGTGGGTAGAGAAGCTGACGGCTTATCTGATGGTGAGTGGTTGCCGCTGCTCAGGGGCGATGCCAGGGATATAGAAAACGGTAAGTAGAAGGATATTGCATGGGTCATACCAGAATCAGAGGGTATGTGATATAAAAGATCTCTGGAAGCCCCGCCTATTTCTACCGTGATGCAGTAATGCGTTTCGCTTTGAAGGGTGGGGCAGCCGTTGTAATTAGACTTGAGACCTTAGACCTTATATCTCAAGGTGTGTAGCGCATTTACATTGTAGATGTCTATGGGCTCCAGTAACCACTTAACACCAGGGGGGTTGTGAGCTTGTCCACACACCTAAGCAAAAAAATAAAAGAAGCGCACCGTTGATAAATGTAGTCAGTTCTAAGTAGTTTGGAGGGATTCCTGAGGTATGAGGTGTGGTGGTAAAGAGATCGAGATGACCGGATCTTAGTGTTGTCTTTTACTGGTGGTGGTAGGACGTCTTGTGAGTCAGCTTGGGTGGGTACCACTGTTATTTCTGCCGTGAAGTAGTAGGTAATGCGTTTCGGTTTGTAGGGAGGGGCAGCCGTTCTACTGTGAAAATTGTGACTTAGAACTCGTGTCTCAAGCTGAGTGGCGAGTGGCGACATTATCGTGGATAATGTCTATATGGACTTCTGTGAATACTTGACCGAATTAACAATTGTTGTTAACAAATATAGCAATTTGGTAGGTAACGACAACAAGGAAGATCTTCTACCGAGCTGGTGAAATTGCTCGGTGGACCGACGGTCCGAATTTATCTTTAGTTTCACCAGGACAGGTGGGCGAGCAAAGGCTTAGCCAGGAGGGGTCCAAATGTTGTTTAACTTTTAGTTTTTTTTTTCCTACCTTAGCTGATAAGCCTTGAGAGGCTATATCAGCGTAACCTTAACTAGTAGGTGAGCTCAAGGGGCTCAAACCTGATGACGCTGCTAACACGAGCCCTAGCAAGAGCCGTGCTTCGCAGAGTCTACCACCGGATCGGAAACGCGACCCACTGAGAAGATGCGGCGGGAAACTCAGTGGGCTGTGTCTGAGGGTTAACTTTTAGTTTATTGTTGTTTCTATATATGCAAGCTTATCTTGAAAATTTCTTTAGCGAGATTCAGGCATCTGTCAAATACTATGATGGCTACCCGCTACAACAGCTTGTCCTTAAAGCGCAATTTCTCCGCGGCAGAAATGAGTACCTTTGTATCAATAATAAAAGATTTAAACCATCAGAATATTGTTTTAAATACATTTCAATCTAAATAAAAATCAAATATTGTATTTTTTGTAATCATTTTATTCTTTGTATTAAACATAGTAATACTTTTAACATCATAAATACTTATGCAATGATTAAATTATAAGTTACGGGAGACATCAGATAGGGGAGTCGTGTTTATATTAATAGGGAAATTTATACATTTTGGCTACTTTTTATAAGTTACAACTAACAGTACCTATTTTTAGGGTTATTTGGGATGCTCATGAAAGTATCCTCGATTGAGTCAAGCTTGAAGCCTTTCGAGTTAGTTTCAGAAGAATACAATTGCTATTCTAACTCTAACACAAGAGGCATCGAATAAAAATTCACAGAGCTATGAAGAAACAGACATAGACACACTACAAAAATCTTAAACACACTACATCAATTTACGTTTTCTCCCCCTCTTCACGACTTTATCGCTCGCTTTCCTGAAATGCGTCGGAGTGTTAGCTTTTTCCAGAGCTTTCGTGAACGCATTCTCGACATTCGATATAACCTTTGGCTTGTAATACTTGCTTTTCAACGGCTGCATGATGTCATCGACTTTCTTGTCGCCCAACAAGTGAGCCAATGGATTGACCGTCACTAACTTGGTACCGTCCGGTAGCTTAATCAGATCCTGACGTGTTGGCTTTTCGACTGGCTTCTTCGGTGGCTCCGGCATAACATCGTTGAGAACGTCATTAACTTTGACGATCCTGTAATAAGGTGCTTCGGGTAATAGATGAGCTATTGATATATTATGATTTGCGGGTAGTTTTGGTATGACTATCTTATGTGGAACATGAATTGTGTGTTTACGTTCATCGTGATTTTCAACTTCTTCCTCCTGAGCGACTTCCGGTATGCATTCTTTGCTCTCCTCATAATATGTGGAATCAAATTCCGTGTAGTTGTGATCATCGGTCCCTTCAATTTTCTCATTGCACTCCAGGCCGGAGAAAACTGAGGGTTTTAATAGACTCTGCACTAACTGCACCTTGACTTTAACTTTCTCGCTTAAGTCTGGTTTAAATTTAACGGGCATGGCCAGTTTAACTTCCGCATTGAGGGGTTCGGGTGTGAATTTTTTCATGGTGATGAAAGGCTCCCTGTAAAACGGACTCGTGACTGGTTTTATTGATATATTACTTTCAATGACAATAGTCTTTTTAGAATCTTCCGGAGAGAAGTTCTCTAAGAACTTCTGCACGGAGGTACCGTCTTTGACGACTGTTATCTTTGCTGGTGTACATGTGGTGTCAGTTTTAACTCTCTTTATGGTCTGTTCAAATTTTTGTGACATCGTCAGCTCATGAGTGGATGTTCTCCCTTGTTTCCTCTTCTCAAGCAACATCTTCAGTGTGTCGATGAGCTGCGATGTGGAATGCTCTTTCTCGACATGTTCTTTAAGCTTTGAAACACTGTTGAATATTTGAGCGCATTTAATGCATGTTTGCAACTCATTCTTACTGTGTAAAGCCATGTGACGTTTGTAGTTTTGTTTGGTATAACAGTATTTATTGCATTTCGTACAAGTTACTTTCCTACGGTTGTCCTTTTTGTCTTTATAGTTCGAGAAAAGCTTTTCTGGAAATGCTTTTGGCGTTGGTTTGCTGTTTGTTAGCTCCACAAGCGGGATATCATCTTCGTCAGTTGAATCTTGTATTACGTATTCCTTTTCTACGGTTTTCTTTCGTCTTCCTCCCGTTTTTCTTCTGCGCTTCTGCTTTTTAGGTTGGGTCTCCTTCATTTTTTTCTCTAATTCTGTCATATAGCACTCTGTTTCCGTTGCTGAGAGTACATTTAGAATTGATTTGTAATCAGATGCATCGGACTTCTGATTCGGAAGGCTATATACTTCACTGTACATGTTACACATTCTCTTATCTTCTTCTGATAAAACACAGGTGGGAGTGAAGGGGTTCTCAGATTTTTTATCGGCAAAATATACATGGTAATTCTTGTCGAACTCAATAAAGCCGACACTATTGTGGTCCAGTTTAATGTGTATTGTGAATTTTTTACGTATCTTAAACTTTTTGTTGCATATTTTACACGTGTAAGGCTCTAAGTCCTTGTGTTTCATATAAAAATGCGAGAATAGCTTCTGTGGATGTTTGAATACCGTTTTGCAATCCACACACTCGTACTTATACAAATGTAGCTCCGTACGGTGGACACGAGTCATGTGTTTCATGAGTGCAACCTTTCCAACGCACTGTCTATAACAAAACTTGCAGGTTTTCACTTCTATAGACAGAGGATGCCTAGAAATTTGATGTTCAGTCAGATCGTTGACGGAATGAAATATAATATTACACATAGTACATTTTACAGGTTTACATTGCCTAATGTGGTTCTTGTAATACATCGAGCCGATCAACTGATAGCATTCCTTGCATTGTATCGTTTTGTCAGTCTGTACATGATTACATGACGAACTCATGACCAAATGCGAAAATAGGCCTCTGCGTAGCTTGTATACGTTGCCACAGCTATCGCACGCGAGCGACCGACAGTTTTTCTCTTGTAAATGTTGTATGTAAAGATCCAAATCGTTGGTTTTGTAGTCACATACGGTGCAAGAGTAATCCGAGTCATCGGCTTTGACTTTGGTGAACGTCGACATTTTCATGTTCAGTACAGACGATAGGAACGGGTACAGGTTATGCAGGAATACGCCTTCATCGACGTGTTTATGGTTTTCCACCTCGTGCCGTTCTAATTCCATTTCGTTGATGTACAGCGCTGAGCATTGCGAGCACGCGTTGTATTCAGATTTGGCGGTATAATGCTTTCGCGTATGCTGTTTGTATTTGTTGAAATCGATAAACACACGCGAACAAAGCTGGCAAAACTTCGAGGCGGCGAGATGCGAGTCGCGTATGTGGTAAGCGTATTCCTCGACGTCGGCGTATTTGCATTCGCAGAAGTCGCACGTCTTCCGCCGCTCCGTGTCGGTCGATACCGTGCTGTGAACTTTTAGGTGTTGTTTCAGATCTCCGGGATCGAGAAACTCCGCGTTGCATATTGAACATATTACATCGACTTCAGCATCGTACTGTAGATCATTGTCGATGTTCAAGACGGTCTCGAAATTTGCATCACCTCCCATGGTTGTACAAAGGTTAAATTAATATAATAAAATACTTATATTTGCAGTTCCTCATTGCCTTTCGGCGTGTTTTCAAGTTTTACTAGTCAGTGATTACACAAATTGTTTTTTTATGATTAGCCAGCCTTAACTGTCACTGTCAAATTGATTGTCAAGCCGTGATAATAATAGGATTTTCCAATAAGAAAGGCGAAAGTATCAGACCATACAGTCTAATCTGTTATAATTCAGTTTCATAAAATAATGTAGAGTGAAAAATTATATTGATGAAATGGAATGAAGTTGATCTATTTGAGACTCTAATTGATTAGGATGAAATTATATCTCAGTGAAATGATGGTTATTTACTGAGAGTTCGATTGCCTTTTTGGGAGAATCCGAACGTAGCTTATGTTCAACGTCTTTTTTGTTTCGTTTTTCCACTTTCACAGATGCGAAATGGTTATTGTATTGTATTAACAGTGTGTACAATAAAGAATGGTAAATATGTGAACCACCGTTATTATACTTTTAAGCTGGAAGAAGTACTAGGTTAGTAAATAAAATAATTCACACAATTTCTATAATTGCTGTTACCGCCAAAACGGTTTTCAAATTTAGGATGATAAGTGAATCTATTCAATTATTATTATCGATAAAATTATCATCGAATCAGGAATCAATAGCTGCATGATTGAGCTATATGGCCAGAATATACTACACAGTTCTAGACCATTTAAATTTTACATCCTAGCAGTCATTGAGTAGAGTGGAAATATTAGAGCCAATTTATTTTAGCCATGTTTGCCGTGTGTAATCATTACTCCAGCGCCCTCTAGTAGGCGCGTGGTTAAAATTGAATAGTTAGTAAAATTATGGAGTGCAGGGATAAGGAGCACCATCTTGTTGAAAGAACAAATCCAAAAAGTATCCATCTGTAAACAGCGAGTTATTGTTGGAAGACTCACCGAAATAGCACTAACGTAGAAAGTGAGAATGATATGAATATAGCAGTTTTAATCGGAGTGAAATGTGCCGTGTTGAAGTGAAGTGTGGTAATTTATAGCGCTGTTTTTTAAATCTCACCACTTGCTACACTGGCGCCATCTTAATTTTTCCCTTTCAGCGGACACTTTTAATACTGGGTGTTAGGTTAGACAGCTTCCGAAAACGAAGACACATGATAGTACTCATGACACCTTTGATGATGGGATGGAATAAAATCGATCCTGATTTTTAAAAAAAAGATGTGTGGTAACGTGGGTCACCGGATAGGAACGAAGTTCCTTGTTATAAAAATATTAATTTTAAGTTCTATTCCAGGTATAAAGAAAATAACTACTCGGGTATACATTTTTTATCATGCCTTTTTTATGATAAAAATAAAAAAAACTACTTTACAAAGTTATCAAATTTATTTTATTCACAATGATTTATAAAAAATATATTATTATAATAAAAATATGTTATTTTTGTACGTTATTACGAAGTTAAATCGTACACTGTGTGTATTACTAATAAAAGTCTTACGTTACGGACGTTTTCCCCCGGTTAGGGTACCCCTCCGCATTGTCCCATAAGGAACTTCGTTCCAAAAATAATAGTTTTAAAACGTTTTATTAGCATTATTTACGCTCCATCATGATAGTACAGCTAAATGAAACGGCAGTTACTCAGATAGCACTCCTTACTTTTACTCTACATAGTACAAATGTAACATGTGTTGACAATGCCAATGACAGCGCCTCCTAACCCCGCTACGTCCAAAACAGCAGCTTTATCTTATCAGATAATTTGATAATTAAATACCAAAGGTCGAGCTGTTTTGAAAACCCTATGTAGATCTTGATACTGTATGCGCTTTATCTTCTCCTTTTCTTCTTTGTGGTGGAACGAAGGTCGTTGTGGGGCCTCCAGGAGAGGTGAGCGAACGTGAGCTCGGCCAGGAGGGGTGGGTTTTGCTAACAGCTGCCCTAGCGCCTCCGAAGGAGACCTAACAACTCAAGGGTAGCTACCTCGCGAATGGATCCACTACCGGATCGGAATCGCGACGCGTTGAAAAGATCCGACGCAAGACTCAGCTGGCCTATGTATGGGTTAAGTTGAATTATGGGTACGGTTGCCAGGGTATGCCTGTAAGAGTCGCAGACGTCCAATAACCATGTGAGTGTCACGGTCGAATTCGTGAGGATGCGCCCAGTTGCGCGCAATGTATCGACAACTGAAAATTTTCATTTACATTGCGTGTTTGTTGTAAATAAACGTTTTGATCCTAGAATATAGTTTTTCGTTTTGTTTTTCTATCCGAAATATACATATTTATATTCACTTGAATAACAATACATACTTAAGTTTTTTACGAGGATTCTTATCGATACTACGATATGAAGCGAATTATTGTTACGGTGAAAATATTTTGTGGTAAGTGAAAGGTGTAAAAAACATTTCGTGGAATAAAAGCTGTTTGGTTTAGGCGACACTTTTGCAACTTAACAGGAGAGCGATTTAAAGCTTAAAATTTGCAAAAAAATATCGTAACAAAAAAGGTTTTTCAGCTATTTGAATCTAGTAACTTTCATTGAAGTTCAATTAAAAACATCGAACTGTTGATGCTGATACCAAATGGATCATTAGTTACAAATATATATGTCGGGTATTAAGCGAAATGTTGCTTGAACCGAATACGCCTTTCACACCTCGATATTATGGATGAGAGAAGTCAAGGATCAGTGGCGAGCCATCAGAGAGATCTGTATCCAGCAGTGAACTAGGCTGATAATGATAATAATGTTTTAGTATTGCTAGCGGTGGATTCGAGGAAGTACGACATAGAATCCGAATCCATTAGGCTCTACGGGGAAAACCTTCAGTCGGTTTTGATTAGATTCAGGAAGTCGCCTGAATATCTGAAGATTTTAAATGAAAAGGTATTTAATGTTAATTTATGTAAACGCGTCGAAGATATATATATATATATATATATTTATTGCTTAGATGGGTGGACGAGCTCACAGCCCACCTGGTTGTTGAGTGGTTACTGGAGCCCATAGACATCTACAGCGTAAATGCGCCATCTACCTTGAGATATGAGTTCTAAGGTCTCAGTACAGTTACAACGGCTGCCCCGCCGTTCAAACCGAAACGCATTACTGCTTCACGGCAGAAATAGACAGGGTGGTGGTACCTACCCAGACTCACAAGACGTCCTACCCTTACCCATAAAAATGTGGACATAGTCGATTTCCTCACCGAGCGAAAGAACGCGGTTTTGACTGCCACACCACATGATAGTCGCACATGGGGCCTTTTAAGCCGCATAACGCAGTCAGCGTGTTAAGGACAGCGGTCTGTCCACCCACCAGACTTCGCTTAATTATTAGAAGACCCGATAAACCCGGATAAACTCGATGCTTAATGTTGAAGCGTATAAATAAACTCAACGTGTGTGTTGTTACTTAAGCTATGCGCCGTATTGAAATGTTAATGTATTTTTGAAATAACAATACGAGAATTAATAAAAGAAACTAGAGGTCCCGCAGTAGTCGAAATTCGACTATAAGTAATTAATTGGAATTGTAAGTTTGTACACTATTATGATTGTATTTTATACTTCTATACTCACAAATTTCGGCAAGACTATACTATAAAAATATTAACAAAGACAAACAATATTTAATTTATTCTCAAGTTGACAACATATGTCAAGAACAAAAGTTTGACAATAAATAGTATGCATGCGTGTGTGCGTCAAATATATGGTATGTAGTGTGTGTAATGTTTTCTTTATTGATTTAATGTATGTTATATGCATTATTTTAAAAAAATATTAGCATTGTGCACTTCTTCTCTATATTCTCTATAAGTGTGGAAAATTTCATACTCCCCCGTCCACGCAATTTTCGTAAAAAGGGATACAAAGTTTTTGCTTCACGTATTAATATATAGATTAACTTAAAATTCACAGGTGAAACAATTGTACGAGTATTACAATTTAGCTCTGGCGCAAACTTGGACGTATCACGACGAAAAAATGCGTCAGGAAATAGGAAAGATGTTTAAGTTAGGTCCTAAAGTAGATTCGACGAGGCGACTCTTCAGCGAGTAAGCATTTTATCATATTGAGTACCTAACTACGCTCGTGGCTTCGTTCACAACAAAATGGGAGGGATAAGATAAGGTATATCATAGTTGAGCGTTTAACTGCAAAGACTTTTTATTTTTATTTTTTTTATTGCATTGATAGGTGGGCGAACTCACATCCCACCTGGTGTTAAGTGGTTATCGGAGCCCATAGACGTCTACAACGTAAATGCCGCCACCCACCTTGAGATATGTTCTAATGTCTCAGTATAGCTACAACGGCTGCCCCACCTTTCAAACCGAAACGCATTACTGCTCCATGGCAGGGAAATAGGCATGGTGGCGGTACCTACCCGTGCGGACTCACTGGAAGTCCTACCACCAGTAATAAATTGGATTTGGAAAGTAAAGATATAGTTCATAGAATCGATAAGCTGGATTAGCGACGATCCCTGGGGCAGACGGGTTTTTAAACGAGGCGCCTTTTGGCTAGCTGGGGCAACTATTTACAAAGGGTGGCCGAATGTAAATGCGCAAGGAGAACCGAAGACCAGACTCCAATTCGTAGGGGTTTATCCCATACCCTTGCATCAGCCCGCTGAGTTTCCCGCTGAATCTACTCAGGGGGTCGCGATTCCAATTCGGTAGAAGAGTCATTCGCGAAGCAGCTGCACTTGAATTGTTAGGTCTCCTTTGGAGGCGCTCGGGTGGCTGTTAGCAAATCCCACCCCTCCTGGCTGAACCTTTGCTCGCCCACCTGTCCTGATGAAAGTGGAAAGGCACCCGGGCCACCAGTAATCCTTCATTCATAAAAAAAGTAGAGGTTTATATTCTAGCAGCGGACAACCATGGACTGATGATGTTTATATTGATTCTATTCTAGTGTACAAACATTTGATTTGGAACAGCTCTCGGATCCCTCTGAGATTTCGTCGGAAAACCTCACCGTCTATACGGATCTGCCGTTGAGCTTATCAGAACGAAACAACTTGAAGGAAATTGGCTTCGAGAATGTTGGGTGCGTTCATTTTTTATGAAATCGTTATGTTGCTGCATCGTACCTTGTTATTACTTCCTTAGAATTTGCTGTCACTCGACGGAACGTTTTTTTTATTGCTGGACGAGCTCACAGCCCATCTGGTTTTAAGTGGTTACTGGAGCCCATAGACATCTACAACGTAAATGCGCCACCCACCTTGAGATATAAGTTTTAAGGTCTCACTATAGTTACAACGGCTTCCCCACCCCTCAAACCGAAACGCAATACTGCTTCACGGCAGAAATAAGCAGGGTGGTGGTACCTACCTTGGTGGTAGCAACTGTTGGAGTGTGAATATGGCAGTTGTGACGGACTGAAATGTGCCGAGTTCATCTATACTTCTATACTTATATTATAAAGAAGAAAGATTTATTTGTTTGTTTGTATTGAATAGGCTCCGAAACTACTGAACCGATTTGAAAAATTCTTTCACTATTTGGAATCTACACTATTCCCGAGTGACATGGGCTATATTCTTTTTTTTTTTTTTTAATTAGGGATCCTTACTAAAACTCCAATAATGTAACCCAAGGTGTAAAAAAAATATCTAAAATATTCTTTACATCGCGTGCCCTGCGAAAACTATTGATGATAGAATAAAATAATGTACTACAACGTTGTAGAACACATTATTAATTACAAAAATTGTCGGGACAGCATATGTCTAACTATTTTAGTTATGCCGCAATAAGTGTTCTTTTATTTAGAAAATAAAACAACGTCAAATATTGTTGAAATTTTTGTTAAGGACCCGAGCGGAGCCGGAGCAGGCCGCTAGTAATTTAATAAAATATCTATTTTCGCTAACTTCTTCGTCTTAACATTTGAGATCCGGAGTATGAACGCCTGAACATGAATAGAGATGTGAATTTTTTTTTTTATTGTATCGATGGGTGGCCGAGCTCACAGCCCACCTTTTGTTAAGTGGAGCCCATAGACATCTACAACGTAAATGCGCCACCCACCTTGAGATATAAGTTGTAAGGTCTCAGTATAGTTACAACGGCTACCCCACCCTTCGAACCGAAACGCATTACTGCTTCACGGCAGAAATAGACAGGGCGGTGGTACCTACCCGTGCGGACTCACAACAGGTCCTACCACCAGTAATTGGTACGAGTATCCTGGACGTATATTACGTTTATTAAAAGCATAAAAAAATGGTGATCTATTTTCTGTTTTAGCCGTATAATACATGACGTGATCAAGAGTTTTAATCAAAACGGAACGTTCGTCAGATCTACTTTACTTCCCGGTGGTGGTAATATTGATAATAAAACACTTACATCGACTACAGAGCATCCGGAAGTTCATAAGGTATTTATTTACCTTAATTTAAATATCTATATCTATCTAATATAAGCCTCAATCGATAAATAAAAGACCTAAGCTTTTGTATAAAATAAACTTAAAACAAACAAAAGGAATCCGTCCGACGGGGGACACATCAAAGGAAAAACAAAATTGTTATTTTTATTTAATTCCGAGCATTTTTATATTTATCTACCTTTTGAACCTTCTCTGGACTTCCACAAATAATTCAAGACCAAAATTAGCCAAATAGGTCCAGCCGTTCTCGAGTTTTAGCGAGACTAACGAACAGCAATTCATTTTTATATATATAGATATATCGGCTATTTCTGTCTCGAAGCAAACATAAGGTACACGAGCGAGGAATAGTCTTTTTAAATAAGAATTGATACTTTCAAGTATTTTCTTTCGACTTCTTTTATTTTATGTCCTATACCACACTACTATAGACACAGTCCTCTGCAGCTCTGTACTGATTCCGAGCTCTTCTCGTGCACAAACAGACACAGATCCGACCTACGTCTAGCCGAGGGTCCTATACCACACTACTATAGACACAGTCCTCTGCAGCTCTGTACTGATCCCGAGCTGTTTTCGTACACAAACAGACACAGATCCGACCTACGTCTAGCCGAGGGTCCTATACCACACTACTATAGACACAGTCCTCTGCAGCTCTGTACTGATCCCGAGCTGTTCTCGTACACAAACAGACACAGATCCGACCTACATCTAGCCGAGGGTCCTATACCACACTACTATAGACACGGTCCTCTGCAGCTCTGTACTGATCTCGAGCTCTTCTCGTACAGGTCACCTCTACCGACGTGGATGTTACAACAATTACGAATGAAGGACCATCGAGCACCCACAGCACAAACTTCAAGTACAGGGCACACAAACCCGAAACATCAATGAATGATTTAAATTAAATTTTAAAACTAAAATGTTCGTTTCATTGCGTAAATCACAACTGTTCAAATTGATTTAATTTATAAAGGGAATCGTGAGTGACCTTCATCGAAAGAAATCTAAAAACCTGTGTCCTACCACAGAGGGCAGACAGCAACTTGGTTATGCCTCTAGTATTGACGAACTTCAAGAGTGACATTACCTTACTGAGGCAACAAGTAAACAATGAAATAATTATGTGGTGTCAGTGGAATTCTTCGATTGAAACACATTTAATCTTCCCAGTGATAAAGATGGAACGTATTCGCAATACGCTCTGCCATCCATAAAATTAGAGGCTGGGAGAATTCGCGAAGGGGAAGCAGCAGCTAAGTGTGGTATCGTGATGAATGATCGAGCAGACTATTCTAATATGATCCTCGTTAAAACTGAGCTTTGTTTGAGGGGTAGCCTTAAAGACTTCAACACAAGACAATGTTGCAGGAGGAACTGCTCTGAGCTAAGTAGTGGAAATAATTTTTAATAAAATTATTATTGTAAAGTGTGTTTGACCTAATTGACAAGACGGTCTGTTACGATACTTCTATTTCCTAGTTCTGGTTCCATTATCAACATACCCGGATAGCATCAGCGCTCATGATCCTTTATAAGAGACTAATTCCTTCCTTTCAGATCCGGTCATCGTTCTCGTCGAAACCGTCGCTTGCGACGAAGGGCTCGGCGAGAAAATTAACCCAGATTAACACAGCCTACCGAGTTTCTCGCCGGATCTTCTCAGTGGGTCGCATTTCCGATCCGGCGGTAGATTCTGCGAAGCACGGCTCTTGCTAGGGTCAGTGTTAGCAACGTCGTCGAGTTTAATCCCCGTGAGCTACTTGTTAAGGTTACGCTGAAATGGTCTGTCATGACTTAGCCTTTTAGACTTTTTTTTCTCAGCTTAGGTAGAAAAAGAAAAAAAAACTTCCCGATCAGTCCTATTTCTGATTCCGCGCGTCACAGTTGACGGCTAGTTTTTATTGAAGTATTTTTTTAACTCGCTTTTGTTATCTCCATACGTATGTTAGTGTGGAACTAGCCATCACAGAACACAAGATATTCGACAGATGCCTAAATCTGGCTTACGACATTTTCAAGATAAGCTTGCATATATACAGGTTCTGAACAACAACATTCGGACCATCGGTCTACCGAGCAATTTCACTCTCTCGGTGGAAGATCTTCCTTTTTTATTGCTTTTGTAGGCAGACGAGCATACGGCCCACCTGATGGTGAGTGGTTACCGTCGCCCATGGACTTCAGCAATGCGAGAGCAGAGCCAAGCCGCTGCCTACCGTTAAGTAACCTCCATAAGCCTCATTTGAAGAAGGACATGTCATAGCGCTCAGAAAACACCGTGGAGGGGAGCTCATTCCAAAGCCGGATGGTACGTGGCAAAAAAAATCTCTGGAAACGCACTGTGGATGAACGCAGTGGCTTCAGGTAGTATGGACGAATTCTAGTCCGGTAGCGGGAGGTGTCGTGGTAAAAACGTGATGATGGAATCATCTCAAATAATTCCTCAGAGCACTCCTCATGGAACATATGTTACCAAATATAGAGAGAAGAGAAGTCCCTCCGCAGACCCAGAGGTTCGAAACGGTCCCTGAGACGATTATCGACAATCCGAACAGCCCTCACGACCTTAATTCCCCTCCCCCAAACTCCCAAATTAGTATGCATGTACATATGAACGGAAAATTTGAACATGATTTTGACACAATTCAAAATGTCGCGTTCATTATAAATGATCATCTCTCAATTTTAATACGCTTTTATTAGCTTCAGACGTATGTATGTTTGTAACGGTATCTTTGAACGTGATTTTGGCCCCCTTCAAAACGTCGGATTAACTCGAAATTTGGTTTATAAAGGACAGAGGAAATTTAATATTAAAAAAAATTGAAAAAAAATATTGAAAAAATTGAAATTCAACTAATTTAGTTCAAATTTATTAAAACTTATTTTCTATTTTTGAGTTGGATTTTCTATAAAAGCGTATTTTGTAAAAAAATTTAAACTATTAATTATTTGTTTAACAATTCGGTGGATTCGTACAATGAAAAAAATGTAATTAGGGTGATTACTCGTGGTAGGGCGTCTTCTGAGCTCACACGAGTAGGGACCACCACACTGTTTAAGTCTGCCGCGAAGCTGTAAAAAGCTCGAAGGGTACGGTAGCCGTTGGATTGCAGAACTGAAACTTAAAACTACATTAGCTTACACTTATAGAAGGACCGCGGGTTCGTATGCCCAGTGATAACACGAAACGTGAGCGAACGCGAAAAATAAACACTTGCTTATTACAATAATTAATGTTATGTAGGTGTGTGTGTGTGTTTGTATTTCTCACATCTGATTTTGTACGAAACAACATGACGCACGACATTATTGGATACATTAAATTTATTGTAAACTAAATATTGATTTACTTTGATTGTTTTAATGTGAACATACAATACTTTGTTTGTACGTAAAATGCTACTAAAATTTCATGTACAGGGTGTTCGAGAAACAGGTATATTAGATTAGAACTAGTGTTCCCTCTGTAGTCGAAATTCGACTATAATTAATTGAAATTATAAATAACTTTGAACATTAATAAGGTTCTATTGTTAAAGACTATCTATCATACTTATATAATCACAGATTTCGCCAAGACTACACTACTGGTATAGACAAATATTAATAAAGATAAGCAATATTAATCTCTTCTTAATTTGACCACAGACTTCAGACAGACAAAAGTTTGACAGTAAATAAAGGATATATAAATGTGTGTGTGTCAGATAGATAGTAGAGTTTTTTTTATTTAATTAATGTATTCTTAATGCATAATTAAAAAAAAAAATTATCATTCTGCACTCCTTCTCTATATTCTCTATAAGTGTAGGAAATTTCATACTCCTCCGTCCACGCAATTTGCATAAAAAGGGGTACAAAGTTAATAATATATAGATAAACTAGAAGATATCGTCTTTCCGTTTAATGAATTGGAATTTGTATATGAATAGCAGAATGTTCGAGAACGATCGACGTAAATTAAACTTGTTTGGAACCTCTGGGTCTGTGGAGGGACTTCGGTTCCCTCTGCATTTTGTACCGTGTGTTCCATGGGGAGTGCTCTGAGGAATTGTTTGAGATGATGCCATCATCTTGTTTTTACCGTCTCACCGCCCGCCACCGGAGTAGAGTTCGTCCATACTACCTGGAGCCACTGCGGTCATTCACAGTGCTTTTTCAGAGGTCTTTTTTGCCACGTACCATCCGGCTATAGAATGAGCTCCCTTCCACGGTGTTTCTCGAGCGCTATGACATGTCCTTCTTCAAGCGAGGCTTTTGGAGAGTATTAAGCGGTAGGCAGCGGCTTGGCTCTGTCCCTGGCATTGCTGAAGTCCATGGGCGACGGTAACCACTCACCATCAGGTGGGCAGTATGCTGCTTGTCTGCCTACAAGGGCAATAAAAAAAACTCGTCACAAACTCGTAACTCGGTAGGTAACGTAAAGGGAAGATCTTCCATCGAGCTGGTGAGATTGCTTGGTAGGCCGACGACGGTCCGCTTCTTTACATAATATTCCGAGAGGCGAAATACTATTTGGGTTAAGCGATATTTTTGCAACTTTACAGATGAGCCATTTAAAGTTTGATATTTGGGAAAAATGTCATAACAACAAAAAAAAAACTTCTTCAGCCGTTTCAATGGCGTCAACTTCATTGAGGTTCAATTAAAAACGTGGCTTGCTGACGTCATGCCAGAGCAACTCCAGATCGGTCGGAGGCGATGAGGGGGTAACCAGCCTATTGTTTCGTTCATTCTCACCTCGGCGCCAGAGATAGATGGACGTGGTACATTCGCGTTGTCAATTAGCTCCCCACATTTCGTCATTTTCATTTAAAATCATTTATTTTTGAGAATTTTTTTTGGCATCTGTAAAATATCTTGTTTTTATATGATGGCTAGTCGCTATTTTATTATTATTATTTTATTGCTTAGATAGGTGGACGAGTTCACGGTCTTCCTGGTGTTAAATGGTTAGCGGAGCCCATAAACATCTACAACGTAAATGCTCACAAGCTCAACCTGAGAGAATTTGCTAACACTGGCCTTATCAAGAGCAGTGCTTCGAAGAATCTACCACCGGATCGGAAATTGCGATAAGAAGGCATCGTCGAACCCAACTGGGATGGTCGCGGGAACGCGCTGGATATGGACTGCGTATTATGGCGAACCTTGGACGGTGTCTATGTCCAGGGGCGAATATCGCCGGACTGATGATGGTACTGCTTGGTAAGGCATACCAATGTTAAGGTCCAGACAGCAGACATATCGGGTCTTAAAAGCGGGTCATTTGAGTCTTCGAACTCCTTAAGATTATTGTTTGCTGTTCAGAGCTAACACTTACCGCCTGTTTGGCGCTATGAGCATTAAAAGTTTAGGAGAATGTAATTTAATTTCTAATACCTAAAAAAACAATATCATCTATCATGTTAGCTAAAATATTAAAATTGATTTCTTTGTTACCTCCAGAAATTTTAACGTTTCTTATATTTACCCAGTTGCTCGTAATAACGTTGTTTGGTTTTCAAGATTCCATACATACATTATTGTTATTAAATTATATATTATAATACAAATATTTTTTGATTTAATTATTTTCGACGATTGTTCAGTATGTTAATTCAGTTTGAAAAGTTTTACGTATAAAAACGTACGAAGCGATCATGTCGAAATCATAACGAACTTCGGCGCGGTCGAAATGACTTTGATTAGGCTTTTCGTGTTAGCGGCACTGGTAAGAAGCTTTTTTATATTTGTTCAAAAACGCAATGTCGCTTCTTTTTTATTTTATTGCTTAGATGCATGGACGAGCTCACAGCCCACGTAGTGTTAAATGATTACTTAACACCAGGTGGTGTTAACCAGGATGTGGTGGTTTTATATTTTATCTTCAAATTATCATGTGACATTTCGTATCTAGCCA